AAAAAACTAACCTTCTACAATGACTGGGGGCTACTGGCCAACTTCTTCGAGTTCTTAAAATGATTGGTTGTGGTGTTTTGTTCAGGTGACTAAATGAAGGAACAGAAGTTTGTCCACGATGACGTTTACCCCAAAGATGTTTATGTGTCCCACCGCTATCAGCAACCCAACTGGTACCAGCACTAGTACTCCCCAAATTCGAATCTGGATGGGGTCCACTTTCACTGCACGCGCGTCTTGATAACATTTCGTATTTTGTTGTGTATTTCATTATATTCTTATCGCTCGATTTATCAAAAACGCACACACGTTATCAGTTTTTCTTTATTTTATCGATTTCAATCATAAAAATTTGATATTTGTTTTTTTATATCGTCCCTTTCAAAACACTTTTACAGAGACATAAAAAGAAATTTCTTTGACGTAAAGGTTTTTATATTTCTACCCTTATTTTTATTTTAATATATTCCTTGGAAATTATTGAACTAACAATACCTTTTTAATATCAATAAATTTTTTTTATGTCCATATATTGAAATGATTGAATAAATAATTATTTTTTCTTACAATTCATTCTCAAATAATAACAAAATAAACTAATAATTAATTAAAATGTAATTTTTTAGTCATTTTTATGTTTTATGAATAAACGGAATATCCCTTTGTCCAATTTTTTAATATTAAATTTTCTACAAGAGTTTCTTTGAAATTTAATGCAAATAAAATTGTAAAACCTCAACCAAGGAAAATCGTCTTTATGAGGTATGTTTTAATTCATAAAATACTAAACAAGTTTTAATCTATTTATAAAAACCAAAAGAATTAAAAATTTCCCAGAAGAAAATTTATACTTAAAAGTATCTAAGGAGTAAGAAAAATTCTGATGTAAAATAATACTTTACTCGGTAATAAACTCATAATAAGAAATATCATTCATAAAGCAGAAAGTAATTTATTTTTTTTGATCTAGAATGATTGATGAAATAACTCGTTGATTTGTAAAACTGTTTATATCTACTTTTAACTCTAAATTATTTCTTCACTGATAAATTTAATAAATTTTGAATATTTTAAATATTGAATAAATTATAATTTCTTAAATAAAATATTTTAATTCGTTTTCGGAGTAGAACTTTAATAAAACACTTACTTAAAATGCATAGTGAACTATCGATTGACTTGTGAATGCACTTGCTATAATCGAATGCACTGGAACAAAGTACATCATAAATTCTCTCACAAAGACGACTTTTCGTAGTCAGATTTTACAGTTGGATTATTCCACAAAATTACGAAAGAAAAGAAAACATAATAAAATCTGTCAACCTTGGAGTACATCAAAGAAAATATGAAGAAAACAGAAAGTCTTCAAAAAGTCAACGACTTTATGATTGCAATGTCAATATTTTTTTCTTCAAAATTACACGATTTGAAAAAAAGACCATAATCATTGTTTAATCTATTCGATTTGGAGTTAATAATTCACTGTAATTCAAATAAGGTTCAAGACTATTTATTCATTATATACTCCTGAATTTACGTTTCAACTGTTTGATTGGATATGCAGCAAGGGAAATTTGAATTACGCGTTGCCTGTAGGTTGACACGTGCCACAAGACTACTGTCTGACCACTATCCTGTAATCACGCTTTTGCTTGCTACACCGCCAAGCCGAATGTTGTGGTTGCCGCGCCAACGCCGCAAGCATTGCTTCCGCCAAAATTTCTCATGCGACTAATCCGTGAAACTGATCAACTTTGGAGTATTTTGAAGAGAAACATCAACTGACGCTATATCAGAAGATTGTTTATAGTTCAGTCGATAAGTTAGATGGCATCATCTCTGTATTACCGACTGTTTGGATATTACCAGTTGATAAAATAGAAATGTAAGACCAGAGATTTGAATTTTTCTAGCCCATAAAAAATTTATTTAACAAATTTTTCAGGATTATTTCATAAAAATTGAATTCAATTAGATATCGAAGATCGAAAGACTGGTTAGTCTTTCTTTATGAATTCAATAAAACATTCACAAGATTAAAATTTTTTTATCTGAAAATATTAACCGCTATTTTTGTTAAATTGGATTAGATTCAAAATTCATTTTTTCTAATTTGTTTATTTTGATGAAAAAATATTCTTTTCTTTACAAAATGATGAATAAACGAAGAAAAGATTGAAGAATAAAATTGAATGAAAGCTCTAATAAGCTCCACTAGTATGCTTATTATTTCTTTACAATCAATCTAATTTAAGCTTTTGTTTTGTTTCTAACCCTATCATTCATCATTAAAAATTGCAATTATTTTTTTATATATTGCTAAATTGTGATGCTTTATAATAAGAACTTTATTTTTCCCAAAGATTAAAAATAATTGCAAGTGACTGCAATCCTATCTTCAGAAATACCAAGCAAAATAAAAATTAAGTAATGAATAAATATGATGCTAAAAATGGAAGAAAGTTTACGAAGAATAATTATCCATTATTATCATCAGAATTGTCTTTTGGTCTTATTAAATAAAAAAGAAAACTTATTAAAAACATTTTCAAGAAAATATTATGTCATGTGATTAACTTTAATACTCCATTCCAGTTCCAAGGAAACCAGTGATTAAAGTAAATAATAAATGATAAATTTTTCTCTTTATACTATGAGGATTAAAAACAATAACATACATACTTACTTACCTATGTGCTGGCCATTCTCCATCAGTAGTACTAGTTGGTGCTGAGGTGCTTTTATTTGGTAAACTTAGTCTTGGACCAATTTTCAAAGTCATCGGTCTTCTACGTCGTAAATGATAATCTATAAATAATAAAAAAAAGATAAAGATAATCCAGCATATTTAAAAAAACTTCATTATTGTCATATCATATATATAATGGATAAACTAAGGAAGAAAGATATAAAGTCACTAACCATTGGCTGAGCAAAGAGAATTACGTCCTTGGAATGCGTAGGGGGACAAATATTGGGGAGAGGTAATGGGGGTTAGCGGATTCCCTTGGCTCGATACCATCGAGGTCGGGGTTGGAAGTCGCCAGGGACCTGTATCTCTCTTCTTATTTCTATCTACTTCACTAGCTTCTTTCGTATCCTTCATTTTTTTAGATGGTGTAGTAGTTACTGTAGATGAAAGTCCAATTTTTTCATCACCCACACGTAATTCAATCTCTAATGGCCGCTGTAAAGAAACCATCTATTTACTATTTTATATTTAGTTTTTTTACGATAAAGTTATTGACTAAGAAAACAATCAATCAATTTCCGCTTGAAAAATTGAAAGACAAAATATTATATTAATGACCAATAAAGTAATTGAAATAAAATAATTTGCTTTAAATGAAATTTTTAATAAATCAAGATACCAATTGAAAACCTAGTTTCATTTATCAATATAAGAGATTTAATTAAAAAACGTTATGAGATATTAAAAAAATAATGATGGATTGAAATTTGCTTTTGACAGAGGAATAATAATTTTAACAATTTTATCATCATTCAACAGTTGTCCACAACGATTCGTTTTCCTGATTAATGTTTTTCTTTTGTTTTGTTGAAGTATTTGTTATTCTACGAATCAATAAAAAATTTACATCAACAATGAAGACGATTTTAATAAAAAATCTTACTTTATAAATTGACAATGTCAATATGATAGTACTTTGCTATTTTATGACCGTTTAAAAGTTGTTATACATAATTAAAAATATTCACTATTGATAAAACTTAAGTCAAAATTAATTTATTGATTATTTGTCATAGTCACATTGACATTTTTTGTATTATAATAGACTTTTTATGCCTCTTTTCCAATCATCAATGACATTTAAATATCGGTCATGCCTGAAAATAACTTGAGATTTTCTTTCATTTACTAAACAACATAATATAGCTCACATAGACTATTCATTGACAAGCTAACTATTTAATTAACTTACGTTTTGCATGGGGTATGGAGCTCTACCTATCAAGAAGTCCCATGCCCACGCTACAAATTGCGCGCAAATTTGCATTGACGTCACACTGGTTACTAGGGAGAGAAACAAGACGCTTTGTTTCACCCTCAATCGACGACTAAAAAATGTGATTTCATCAATTTACTTAAAAGGCGTAGCCAAGAGAACAGCGTCAATAGCGTCTACCTCTTGATCAATCATAAATCAACAAACTGTTATAAAAAGTGCACTGTTTTAAAATGGCTTTGAATTCAATTACACATTATGTTTCGTTTCCATTCTCCTTAATTTAATCAAATATATAATTACTCATGGCGGCATCATTTTTAGCCAAAAATCCTTCACTGATGTTCTTTTACGATTTTTAATGCACATCATTTCCTATTTATTTATTTAAAACCTTTCAACTACATTTTTGACGTAGAAATAAACTTTAAGGGTACCAACTACTTGTTGATTTTAAACTCGTGGTTTCCATTTCTGTTTTGTTTTCATTTTCACCGGCTACATAATAGAATTCAAAGAATGAGTTTATATTCAAAGTTTAATTAAATTTATCTTAAAAACTGAATTATGAATTTAATGTTCATTGTTGATTATAAATTTAATAAGATATTATTAATGTTAGTTAAATTAGAAATGGAGAACAGTCAGATAAAGTAAAGAAAAAGAAAGGCGTAATAGCAATTACGGAAGACATGCACGTTCGAGAGACAAAGCGATACTGGCATGCTGTAGCTTTATAACAGTATCGGCCAACAGTGATGCTTGACCTTGTGTCGTCTAAAATCCGCCTGATTGGATATAAAAATACAAAAAAAAATAGATTAATTTTTTTTTCAACCTACTTCTTGATATAAGAAATTTCTTCGAGTTTTTTAATGTATTTATTTATGATAGATTTTAAATAAAATTGATCTCAGCTTAATCGGCTTACACCATGGTAAAGATAAATTGAGTTCTTTTTCTGCGCGAACGCAAGCTATTTAGAAATAAGTTAGAAAGTTTGCGATTGGTTGATTACTTTCGCTTATGGGGCTATATTTTTTCTATGTATTTGTGGGATGAGGGCGAAATTGCTAATTTGTTAAGTATTTAAACTGAAGTGTGGCCACTAGAGAGCAGCACTATAAAAATTAAAAGTGTGAGGTATAATAAGAAAAAGAAAGAGATAGTCGTCAAAAACTGTATCATTTGTGATTATTTTTTTTTGTTATTTTTGTGTTGTTTTTATTTTTAAACTTATATACTCTACTTTAAAACGCTCGTAAAAGAAAATTAATCACTGGAAATTATATAGAAATATTGTTTTTCAATCTTTCCCTGTTTCTGTAAAATTTTGGTGAGAGGTTATGTTTACTGGTCAACAAGTGAACCAATCAGCAAAGACGGATTTAAAAACGAAAAGTGAAGGACAGGTTATTGAAAAAGGATACACAGAATCAAAACGGTCGGTTGTAAACGTTAAAATGTATAATTAGTAGTGATTTATGTTAACTAGTTGTTTGATTTTAATATTTGTACTTATTGTTTTTATTGGATTTAACACAGTAATCAAATTATATCACTAAGGAGTGAAAATGTCTGATTTAATTGATCTTACTAGTCCTGAGAATAAAAAAATTCAGCCTCCTAAACTTTCTTCGCCGTTAATACCAGTGCCAAAGGACGATGTTGAGTCAAATAAAGCAGACTCAATGGCTGTGCCAGCTCGAAGAAGCTTGAATGATAATCCTTTTGACGTAGCACTACAAAAAACTAATGAATACATAAGAAAATGTCAAGATCCTTTTGAAATAGTATTTGAAAAAGCAATTAATCATGAAAATAAAAATGAATCAGAGCCCAGGCTATCAGCTAGCTCTAAAGATGATTATTGTTGCAAGCGTTCAAGACATCCAGATGCTGTAAAGATGAATAAAACTTTTACAGATAGTCAATCACCAAACTTTTCTAATATTTTAAATAATCAATCATCGTCATTATCTCACTGGAAAAATTATGCAATCACTGACCTAGCTAATACTTTACCCAGTGAAGTTTTACGAAAGAAAAGTATACCAGAAAGTTCAGTTACGTTTGATAAAAAAAATATGCCATTGATATCAATAGATCCACCAACACCAAACTTTGATCTATCAATTTTAAATCAATCAATGTTGAACAATACTTTCTCAGATGAGTATGGTACTGAAAGACCAAGTATTGGAAAATTTTTAAACAAAACGACTGCTTCATGTATCGGAGAAACATCGATTCTCAATCAATCAGCCATGAACGATAGTCTTTCAGGATCAGGTAGCTCGGATGATGGTCTCATAAAATCAATCGTTAACCACAGAATTGATTCTTGTATCAAACAAGCTTTAGAGAAAACTGAGATACACTCTGATAAATTAACTGATCAATACCATAAACTTCGTCGTTCACTTTCTCAAGGCGATGAAATTGCAGTAGGAAAATTAAGAAAAATGCAATCACAATCAACTAATGAGAGTAAAAATTTTTCAATTCTCAATAATAAATCATCTATATTACGTGAGGAAGATTTCAATAATGGTTTTCTAAAAACAACTGCTGCTAGGTTTTCTACAACTTCAGAAGTTTCAACCATTTCTACTATATCAGCTATTTCAAGATTAAACTCGGCTTTAAGTTATACTGCTTCTTTTGGGGACTCAGATAACCCTATTAACAATGCATTTATAAAAAGTTGTTTATCACTAACAAGTGAAACACCACAAAAAAGACAAAAATCAATAACTACTAATTCTCGAATTGCAAGCGCCAACTCTTTGACAAAAATTTCTGATTTAGCAGATCAGTTTAATATCCTGAAATTGAAATCTAATAATTTCTACAGTGTAGGAACGCCCATTTCCAATCAAGAGAAATGCAATATTTCGAATGACTCTGTGTTTACTGTGAGTAATAAAAATATTTTCTTATTAAAGTACTTGTTCAAATTATATTCAATATCTAATGTTTTTTATTTTGTAGGAAGATGCACCAATTCATAATACACTTAATCTGGAACAGCTTGAACAATCCAAATCGCATACTTGTAAATATCTATTTATTGTTAAAATAATTAATTTTAATTACAAATTCATGATAAAATTTAAAATAATTTTCAGCAAACAGTAGCGTTGGAGAAGATTTACTTCCGAAAAAACTACCGGATGATTTAGATTTATCTTTAGAAAATGAAATACATGTTGATAACTTGATTGAGCTACATACCTCAAATAGTTTCAATAACACCGAGTCTAATCCATGTGAGAACAATCAATCCTTGCCACAAAAAAAAGAAGATGTAAAAATCGATACTGTGAAAGAATTAGAACAGGAATTAATTGAACCAGAGAAAAAACCTGTGGCAGCTACACTTCTCATGGAACTCCAGAAGTTAATAAAAACAAAAAATAATCCAAAGGCAGCGGAACTTCTAGAAAAACTAGAAGAATACTTGGGTGTTAAATGTCACAGTAATGTAGAGCTATTAGAGATGTGTTTTCACAATGCTAATGAATCAAAAGAACATGTTGATATCAATAAAGCAGATCAAGTATCCTCGAAAGCAGAGAAGAGTAAAGTGAATGTTAGTGAGGAAGATAATGTTAATATTGAATTGAATGATAATTTAAAGAGAAAAGATAGTATTTCAAATATTAAAAAAAATTTAAATAATGATGAGAAAATCAACAAAGGTAACAAGGCTTTAACGGTAAGTGGTGAAGTAGAGTGTGAAGAGAAGAAACCAGATAATTTATTTGGAACACAAAAATTGATTATGGATATTCAGTTGGCACTGCGACAATTACTCACTGATTACAATGGAGAGCCCACGTTATTTCTGGAGAACTTGAAAAAAGTAATAAATCCAATACCTAATGAAAAAACAGTGGAAAAGGTAAAAAACAAAAAAACTCTGTCGAGCAGAGTCTCTCTTTCACCAAAAAAAAGCTCTGGGTTAGTAAATCGATCGCTTAAATCTCCAATGAGACAAAGTTTCGGTTCTAATTCTGTAAAAAAGCTTCCATCGATTAAAAGACGTGCATCAATATCTCAAATACCAGAAACCAACATTCCAAAAGCTGAGGTGAAATCAAGAGCTGATAGTCCGAAAAAAGAAATTAAAAAACGTATTTCTAGTTATGGCGAATCATCCTTGGAGAAAAATAAAGTGAAAATCGAGCCTCAGCCAATTAAAATAAAGTCTTCTGTACCAGTTTTTAATAAAACTAAATTGAAAAAGAAGAGTGAAGTTGATGCCCCCGTAAAAAAAGGTCCACTAAAAGCTGTTATTCCTTTGGGAAACATGCAAAGGAAAACTACTGTAGGCATGAAAGTGTCTATCGTTGTTGAACCAACTACCCCACCGAAATCTAGTCATCATACCTCTTCTTTTCGACCGGGTAGCACTCCTATTCGTGAGCAGATGAATACTTTAGAACGAATAAAGACATCAAAAAAAGTAAAACCTGTAGCTTCTTCTACTCCAGAAATAGCGAATAAAAGTCTGAATATTAAAGAAAGAGTTTCATCAAGTCCCAGACACAATATGTCTTGGAATATATCTCCAGTCACTCCAAATCCTTCACTCAATTCTAGCAACGTTGGCAAGAATAATCCTATCAAAAGGTAATGATCGGTAAATCATTCTTTTGGTTTTTGTTTTAATTGTTTATTATTTTTTACAGAATTCAAAGTGATAAAGTTCTTGTACCATCGCCGAAAGCTCGTAATGTAACTCCACGTAGATTGGAGCAAACATCAGAAATATCCAAGCATTCTAATGTACTTAATAATTCATTGAAAAATACTTCTAGCAAAATTAATCATAGTCGTTATTCTGAACCTGTCAAGAATAATGGTATTAATAAGAGCGTCGCTGCTGAGAAATCACACAAATCAATTCAAAGTCCTTTAAAGGAAAAAAATAGTCCTGTACTCAAAAATAAATTAAATCTTTCAGTAAGTATAAAAAAAAATCATATGAATTAATATTAAGTATTAATAATAAATGTTTTAGTATTAATTTTAATAATTTGAATTATTAGATTTCAAAACTACGCCGTCATAGTGCCAGTATTACAACTACAGAAAAAGAGAATAAGGCTAAAAAGTAAATTTATATTTTTATAATCTCAATGAATAAATTTTTTCTGTTGATACTCATGTAATGAATTAAAAAATTTTTTTGTACTTTTTCAATAAAAAATTTTTTTAATGTTTGACTCAATGTCAAAATTTTGTACTTATCACAATTTTAAATGATTTCTCAAAGACTCTTGATTCCATTAACAAACCTCACTATCGTTATAACAAATTTTTACGTTTCTGTTTAAAAAAATCATTTAAATCAATTGAAACGTTTTAACTTATCGAATGAACTTTTAAGTTAAATAGTTACTGTTATTTTCGAAATCTTATTATAATTATTTAATATAAGCAATCGATCATTTTTTGTAAATATTAACAACTGTTGTGAACATTTGATCAAATATTTATATTAATTGAAGTTGAATGGGTTAGATTAATTTATGAACTAATTTTTAAAAAATGCATTTTAAATCTTTTTTTTGTGCTTTTAAAGAATAAACAAATCTTAAACATTACTTTTTTTTACAAAATATTAGAAAAAAAAATAATATAATTTTTGAGAGAATACTCATCGTTTATTTAAAATCCCATACATTGAATTTTGCAAAAAATGAGTATAATTTTTCTATAATTAACTTCAGAGTAAATTAGTATTACTTTTTTATTTGCGATTCTAAAATGCATAATTTTTTTCTAAACTTGATTTCTGGCGGTAAAAAAAATTCAAACTCAGCTGTTCTGCGCAACATAGATGCGTGCGTTGCTCTTTTACGACCATGCACTGACAAGTGGCGCCACTTTATTTCCCGATACATCGAACAAGCCAATTGGAAGCGGCAATTTTACGAACTACTCTTGCGACAGTAGATCTTCGCGCGTGCTAGTTATTTGTGCGCTCGTCGTAGATAAGTTTTTCCTAATTATAATCAACGAAAACTAACGTTTCAATACAGTTTAACTAAAGTTTAACATCAATAGAGTCTATTGTAATATTAATTTTGTAGTGCGGGCTGCATAGAAAGTGACGCAACGCTTAAAGAAATCACGCGTCAACATCAAGACTTGTTTCACTGAGAGATGAGGTAGAACCGCGCCCGGAGCGCCCACAGGGAAACGTTAAGCGCACGTGTGATAATTCGAGATTATTATCGATCATTACTCGATGTCAGTTGCATGTTCTCAGGTAAGTTTTACTTGCAATTTAATTAACAGATAAATTAATAGAACAGTAAGTAGGAAAAGATTCAAGATACTTGACGAATTACAATGGTTAAGTATCTTACAGAGTATGCGCGCATATCTCGTATTTGTTCACACGTACTGCACCCTGTAGAAGTATATCTACAAAAATAAAGACCTACGCATTGTCGTCGCATACCCAAGTGTCGACATTTTGAAGGGTAGTTAATAGTTTTACAGCCTCTACCCTAGTCATTAAAGGTCCTTCTAAAAAGGTCACATACTTTTCGGACGTTTTCATGCGGGTATATGAAAACATCGCCGGCATCTTCCCTTACTTCTATACTTTGCAATAACGCGCATCATCAGTTGCAGTCGCGCACCCGGGCTTTCATACGCGTCTTGTCACTTGGCGCTGCTGCTCTTCAGTCCGCTCCCGAGGCGGACAATCGTAACGCGCGGAGTTTTCTGGTTATATACCTGACAAACGTTTACACGTAAACGCCCCAGCCAATAGGTTAATCATACACGTAAGAATTTAAAGTATTTTTCTAATATAAATCTTTTGTATTTTACGTTTATTGTTTCTAGTTTTTCTTTCATTCAATTAATCAAGTGTCACCTTGTTCATCATTCTTTTTTTCATTTTGTGACATGTACGATTGATTGTCACGATAAACTCACGTCTCTCGTTTGATTTTGTGGTCACGGTATGGATTTTGCTAAAAATATAGTAGGCGTGTAATTATTTCAAATACATTTTTCATTTTTGTCGAAAATTATTTTACCATTCGCTTCTCGTGTAACTTTGGTACAACAAATTTTCTATTTATTTTTATTGATTGATTGTGCTCCAAATTTTTAATTCATTATCATATTACTGTATTTTCATTGGCTATTTTTATTAAATTATTAATAAATTTATTTAATTAACAGAAACATTAATAATCGAGAAACCGGCTGGAGAGGACTTTAATAAAGAGCCCGGCGACATCTCGCAACCCGCGACAGAGATAAAATAAGTCGAGTTTTATGTAAAGTATCAAGGAATCAAGTCCGAATTGAAGAAACATCGAGAATAAGTAAATAAAAGTGGTTAAGATTAATACAAGCATCATGCAGCAGTTCAGAATAGATGTACAAATAGTTCATGAAGAACAAATATTGGAAGCAATTGATCAATTACGTAGACGCAAAGCGCGTCCTGATGCCGATCGGATTTGCAATTATTTATTACGAAAATTTTCAGTTGATGCACGTGACACAATTGCTGACTTGCATCGCTTAATAGAAGCTGAAAAAGTTATTCAAGTTGACTACAAAGGTAACACAAGTTACCGCAATGCGTCTAAATGGTCGAAATTGCAGCTTTATAAAAACAGACCAGAAGGTTTTGTCAAAGAAAAACTTAATTCCGCAATGGTTGCTGGCGCAGTTGCAGAATTAGTTGTTGAAGAACCTGATTACCTGGATCAAGGAGTTCCAGCTTATAGGCTTATTGAACAACTACTCGATGGAATATCTAATCCAACTTCCAGGAAGATGGTTGAAGACTTTTTAAACAAAGAAGTTGCTAATAGCAACATTACCAAGCTTGCTAATGGTAACTACTCGCTTGTTGCTACTAGTGATATGGCTAACACAGCTTCAGGACAAGCACAGAGCCATGATCAAAATCATTTCAATCAACATGATAAATTTGATGGAGATTCCAAGAATAGCAGAAGATCTTCAAGGGAAAGTGGAGATTCTGGTAAAGATTCAGGAATTGGTACAAGAAATAGTGGTTCAGCAGACTCATTTGAATGTAATAGTCTTCAGAATGGTACAAGTTCAGATACTTCTTCAAAACCCAGGCAAACTAGTCCAAGACCTGAAAATTCCAAGAGAGAACATGGAAATGAAGCTGCTATTGCTGGTAAAGAGCCCAATTCTCCTGAAGCATCAGTTACTAAAGATGTTAATAATTCTCAACGAAAAGAGGCCAATGCTAGTGAAGGAAACTTTTCTAATCACAAGAGATCTTCAAAGTCAGAAAGAAAACAGAGGCTTTTGGTTAGAGCTGATGATTCTATGGATGTTGAGATTAACTTTGAAGAATTTGAACAGCAGAGCAATAAAAAGGAAAGAGGAAGGAAAAGGAAAGTAGATCATTCTGGTGACAACAGTGAAGAAAAAGAGGATGATGATGGTGAGAGAGAATCTGCCAATCCTTCACCAACAACGAATGCTACAGTTGGTGGATTCAGGAGTGCTCGAAGAAAGGTTAAAAAAATTTCTATTTAAATAGATGTGAATACTAAGAATGAAATTATTTACGGAAATTGTAATAATTTAAATGTTTGTTTTTTTAGAGAGCTAAAAAGGTCTTTGATCCATCAGATAATGTTTATGTTGCTAAACGTAAACGAGGAAGACAGCCAGGGAGTGGTCAGAAGGCTTCTGTTCAAGCTCCATCACAAGATTCTCAGGATTCATCCAATAAATCTACTTCAAAAGATACTCTAACTAGACAGTGTAGTCTGTGCTCCAAAGAGAAGTCAGAACCTTTAGTAGCTTGCCGAGATTGTACAGTTAGAGGTAAAGAGAAAAATTTCATTTCAGTCATTACAATTATTTTCAAGTAATTTTATTTTAATATTCAAAATTGTTTCAATTATTTAAATCGGAAGATGTTAAAGATCATAATAATAAATAATTCATAGAAAATGAAATTGAAAAAACAAGTTCTTTCAATTAAATATAAAGTAAAAGAATAGCTCCATTAGTCCAACTAATTTTAAACATATTTTTTACAGCACATCGTAGTTGTATCTATTCACCAGAAGAATTATCACAAAAATCCAAAAGCAACTGGCAGTGTGATCTTTGCAAGACGTGTACAGTATGTTGTGAAACATCAGATGTCGTAAGTAACGTCAAGTTATAATATTTATTAATTAAAAATATTAATCTTATTGAATTCCTTGACACTAATAAATAAAACCTATTAATAATTAATATTCACAGGGACCTTTGGTTACTTGCTCCACCTGCGATGAAGCATATCATCATGGATGTCACGTACCGCGACTGAACTCAATTAAATCAAATTCTAAATGGAATTGCAGTGAATGTGTTCAGAACCAGAAACAATCTTCTAAATCAAATGCACGACCAGAAACGCCTTCGCAAACAACTACTTTACCTCCAGTATTGAGCCCACAAGTGTCTCCAACAAGAGATTCTGTTGAAGACGACACGTCACCACGAGAAGCTATTGATCCTAATATTCCTGATGCTTCTGATTGGACCTCTGAACAAGTATACCAGTATTTTGCACGTTTATTTCCTAAGGAAGCTGAAGTTTTCCGGTTACAGGTAATTAAATATTACATTCATTAGATATTAAGTTTTTTTTTATCCATAAATTTTTGCTAGAAAAAACAGAGCACTTGGAATATTATTATTATTGTATTAATCTCAAGTAACGCCTGAATAAATATAAAATATTTTACATTTATAAATAAATTCCAAGTGTTCAGTGAAAAACGTCGATGACAAAATTAGAGGAAGGAATTCGTTTAAGGAATAAGGAATTGGTCCGATAACGATTTTCCTCAAATTCTATTACGAAATTCTCGATAATTACATTGTGTATTTAATTGCAGGATATTGATGGGCACTCTTTGTTATTGATGAAACGAGCGGATGTTTTAATTGGCCTAGATCTCCTCTTGGGTCCAGCTCTTAAGATATATCGACATGTTTTGAAGCTTCAAATGCGTCGAGATGAAACACGTTTTTACTGGTTGTAATATATAATGAAGTTTTTAAGAATTATGTTGCTCAATGTATTTCATTATTGTAATAATCTATAGAATAATTATGTTTTCAGTTTACTTGGGTTTTACTTGTATATAAATTATGAAAATTTTTCGAATTTAAATAAATATATTCAACTTTTTTGAAGAAATACATCTTTTAACCATCATATAACACACTTAATCTCCTTAAATTAAGTTTTAAAAAATTAAGTAATAAAAAATTATTACAGATAAAAGAAAGAAATTTTTCTGCAGATGATCAATAAAAGCATAATTTAAAAATACTTATCGTGATTAATTGATCATCGTTAAAAACTTTTGCATATTTCATTAAAAACAGTGATGATTGCAATTATCTAGGAATTTGTTCTTATTAACTTTTGTGTACATAAACTTATCAAACAAAAGTTTAGAAAAATGAACAATTCAAAATTTAAACAATTAATTTTTTGTCTTCTGTTTCGTGAAATTCTGTATATACAGGTGGTGCTTTATCATTTGGATAAATTAATGTGACTTTACTAAGGTCATTGTTATTATCGCTAATTGATTTATCGGGTATCTCCGTTGTTTTTTCACTGACAAAACAAAGCCAAAGAGCTGCTAATGCTCCAGTTATAATGAAACTACTCAAAACCCATCGTGGAATTCCTGTGTGCCTTGACACGCACTGCAACCAATTAGCTCCTGGCATTGAAATAGTCTGCTCTACTTCTCCAGAATAGTCTGGAGATATACTGTAGTCCATCACCTACAACGAAAACAATTATATCAAACTTATTGAGTATGTTCGAAATAACCTATTATTAGTCACAAACTGACATTGTAACTAAAACAAGAACAGAATATAAATTTGTTTTTATTAAAAATAAATCAATTCCAATGAACATGCTGAAAAATTGATAATTAAATCAACCATTCTTACTGTTGAATCTTGAGGTACTGATTTAATAAAGGTTTGAGGTAGTTTGAAACCTTCAGAATCCCACCAGCCTGGAAAAATTTCCTTCTTTAATCCTGGATCAGACATAGCGTTGTCAGGCATGTCCAGTGAAATGACTAAAAGATGATGTGGAATAATTAAATCATCCTCAGTAGATAATGCGGCTGATAGTATCGATACGAGATCTAATATTCGCTGTTTAGCCATATATGTGCATCCCATGATACATGCTGAACGATCTTCTCGATCAATGTAAGCCTCGGTGCATGCTAGAAATATAATTTGATTGCTGATAACGATTATGTTTAATAATAAAATAAAATTTGCATAATGTAGTTATTTTTTTTTCTAATCGATTAGCACATAAAATATTTAAAAATAAAATGTAAATAATTCATGAAAAAAATATATTTTATCAAAATACTCTTTGAAAATATTAGAAAGTAAGAAATGAATACCAATAATAATTATTATAAAACATAAATTAATGTAATACCAACTTTTCTGTATAAGTATTTAGGTTAACGAATAATACGTTTAATAATGTATTCGATATTGAAAGAAATAAATTAATTGCAGTAATAAGTCAATTATTTACTGCAAAAAATTCAAATGTTATTAGAACGACTCCAAAAAGATTGATAAAAATATTTTGGAGTAATTCTAAGATTGTAATTAATTTTAAGTAAGTTTTTATTATTCTTATGACTTAGTAGTATTATTTTTGTTGAGTTATTAGCTTACATGATTCACAAGCATTTTTAGTATCATTAAGTTCTTTGTTTTCCGGTCCGTCAACCAAATCCACTAAATTGAAAAATCGACAGCCTCTTTGACAACATGATTTTTTAGTAGCTGCCTATAATACAATTAAGAGAAAAGAAACGAGATTAATTGTTTATTGAGTTTAATATAGATTGATTCATAAGTAAACGTAAATTAAAATTAATCACCGAGTCAGAAAGAAGAGGTTCAGTTGATGTCAGAGAAGTTGAAAGTGGTATTTTTTCACATAAAGCTACGCACGGATCTTTTTGATTTATTAATTCATTAAATACGTTAGCTTTAATAGATTTTATAGCAAATAAAGCAAAAAATACGATTAAATTATTAAAATTTGTCATATCACAAAGAACAATTATAAACATGCATACGTATACATTAGCTGTACAATAAGAATTCAATATGATTTCTAACCTATATTGGCTCTTTGCATGCGGCTGAATATTGCGCGTTTAAAAGAGCGCGATGATTTAAAAATAAAAAAATCGCATGTATAATCACTTAAAATAGCAAAAATAAATTTTCGAAAATATAAACAATTTCGTCCACGTTATATTTGTATACATTTATATTTTTATCATTGTAAAAGATAAAGGTGTAACAAAAGTTAATACAAAAGATAAGTGTTGAAGAAGTTTGTTATTATGCAAACAAATGACTTGTAGAAAATTTCAGATTTAAACTGAAAAAAAATTCCTAGAATAGTGAAAAGACACAAATAGTGCTAATGTACATATACCTAACATGTTGCAATTTTTTATAACTTAACTATTTATGGTATGAGATGTTATTATTTATAACTTAAGTAATTAATTTCGTTCGAGTATATTCTTTATTCTTATCGATACAGTAATTATGAAATTAATAACCTTTATCTTAATTAATATTTTGATATTGTTGAGGTTAACCTCAGAAATTTTTACAAATTGATTTAAAAATTGGAATTTTTGGAGTAAATCAACAACAATTGATAATTACTCCAATATCTTTAAAATTGCTGTAATAGTTTTTATTATTTATAAAATATAATGTTTACTACTTTATAATATTTTGTTTTGCAATGATATTTTAATTTACATAATTTTATTTTTTTTTTTATTAAAAAAAACCTACAGTAAAAGTACAATTACTGTGACAATATAGTGTAAAAAAACATTTCTCAATATTATGCATACAATTTATGTATATAATAATTGTGCTAATACAACACCGTAACCTCTCAAATGTAATTGTTGGAAAAATTTATATTCTTCTTATTATTTTTAGGAATAGACATCATTTCAAGATTTTTAAGTTTAATTAAAGACCAATTGACTTTTTTTTCAAGGTCAACATCAAGACACTTTATTAAATTGAAGATGCCAAAATTTAAAGCATTACCATCAAGAAGTTATTATTATGATAAGAAAGAGTGGGGATGAACTCGTCGATATAAGCATGATTTCCTTACTTCAACATGTGTATCGTGTGGCATGTAATCAGTTGCAGAGCTGCCGTCGTAGCCGGTTGTAAAGACTTCTAAACTAAGTACTGTCCGGCGTCATCCATCATTTGTCCAATTTATAACAATTACTCACTTATTTCTACATTGAGGTATGTTACATTATACTTTTTATTAATCAGAATATATTATTTAATATATTTATAATTTTTCAATTCTTTAATGTCAACTATTTCGACAAAATGTGGTGTGTTACTGGATGATGTAACATTTTTCTTAATATTTCCCCCAATGAGGGTTTTCTCGAGTCATATTTGGTAATCAATAAATTCATGTTCGAAAAATTGAATTATAATTGCGTAAAAGAAAAATTTTAATTCGCAAACAGATTAAACATACATAAAAACAAGCCGATAATGGTCTGGTAACAGATAATTGTTAGCTTCCAAAGGTTGTAAATTATTTGAACAATTATGAAAAAATTAAATATAACGTGTAGGAAATTATACAAAATTCTACCTATCTCAGAGATATAAAGATTAGAATAATTAAATATATTTTTTCTTCTTTTAGTTATTAATCATGCCTACCAATATTGAAGAAGGATTTGCAACAAAAGCTATTCATGCTGGCCAAGATCCACAGCAATGGAATTATTATCCAGCAGTAGGACCTATTGTGATGTCAACAACATTTCGTCAAGATGGACCTGGTGATCATCAGGTTAGATTCTCAATTCATACTTTTAGTTAGTATTTTTATCGACTGACTATCTAAAATGATTTCAATTTATTATTTATCTATTTTTAACTTTGTTCGAATAATTATAGATAAGATTAATTCGAAGGTATTTACATAAAAATAACAATTTGAACTAACAATGAAAAATTATTTTGAAAGGGTTGGAAATTTTTTATAAAATTTAATTTTTCACACATAAATTATTTTTTTCTGAATACTCATGAATTTCAAATAAGGAAAGATTCTTTCAACAAAGTCCATCCTTTCATTCTCTCAGATGATTTTATTATTCAAGTTATTTTAAATAATAAAGACTTTATTCAGATATTATTGTTACATTTTAAATAGATGATTTTTACATAACTGTTAATAATATTAATGTTCTTAAATACTTGAATAAATTTAAAAAATTTAATCTCTCTGAAAAAGAATTTATGATCATCCTAATTGATATAATTTACTGATTTCTAGGGTTTTGATTATGGAAGAAGTGGAAATCCAACTCGAAACATGTTAGAGACTTGTTTAGCAGCTATAGAAAATGGCAAGCATGCTCTGACGTTTGCCTCAGGTCTTGGAGCAGTCACATCATTAACAGCACTTCTGCAAGCTGGAGATCATATCATTTGTGTTGATGATGTTTATGGAGGAACCAATCGTTATTTTAAACATTGTCTTGCAAAAAATAATATTAAAATTACCTTTGCTGACGGCACTAATATCAAGAATTTTATCAACACCATTCAAGATAATACTAAAGTACGTAGTTTATTGCTAAATCTCAGCTATCATCATCATAAATAAAAGTGAATTATTCTAACAAAAAAAAAAGAAAGCTTATGTATAATGAAACTTGAGAACTTGTGGTTAAATACCACATCAATATAAAATGATATGTCTATCACGATACACATCCTCAGGATAGTAATGAAATTTGCAATTTTGTTTCAGATGGTATGGATAGAAACTCCGACCAATCCATTATTGAAGCTTATCGACATCAGAGCAGCTGTAGATGCTATAAAAGCTATTAGATCTGACATCATAGTTGTTGTTGACAATAGTTTTCTCACTTGTTACTTTCAAGTAAGATATAATTAAATTCATTAGTAACAATTAACTGTTGATATTAACTCGTTTCTTTAATTATAATTTTATAATTATTGTTTTTGATGGATTCAGGTAGCTTTATTTTTAAAAAATCGCATACCATAATTTATTATTGTTATCATTGTTTTTATTTATTTTTAAAAGTAGTGTATGTACATAATGAGAATATTAATGATAAATTTATGTTGGAATTATTCGCTTTCAATTTTACATTCTACTTATAATAACTAGAGTTAATGCACGCTTTCAAACTATTTTTAGTGGGCAAGTAGATAACTTATCTTATAATTTGATGAATTTTTTCAGAAACCATTGGAACTTGGAGCTGATATCGTTCTATACTCAATAACAAAGTATATGAATGGTCATTCTGATGTTGTAATGGGCGCCGCCATTCTTAGGAGCGATGAACTTGAAAAGAAACTTAGATTTATTCAAAACGGTAATTTTCTGCGATGAATCAGAGATAACTAACATTATCTTAATTAGTTTTGTATAAATTAAATTTTAAACTAATTTTATTATGGTTCTTCAATTAGCTCTCGGAATCATTCCATCTCCATTTGATTGCTCTCAAGTCAGTCGAAGTTTGAAAACTTTAGAAGTACGAATGAAGCAACATATGAAAGGGGGTTTGGCGGTAGCTAAATTTTTGGAGTCTCATCCTCATGTTGAAAGAGTTTTCCATCCATGTAAATATATTTTTTATTTATTCTACGAAATGAACTTCCGTCTTACCACTATAACTTCCTCATAACAATTAAATTATCAAGAAAATTTACATCCATTAAGAAAATATATGTTAGTTAGTGAAAAATTTTTTTCCCCAACACTTTTTTAGATTTTCATAGTAGAAAAGTTAATAAGGAAAAGTGATTTATTATCAGATCACAAAAGTATTGTATATAAAGGAAATGAATCATTAGGATAATTTTTTTAGTGCTACCATCACATCCGCAATATGAATTGGCAAAAAAACAGATGACTGGTCACAGTGGAATGGTAACATTTTATTTAAAAGGAGATTCAGCAAAGTTCTTGAAAGCTCTAAAAATTTTCATCATTGCTGAATCGCTTGGAGGATATGAATCTCTCGCTGAATTACCGTAAGTATTTAGTAAAGTAATTATCAAGTTATTTTTAGCGGATAAAATACCTTAATAAATGTTCTATTTTTTTTTTAATATGATCATTGTTACTATTTATAAATAGGTCTGTGATGACACATGCATCTTTGTCGCAAGAAACGAGAGATGAATTAGGTATCAATGACCAACTTATTCGCCTCTCAGTTGGATTGGAAACAGAAAGCGACCTGATTGCTGATCTTGATCAAGCCTTGAAAGCTGCTCAATTATAATGAGATCATCTGGATAATTAAATAAGTTTGTACTCATATTAGAAAATTCTAAACATAATATTTTCACTTATACACGTATACATATATGTATTTAGAAATCATTTTAGTCACAATCATTCCAGCTTATATTCTTTTATCACTTTATTAGATTCATATTGACAAGCTTTTAATTTTTTTAAGAAATTTTTCCGTTATATACTAGTCAAATTGAATCAAATGTTGTAAATAATAATAGGTAAATGAAAAATATTATACTAAAAATAACTATTATGATAGCATCAGTTATCGAATTTATATTTGCTATGCAAACAAATTTTTTATTATGTATTTTAGAAGATGTTATTGATGGGAATTCTTATTTTAAAGGTGTGTCCATTATTAAAGGTAATATGTAATTGATATTTATAGATGAAAATTTTGTAAATAATTAACTTGAAACTGAAATGAACAAAATATTTAAAAATAATCATGAGTATTAAAAGCTGACCAATATGGTGCCAATAATTTTTATATTTGACTAGTATTTTGTGGAAAAATTTTACAAAAACATTATAAAAGACACTAGTATCTATTTGTCTGAAAGTAAGCTTTAATCCATATTTTATGTTCATATTATTTTAAAACAAAAAGCTTTTGAATAAAAATTCAATGTAATGTGAACTGTTAAAACTAATAATGCTATTTCGAGCAATAAAACTTTATTACATGTATTTACATAGAAATAATAAAAATTCATTTAGTTAAATACCCAAAAATTAAATTTTATTTGAGTATTCATACTATTTACTTTAATGTACATTTATTTTGGAATTAAATCGCATTTTATCCATTTTAGCTTTGTCGTATTCTTGAGCACGATTGTACAGCAGAACACCAGCAATAACTGTACACGTTCCTAAAGCAGATAAACCTGTGACCGGGTTATCAAATAGTATCACAGAGAGCCAAATGAGAAAAGCTCTTTTGGCTGTATTGGCCACACTATAAAAAACGAAAGTTAGCTTAATATTATTTTATACAATAATTTCAATAATTAATCAAACTGTCAACAGTAGTAATAATTGTTTACCTGTGGGTCACAGGACTGATGTAATCCATAAGTACATAAGCTGTAATACTTTGAAAATGAAAAAAAATTCCATTTAATAAAAATGCTAATAATGGTTTTATGCTAAAGGAATGTTGTAAAGTGTGTAGGTCCACAAAAACTAATGATACAGGAATTTGTACGACTATTGATGCTAAACTAGTATAAAACTGCAATTCCGCAGGCCTGAAACAAAATTACAAAGTTTATTAGAATAATTAGTAATATAATTAACGCTATAATATTATTAATAATTTATTTTATAATTAAAATCAAAAATTTTTTAAAATTTAAATCAAACTTACGTATATTTAAAATTATCACCACTAATTAACATTTTTGAATAAACATTTTGTAAACATTCAGTTAAATTAGTTGCCATTGCAGCAATGAATCCTTTAAAATCAAAACTTATTTCATTGACAGAGCAGAGAGCAAGACCTCCCATCACTGGGATCAATGACAAGTTAACGTAAAGACCTGTGCGTTCTCCTAAAACATTACAATTGAATTTATATTCCAAGTTAATTGCTTGAATGACTTTTATCTAATTTACCTAATAAATATCTGCTTATAAGAACAGTAAATAGGGGAGCACTACTTTTTATAGTCTCTGTAAAACTGACAGCAACATAATTGAGCGCAATTAATCCAAGTACCACTGTTGTAAATCTAGTGCATCCGACTAATATCATATGCCTATAAAATCCTGCAGGTTTTATCATTCGTGGACTTGATTTATACATTCCACAGGGAAAATACATTTGAATAAACCCACATATTGCAGTCGTAGTCATTTGAAATGCACCTAACAAATTTTTAAAAAATCATAAAACTTTTTTTTATCATAAATATTGTTTAATTAGCCTATTTTAAATATGTTTTAAATGTTAATTTACCTAAAATTGTTGGATCTCCTTCCATGTAAGATAGAATGTATTTATTAAGAAATAAAGTACATCCACTAAAAATATACCATAATGCTAAAAATAATAGTGCTCTAGGATTAGACAGTCCTCCTTTTGATTCAGTAGCTAATAAAACAGTCGTTTCTTCCAGTCCTTTGTACTCTCCATGAAGCTTTCCTCGATTTTCATAGACAAACTCTGATGCTTCATCAGTTGAATGTGCGTAATTTACACGTGCAGACTTTCCAGTCTCCATGATTCATTTATTTGCTACAAATCAATTAAGAATAATTAAATAACCAATTTATGATCAATTTTATGTCTAAATCTAGCTTAATCTTTTGTCTTTTTAACTACTCATGGCTATGAAATCATAGCAAATGACATGTCAATTTCAGACACGTGTTCCATTCTTACAACTCTGAATATGTCAATACATATAATTTTATCATTAACGTCGTTTTTGTTAAAATGAAACATTTATATTATATTATTGACTATACATGAATCATAAGAGGAAATATTCACTGCTCCAAAAATGGCTTATGAACAGTTAAAGAATCTATGAAACACTTTCAAATGCAGTATTGCAAGTGACACAATGTAAAAGTAAAATAAACAATATATAATTCAAGTAAAATTAAGTTATAATATATTATTGTTGGAAGGTTTATAAATTTTTGCCACGTGTATAATACTTACAGGTTCGAGTATTATAATTCACATTCTCTGTTTATTTACTGATAAATATTCTAAATAAAACATCACAAAAGTAATAATTAACAAGAAACAACTGCATTCATTTAAATAGCTTATTTAATTCTATTGGTTGTCGTAATTTAATTCAAGATTAAAAATCATCAGAAATGATGCTCATAACTAAATTTTATCACATCACACTGGAAATATAGATAATTTTTGTTCATTATGTGTGCTGAATTGCACTTCATTGAATGTTGAATAATAATGACCCATCAACTATGATGGAAGTATGAAATAATATTTAGATTTTTGACAGGAATGTTTTTGTTATCTCACATGTTGCAGTTCTGCCATGAAAGGTTAACATTTGTAAGGTTACGTCATTGTAGGTAAGTATAGATGGTAGTTGTTTATTAAATTATGTTTTGTATGTATTTTTATGTATGTAGACACACGCGCATAAAAGGTATCATCAAAATAATTAGAATAAATGCACAATAATAAAATTGTTAACAACAGATTCAAGTAAATGATTTTGTGGTCTCATGTATTAAATAAAAGTATTTTTTTAATATTATCATTATTTAGTTATTTTTAATAAATTATAGGCATTGAAAAAATTTTGTGACTTTTTATTTATTGTTGACATGATGTAATAACATTTAAATTTGATTTATAATTTGATAAAATGTTAACAATTAAAGTCAATGCATTTTTAATTGAAATGAAATTTGAAATATAAGTCTGCGGATTTTATGAGTATATTCAGAGTAAACAATATAAGTAATTTTATATTTTATTAAAATTATTAAGTGAAGAATTTAGTAACTAAATCCTAACGAATGAATATTTTAGGTACAAAAGAAGATAATGATATAGTATGATTAATTAACTAATGAAAAAAATTTTCCAATGTTGTATTTTATATATTATTTTGATCATTAATTAATTATTGTGACTATTATGTCAGTATTTTTCGTTCTTTTTCAATTTTCTTTATTAAGACAAAAAAAAAAAATAGTAACGATTTAGTACGAAATAGAAATGCTCTTGAAAGTATTTCTGATGTTAGACATTAAAATTTTCAAGTGATTAAACAAGCTGTTTAGCTTTCAAAAAATAGTTTTATGAAAAGTCATAGAGAAGTGATATTGACTTAAATTATATATATGTAAAAGCAAAACTGGCAACGAGAAAAATAAATGAGTTCATTGTAAATATCGTTGGAGCGGAGGAAGTTGGTGGTTCTTCAACGAGAGCATCACTTCGAGCATTCAACATACTTTCACATGGTGTTACTCTTTTGATAAATTTAAGTAGTGAGTCAGCAATATTTCCGGGTGTCGGGTCGTCACATTTTTCCAATTCTCTAACAGCACATTCTCGGAACTTTTGCATGTCACTGCAAATTATTTTTTACAATCATTAGTTTTTATTAAAAACAATACTTATAAATAAAAGCGCCAAGTAAAATACTTACTTGCACTCCTTGACACCGAATATGAGTGCTGGAAGAGTTTCTAAACTCGGAGAAAGAGTATTAGTAACATCTGAAAAGTATCCTCCATACGTAGAATTTAAACAATCTTGGATTTCTTGTTGTTTTGCTTGGAAACATTCAGGACCTCCAGAAGCAATGAATACTAAAAAAAAATATTTATTAATATAACAATGATTTTTATTTCAGATAAATAAACAAGTCTACTAAAAAGTAATTAAAATTCTTACAAGCGATTCGATCTCCTTCTTTATGGCATATGAAATTTAACAAAGAATCAGTAACATTTTGCACAATTTTGGTGCTCTCACGTTCTGCACTTTCAAGACAAGGGTTAAGGACAGATATAAAGTCAGACGTGCATTTTTTTAATGTCGTCTTCTTCATGCAGTATTTCTTGAAAACAATATCAAGATCACCAGTCGGTTTGGCCTTCTCTATCTCATCTTGAAGTTCTGTCACGTTCACTAGACCTTTCACACAACTTTGAAGTTCATTATTAGCCGTTAATACTTTTTCATACTGTCCAGGTCCAGCATTTTTTTCACATTTGCTCTTGAGTTTATTTTTTAAATTCTCCACTTGTTCAGTAGCTGTTGCATTTAATGCTTGAATATCTACGGAATCAGATAATTTATCCGCCAATACCGATGCTGCATTTTGTACCTCTTCTTGGCCATAAGTCACAGTGCAGAGAGCTAAAAAAGATTTAATGTTAGTTTTATCATTTAATGTTAATATCTTATCTTTAAAGAATGTAAATTTGCATTTTTTTTCTAAGATTTGGATCTCAAAGAATACTTGGTAGATTGGAATCTTGAAAAGATTACTCTAAGTTATTCACCTTAATCTGATGAATATAATTTTTTTTTTGTCATTTTTAAAGTTAACTAATTGCCTTTTTTACATTTTGGTTTGAGAATGTAAATTCAAGACATTAAAAGCAAATTTTTCATTTATATTAATCATTTTTATATTATTCAATCTCTTTGATGAATTAATTTCTGTACTTGGACGAGTTTTTTTTACAATGATTAAAAACACTTCATTATAAAAAAGTTTAATAATGATTTATTATTTTTAGTTTGTGATTATTTTTAAACTTTTATCTTCAACTTTGACATAATATTAAAATAAAAAAAAAACGTATCACGTTTCTAAAAATGTGAATATATAAATAGAGTTGAAAAAAAGTCGAATTTATTAAAGATTAGAAATTTTTTCTAGATAATGATGTTCGTAAATTCTTAAGCAGTTTAACTCTTATATCATTTTTAATTAAATTACTGATAATGAAATATATTAAAAATAGCTTACATAAACAACGAAAACTTTTATTTCACAATATTATAAACACATAATAAATTGTTTGAAGAATTAATATTGTTATAAATTATCTAACATTGTAATAAATTGGTTAATTTATAGTTAATATAATTATTTTCTCCAAATGTATGAAAGAACATCACCAAATCAATAAATGTGGTTATATTTTTTTGCATTAATAAGATCTATTAAAAAATTATTAGATTTATAACTTGTATCGTGTTTTAAAGATAAAATTACATTTGTATAAATTTATTATTATTTTAAGTCTGTGACAATTCAACATCTGTAACATGGATTGAAAATATTAAATTTTCGAATTACTTTGGTTATCTTGTTAATCATGATCATATTTTCATTTAGATATATTTATGATTACTCATAAAAATGAATTTACAAACATTGCATTTAAATCTAATCGATGAAGATTTGAAAAGTAATTTATTATGATTGATAAACGATAATATGAAAACCCATTTTATCAGGTGTAAGTTAAGTTTATTGGTCAGGAAATATTTCACAAAAATATCCTTTGGACTTACCAAGGCTGATATAAATGACAATGGCAGTTGAACGAATCATTTTTTTACGTTGTTTGTATTTTAAAATGTAAATTAGTTCGCGATTAACCTACAAGTTTTAACACTCGTTTGAGTAATTGAATCAAGTTTAACAAATATCAGTAGTGCATAGCAACGATATTGAATCAAATAAATAAATGAATAATCAAATTGCTAAAGAACATAGGTAAGTATTGGTTTATGACCTACGTTCACTGAACTGTCCTGCCTGAAATCCACGTGAATACTAAACCAATGCCGTCGAGAATGGATACGACTTACCTCCCGCTTGTTGCCCACCCGGACTAAGTACTTCAATCCATACAAATACATAATGCTTTTTTTCCTCCTATTGACTGTTTTGCTATTCACTTCAACACTTATGTTGCTTCCATTTGAACTTCGGACCTTTGTGTGTGTGTATCTCTACTAAATTATATCTTTTTTTATTTTTTTTTTTTTATTTTCATATTATCTCTTTCAATTTTAAGTCCAGTCACATTGATTTCCATTTCTTATGTATACATCAACATAAATTATTCAACTATAGATCTTCTTTAGAAAACTCCAAAAATTTTTTACCAAACTTTTCCTTTTTTTTTTTTTCTTGAAACTCATGTTAGAAAAAGTTATGAAAAAAATCTTCTTTTTATCTTATGTTAATTTTAGTATCCAAATTATTTTTGAGTGTGTTTATAAATATAAATTATTAAAGTGTCAATGCCAATATTGATGTATGTTAAAAAATTTATGGTCATCATTTTTTGTAAATAATTATTCATTAATGAAGAAGTAATGATCTTATATTTAAAAAATAAAATATTCAAGTTTTTTATTAAAAATCAGTCCTCATTGTACATTATCTTTTTAAGAACAATGATGTAATAAACAACAAAAAGGCTTCACAACATCCTTAATAAACATAATTTCGCTTTAAGTTTGATTGATAAAAGAATATTAAATTGTGATGAATAAAAAGATATAATAAATTTATTTTTAATTGTCATTTAATAATGGGAAGTAAGTGCTCGCACCCGACAATGGCAATCAATGCTAGTAATCAAATAATTTATTAAATAAGTATAGTTGTACAATAATCTCGAGTAAATCATGTTCAATGATAATATGCGCTTACACAATGAATTAAAAAAAGAGCAAACATAATAAGTGTTAAAAAAAATACTTTACACATATTCATTTTAACAATTAAACTCACATTAACTTGGAATTTTCCGCTCTAGGTTAAATACAAGCATTTTTTTTTATAATTCGACATCCGATATTTGTATGAATTTATGGATATGATAATAATAATCATAGTTATGTAGGTCATACAATAAATATGTATGAAAACACTCTTCTTTAATTAAGTACGCAAAAATGTATATAACAAAGTGTATTCAACTCTTTATTTATAATTTGTAAGCATTACGAATCATCAGATCGAAATACGCATCGTGATCAATACTTGCACTTATTGCACGATAATAATTTTCAAATTCTTCATAAGTTACCTAAAAAAATAGTATTCCATGATAATCACATATTATTTAAAACATTAATTTACTGCTTTTAACCTTTGGGAATATCAATACTCACAACACCATCTTTCGTGCCGTCTTGTTCAAAATTTTCGAGGAATTTTTTCATAATGCTTTCTTCACTTTCTTCCCCACTGATGTATCGAGGATGACACTTGACATTATAAACCCCTCGAAGATCATCGATTGTTATCTCACCGTCACCAGTCTTATCAAGTTTCTTGAATGCTTGTTCGATCACTTTTTTACGATTCTCTGACATCGGAGGCTGAAAAAAAAAACAGAGCCGGAAAAAATTATCATGATTGATGTTTATAATTCAAGAAAAAGAATTCATGAAAAAGGAATATATAAAGTAATAATTAAATATAATAATAACACTACGATGATTAAATAAATAATAATAATACTAGCTAGTTAAAAAGAAAAAAAAGAACTGGCTCAAGGCGACTTACTCTCACGGCAACTAAAAATTCTGTAAGATCAATGGATCCACTGCCATCAGTGTCAAGCTTGCTCATGATCTCATCAAGTTCACCGTCTTCCAATTCAAATCCAATTTCCTTGAGACCATTTGCAAGTTCTTCTTTACTCAGTTGTTTATTTCCATCATCGTCCATTCTTCGAAATACTCTAAACAGTACAATAATTAAATTAGCACATCTTAGTTAATTATATGGTTAAAAAATAACACAAACTTGTTTATAAAAAATGATAACAAATTATTACAATCATATTCGTATTCAATATACTGATCATATAAATAGTCTCACTGGGTTAGCATTACAGTTAAATTAATCATTTACGAAATATTTAAGACGGGTTATCGATTTTTTTCAGACGTAAAGAACCTTTTTCCCTACATTGACATTGATTGGAACTACCATACTTGACTCAATATTTATCAATGAGTATCTAGAACTCCTATATTATTAAGCTACAAAAAAGGTCTCTACGAAAACATTTTTTCCATAACAAAAGAATATGAAACATGTTTGCTGAGTAAACCACATAATAGCCTTCCAACTAATAACAGACGAATTAACTTCTTTTACTGATAAATATCAATACAATACAAAAGATAACCAACTATTTTTGCTAATAACAGTATCGTATCATCGAACGAGTTTTTTTTCTCTTTTATCTGAAAATTATTTTACATGACACAAAATAATAGAGGTTAAAATAATACTGATATTCATTTAGCACTTATTGAATAGAATATACTATTCCGATTTATTGTTGAAGATATAAATTGGTTTTACCAAAATTTTTAGCAGACAATGTATTATTTTGATCTTCATATTCCTCTGTGATTCAAAAAATATACTTTACCTGTTGAAAAAAAAAATAATATTATCTATAATTATAAAAACAGGTTAAGAAAAAAGAAAAATGACATATTATACCTGCCTAATCCAAGAACACCATTGGCTCCACGAGCTAAACAAAGTAACCGAAGTTTTTCAATAGAATCCGTGGCAGTATGTAAGGCCCTTTGGGCCCTGTTGATCATTTCGAATTCTTGTCTAGTTGTTGCACTAACAGGTCTATTGATCATGTTATCTGCATCACAATGGGGTTATCATAATAATTACCATAGCATTCAGTTATAACACAGAAACACACAAGGTTGCATGTACAAATGAACATACACTGGTACATATTTATATCCGTATTGGAAGAAGAATACAGTTGTTGTATTGTCATCGACCGGACTTACGTGATGTATAGAATGAAAGCAAAGTATTCTTGTGCATAAATTATTAGTTAATCGATTATTTTTCACGCATCGACAATCTTTAGATTTATTCATACATACCCTCGTTTATTTAAATGCATAGTACCAGTCTTATGTCTATTTCTACAATCAATCATGTTTTAATTAAATGATGACTGTATAGAGCTCTTTAGCGCTCACCTAAGTTTATTCCGGCGTGTCCTCTAATAAAGTCTGCAACTAAGTCAGCAATCTACTTACATTTAACTACTTTGTGTGCAACTACAAACATTTACGACTTCCTGCTATTATTTTTGATGTGTGAAAAAGAATAAGCAGTTTATTATACATAACCAAAGACTTTACATTGAGCTCAAAAATAAAATATTGTGCTAATTTTTTATTAACCTTAAATGCCATTTTTTCACAAACCTTATTAAATTGTTAACCGGAACGTATGCCATGCAGTAAAAAAATTATTTTTATATTTAATACTTTTTTATTTATAAATTGACTGATAATTTAGATCAATGTTAATTTGTAAAACAAAAGGAAGGTATCTTTTTGTTTCTGCAGTCATTTATTGATAAAAAAAACGTTTAAATACTCTAATTACTACACAAAAAAAAATTAATTGTAAAAAAAATGTTTATTAATTTTAATATACTACTCTTAATGTAATAAGCTTATAAATAATAATTTTTAAAGTATGAAAAATTAATTAATTAAACTCACCGGAATCGTTTTCGAAGCAGTTTGGCAGTGATAAAGAAGACCGGTTGATGAAAGAAAACGAAGGATGAGTTGATGTAAAGTGGTGATCCGAAGGTATAAACTAGTCTAGTTGATACACCCTAGTAAAAGACGGGGTAGAAAGTGACAACTCAGTAGGTGGAAGGTTTTAGTGTGGTGGTTTATTTACGAGTAGTCTATCGTTCCATAACTACAGCACATACTGCATACCCAATACTAAAGGATTTCATATATAACAACATAGTATATAGCACATATGTTCATTTATTTTTATTATATCATCGATTAAATCAAGCGTTGCATATAGGAGGAATGTTTAATATACTTTACCTTTATCTGCAATCAAGACACCAGTGTTTGCTTGACTTATCTTTTATCAATAGATTAATTATACATTGGTTGAAATAAAACAATTTAATGTTATGAAAAATATGACTCGGTTGTTACATATTTATTTATGTCCTTATTAAAATTTTAACAAAATCAAATTATTTTTTCCTGTAAATTTGATGATAAATCTTAGCTACGATCTTTTTATTTTGAAATTCCGAGCATGACTTTGTTCTGTGGAAATTTTACTTTGTACTAATAAATAAATCATCGAGTTGATAAATGAACGGTTACAAAAGACGTCATGAATTTGAATATTCAAAAATTTTCGCCATCAGTAAAATTGTTTATTACTGTTAAACTAGAGCCCTGGTTTATCGTTCTTCAGCAAACTGCTGTTTTATTGACAGTTAAGTCATAAATTTTTTTCAATTATCGCATTATCTGAAAGAATTTCTTTTATTTGGAAATTATAAAAATAGCAATAATTGTGCTAGATAACATTTAGGAGCTGAAATTACATAGAAAATAAATAATTCACGATTTATTTTTATAACCTTGTAGCAGCCATCTTGATGTTGGAGCGCGGCAAATCAATTCAAAATTATTCAATTTTCTTTTCAATTTTTTTATAGAAAAAATCAATTGGGTAATCAAAATTTCTATCTAGCGCATTGCATCATAAAATAAGCTTCAATTTGGGATGAAAATTTTCAAGTAAAAACGTTAATTCGCGGAGAAATAGAAGCTTACGATCCAATGTATTTAGATAAGGGGAATCAGTCGCCTCCGTGACTTCAGCCCAGCCTTAATTTTTTATTTTATAATATTTTTTTTTAATACAAAAGCAATAAGATCTGTGTTTTTATTTTTATTCCCATAATTTTTAAATATTGTGCACAACCATGGTGTCAAATAATGATAACATACACAAATTTTTCTAGAAGATACTGTCCAAGTGGTACATTTGGGCAAATCATAGCTCGCCATTTGGAGTTGGTAGCCACAATTCGAGTTACTATTGGTTGAGATGCGCTGCGTGGTTGATTATGATTGGCCTAAATCTTTATTCTGTCATCTAGTCTTTAGGAGCCGCTTTGATTAAAACTCGTTGGCATTTACAGACATCGTATTCAACCGACAATTGCCGGAACATCAAAACGTGGAATAGTGAAGTGAAAACATTTGGCGTCATTATTTTTTAAAAGATCATTCCATCGTATTATTGAAGTTGATTGAACTTTAAAACGATGAAAAAGTTTATCTATTTTAGTTTAGTCTTTTTACTTGTAATTGGTAAGATTTGTTTATATTTTTCATAATTTTTTTTATCAATAATATCATTGTACGAAAATGTTTGTGATTACGTATCCTTTAATTTATTTCTATCAGGCTGCTCAAGAGCTGAGAGCGAAAAAGCTGAAGATGAAGTTGGAACAGTCGAAAGAGATTTAGGAAAAAGTCGAGAAGCTGTAAGAACAGGTAAGATATTTAGTTATTCAATAAGCATTTTTTTGAATATTTAATTAGCTCTAACTAAAACTTTTTACTCACTGGTTAACTATTTTTTAAACAGATGATGAAGTCGTTCAAAGAGAAGAAGAAGCAATAAATATTGATAAATTAACCTCTACGCAGAAGTATACATTCCAAGCAGAGGTGAATCGGATGATGAAACTCATCATCAATTCTCTCTACAGAAATAAAGAAATCTTCTTAAGAGAATTAATCTCCAATGCTTCTGATGCTTTGGATAAAATAAGATTACTTTCATTGACAATGAAAAATGTTTTAGACTCCAATCCAGAGCTTGCAATCAGGATAAAAGCAGATAAAGATAACAAAATACTCAGTATTACCGATTCCGGAATTGGAATGACAAAACAAGATTTAATAAATAATTTAGGAACAATCGCTAAATCAGGAACTGCTGAATTTTTATCGAAAATGCAGGATGCTTCGTCGTCTCAAGACATGAATGATATGATTGGTCAGTTTGGAGTAGGATTTTACTCAGCTTTCTTAGTTGCTAACAAAGTCACTGTAACTACTAAGCATAATGATGATAAACAATACATTTGGGAGTCTGACAGTTCAAACTATGCCATCGCTGAAGATCCTAGAGGAGATACATTGAAACGAGGAACAACTGTAAGTCTTCATTTGAAGGATGAAGCCTTGGACTTTTTGGAGCAAGATACGATTAAAAACCTTATTAAAAAGTACTCACAATTCATTAATTTCCCTATCTATTTATGGAGTAGTAAAACTATCCAAGTAGAAGAAACTGAAGAAAAAACCGAAGACGAGGCTCAAGATGTGACTGAAAAATCTAAAGATTCAACTGAAGAAGAAGAAGATGCAAATGTTGAAGAAGCTTCTGAAGATGAAGAAAAAAAGAAGAAAAAGATGGTTGACAAAACAGTATGGGATTGGGAAATATTGAATGATTCTAAACCGATTTGGACTCAGAAACCATCTGAAGTGTCTGATAAAGATTACAACGATTTCTACAAAGCACTTACAAAAGACAGTCAAGATCCTTTGGCTAAAATCCACTTCGTTGCTGAAGGAGAAGTATCCTTTAAAGCTCTTTTATTTATTCCTAGAGTTCAACCAAGTGAAAGCTTCAATCGATATGGAACCAAGACCGATAACATTAAGCTCTTTGTTCGTCGAGTTTTCATCACTGATAAAATTAATGATATGATGCCCAATTATTTGAGTTTTATTCATGGTATTGTTGACAGTGATGACTTACCACTTAATGTTTCTCGAGAAAATCTTCAACAACATAAACTTATTAAAGTTATCAAAAAGAAATTAATAAGAAAGGTCTTAGATATGATTAAAAAACTTTCTGAAGAAGATTATGAAACCTTCTGGAAAGAATACAGCACTAACATTAAACTTGGAATTCTTGAAGATGCCCAAAATCGTGCTCGTTTGTCCAAACTTTTGCAATTTAAATCATCAAAGACTGACAAGCTGACCAATTTAACTGATTATGTAAAAAGAATGAAGCCAAATCAAAAAGCAATTTATTACATGGCTGGAGCAACAGAAGATGAAGTAAAGAAGTCTCCATTCGTTGAGCGCCTTGTCAAAAAAGGTTATGAAGTTTTGTACCTTACTGAAGCCATCGATGAACACAGTATCTCACCACTTCCACAATTTGAAGGAAAGAAATTCCAGAGTGTAGCTAAAGAAGGTCTTACTCTTGATGAAAGTCCAAAAGCCATGGAGAAGATGAAGGAACTTAAGGCTACATTTGAACCATTAATCAAATGGCTTGGAGATACATTAACAGAATATGTTACTAAAGTCCAAATCTCAGAACGTTTGTCAGATTCTCCCTGTGCCTTGGTGGCCAGTATGTTTGGCTGGACGGGTAACATGGAAAGATTAGCCATTTCTAATGCTCATCAAAAAGCCAACGATCCTCAAAAATCCTATTATTTGAACCAAAAGAAAATCTTGGAAATTAATCCAAAACATCCTCTTATCCGAGAACTTTTGAGACGAGTTGAAGCCGATGCTGAAGATGCAACTGCTAAAGAAATGGCTACAGTTTTGATAAAGACAGCTACTCTAAGATCTGGATATATGTTGAAAGAGACTGCAAGCTTCGCTAGCAGTGTTGAACAATTAATGAAGAAAGCCCTTGGTATTCCTCTGGATGAAGTACCTGAAGAAGAAGATGATGAAGATGATGAACCTATTGAAAACCTTACTTCTACTGATGGAACAGCGGAGGTTGATGCTGATGAGGAAGAGCCTAAAGAAGAGCATGACGAACTATAATCCATGAAATTTAATAAGAATTTTCATATACATCATTCGAAAAACCGCATTGACTGATTTAATATTGAATATTAAGCGGTTTTTATTCATTTTTAATTGAAATTAAACTCAATCAATTACTCGATCGCATGTAATTATTAAATATAAATAATACCTGGATCATTTTTCATGTTCATGAGACATCAGAGAGTGAAAATTTACCTGCAAATATGATCGATAATTATCAAATGAAATTTAAATAATCATACAAGTTGAATAATTCATCCTAGTCTATGAAATAATTAATTGTTTTATGTGATTATATTTTCTACAGATTTATCGCACTAAAATTGCATTTAAATTATGAATTTATCTTAGAAAATATAGGTAATGAATGAAAGTTGATCGATTTCTATTTTAAACCCGAAATAATTCCTCAGTTCACTCCATTTTTGTTCTTCCGTCAAATTTTTCATTTAGGAGTGTACTTATATTATATGTACATGTATTGAAAGCGTATTGATATACACAAATGTATTTGTATAATAAAATTATTTAAAAAATATCCTGTTGAATAATTTATAATTTTCTTAATTACTTATCACATAAATAAACCTATCACTCTTTTATTGCATGAACAGGTGATGCATCTAATATTATTTCTTTCTATTTTATTTATTTTTTATACTGATGACTAAGCCCAGCTTTGGAGCATTTTTTTACACTGATAATATGCTAGTTCATAATGCCTATGAATAATATTCAATAAACACACGACAATAAACGATCAACCTTTGACATCTTTTATCTTGTTGAGAAAAAAGAAAACAAGTAGTGAATTATGCTTTGAGCTTAATGCAGGAAGAGCAATTGATTTTTTTCTATGAAAACTAACGGAAAAATACATTATTATTGATAAATAAATAATTTGAATTTTACTAGAGGGGATATATTAACATAATTTTAGCAAAAATGGATTATTGTAACTAATGTTCAATTATTATGGCCGAATATTCAGGTATGTTACTTTATTTAGCTCTAAATGTTCATTTAATTAATAAAAATCGAACTAAATACCATTGTTTATGTAAAAAACATATTTTATTATTACAAAAAACTAACTATTACATATTTTATCTATAAATTAATCCAAATTTGTTGATAAACAAATTATTTCACATCAAAGGTATCTCAAAAGTAAAATCAAAAATGATTAATCTTTTTATACATACAATGTAAGTTAAAATTACAATAAACATCAGTATTCATCATTTGAACTATTTTTTTCTTTCAAAAAATTTAGAAAAAGATATTATATACATTTACAACAATATTCTATCAACTCTTTCTTTTTAGCCAACGTTAAACGATGATTTTTCTTTTTTATCAAAATGGATTGGTTACATAATAAATAATTAAATAAAAAAATTTTTAATTAAATTTCAGACGACGCAAAGATTGTAGACGAAATGTGGATCAATGATTATGAGTCATTCAGCACTGGAATCAAAAGAAATGCAAATTTTACTAAGATTTACTCAATAGGTCGACATACGTTAATTGGTCATTGGTACCGCAATGGTCAGAATATACAAAAACTATTGAATCAGTTAAAAAAATTAATTCTCATTTAAATAAGTAAATCATTTATTATTATAGATCACTTTTAATCAAATTTCTGTTGAATGGTTCTTAGAGGCTGAAGTTCAACGTCATTATTCAGCTACATGGCTTTTACTACCGATCGGATCGATATTTATAACAGCTGTAGTAGTTTTACTTATGGTAAAAATTACAATAAACTTAATATAGTAATATAAATTAATTATTAATTATTTTGTTTTTAATTATTTGTTAAAGGTATTGTTCAACCGATGTTCTCAAATAATAACAGCTGTAGTCACAGGAATTCTGGGATCAATTATATTATTTATAATATTTATCCTAGTGGATGAGAAGACTATTTATGCATAGTTATTTTCCACATTTTATTATTATTAAAAAACTTATATTTATGTTAACAATGATAGTCATTATTTTCATCAATGGTCAAATGGTATATTTAAATAAGAAACTTGATATAAATTATTTATAACTAATTGCAGTTTTTTTTTTTTTTTTACAAGAATAGTCATGTTTAATCCAAGTAAACAACAACAATCACATTTATTCAATTATTGTTAATTAAACTTACTGTTGCTGATGTTGGATTGAACTTTGTATTGAACCATATTATTAGAGACTCGTACAACTGTATCAACATATAAGTCTAATCTTTTCTTCAATCGATCATAGCTCTGTAAAGTAAGAATAAATTTTATTAATTACATGTATTCCTGACGACTGTTATAAAAATTATTTTCTAATAATCAATTTAATTTAAAGTATGCTTCTTATCTTATGTATGTATATTTTTGTCATTGTTAAAATCAGATAACGTTAACTAGATATTAATTGACTTAAATTCTAAATGAATATTCAATGTAAGTTATTGATTCATAATTATTTACCTCAATATAGAGAGGATCTTCTATACTGGCATTCTCTAATTCTAGTAATAAAACTTCCAGAGTATTAAGTGGTAACCATACTGCCGATCCAGAGGGATGCAACGGAGTTGTTAGTCCAAAATATTCTTTTCCATCTCCTAAAACTGCATTTATATAGTCTACTGCTAGGTCTGTTGCTTCAAGCAATCTTCCAGAATTTAAAATAAGTCGAAGTAGTTCTGCTGCATTGCGTTTCTATTAAAAAGAAATAGATAAATACATATATATCAATATATCATAAATAAAAAATTAATATAGGAATATTTACTTATTTTTTTCAATACATTAAATATTAAATATTTATTTAAATTACCTTATAGGAAGTCATTAACCATTGGGGGAGGAAAGCTCCATGATGTAGAAGCTTTCTTGCAACACTCTTATGTAACTCACTACTGCAGTCCTTTTCATGAATTAACGTTAACTTTTCCAAAAGTTTCCAAGAAATATCAGTGACATTAGTTCCATATCCGGCGATATCAAAAACATCATTGTGAACCAACCAATCCCAAGCGTCTGGATCTTCGTGTTCACTTAATCTTACACATTGTGAAGCTAAATTCTCCAGCACAGAACTCTTATTAATATGGAATTTATCACACAAATGAAGAGCTGTTGTATATAATCCAACACTTGATAAAGTCACAACCAATTCAGAAGGACTAGCTTGAGCAATAGTATGCATTTCGGAATTAAATTTAGATAATTTCAGTCTAGCATCGACTAAATAATATTCTTTTTTAATATCTTTCAACTCTAGAACTTCAACAAGTTTCTTTACTTTGTAATGTAATACTTCTTTACCACTGATGCTTCGTTTTTTTTTTGGATTTACTTCATCAGGGTATGTTTGATCAACAACAGGTCTTACAATCCACTTATATTTATCATCAACTAAGCTCAAAACATTGATACATGCTAGAAGACATTGTGATTGACGAGTAATTATTGGCACAGAATGTGATTCTTGACTGAGTCTCATCGCCTGTTCATACATTACTGAGGCAGCTTTCCTAATATTTCCTTTATTAATGTGAAAGCTGTATAGAAAATTATAATAATTATTTTCCATGAGATCTACACTACGTGCTCGACCAATTACAATTCTTTCTAAATCTTCGTACATATCAATATAAGGAAAAGAAACCAGATCCACCAGTTTTTTTCTTTCAAACAGAGTCACTACCAGTTGCCGAAGACAATCAGATCTTCTATCAGGATCAGGGTTGGAATTAAGGCAGTGATAAGCTTCCTTATGATGTCCAAGATGTAGATGTTGAGTAAAAATAATAGAATGTAATGTAGGTAAATTTGGATTATCTTTATCAGCAACTGTGATTGCAGTTTCTGCTAATTCAATGATGCAATCTGATGCACCATGTTGTTCAAATAGTTCAATAATTTTAAGGTAATAATGAACGAGATCATTGCTTTCGGAAGACGTTGGAGCATCAAGAAGAGTACTTGCTAAAAAGGTATCAGTTAAAACACCACTAGAAGCCCGCAAAAAATGATCACAAGCTTTCCTGATCTCTCCCATCTCAAGGAGTGCTACAGCCAAAATGAATTTTCTTGATGCACTATTCCATTCACACCAGGTGCTTAAGAGCCTGACATATTCTTGAACACAAAGAAATTGACAGCTAGATAAAAGCCACTCAGGAAACACAAAATTACCGGAAATTGGCCAGACCAGCTGAGTGATTAGTGTAATATGAGTTAACATTCCATAATGCCAAGGAATAAGAGTATCCCCATCTAATTCCATGTTATTTGCCATGAGAATATAAGCATGTTTCGCTCCAGCACTTTGAACAAATAATTCCAACAGAGAAATTGATCGATGATGTCTGTGAGCTGCAGTAATTCTTCCTTCTGATAATTTTAGTAAAGAAAGTCTTTGTAAGCTGGTATCTAATAAAGTTGGAGGTGAAATTGAATTTGCAGTTGTTTTACAAATCCACATGACAACGAAATAGGCTTGAGTAAGTACTACAGTCCTTGGTGCTAATGAAGATTTTATGGCATGAAGCATTCTAGAATCGAAAACTTCAGGTCGAGATAAGATAATTTGTTGGAGAAATAAAAGATTTCTACAAATAGAAAATCTGAGAAGAGTAATTTGTGAAACACTTTCTGAGATCGTAGAATTTCCTAGTTGGCTGCCGAAAAGATGATTGATATTTAAAAGTAATCTTGAAGCTTCTGGTTCAGCATCTAGCTTCAATTTATCAGGTTGACCCAAGTCATACGTTAGAGCTTCCAGTAACATGGCCATAGCACTAGAAGCATCCTTAATATTTTCTAATTTATGATGTAACTCCATTTGAAAATCAAAATCTACTAAAAGTTCTTCAGGTTCCGCTAAAAGTCTTGAAAATAAATCTTCTACAATATTGTCTGGACCTTTTAGTTGGGCTAATTCTCTCTTAAAGCTATTTTTAACTTCTTCTGATAGCTGATCTTCAAGCATTACTAGTGCAGACATTAACGTAATCAAATCCTGACACGTGTCCTCATCTTGAGAGAGCACTGGAGTTGTCTTGAATTTGGAAGCGTAACATTTTTCATTAGATAGCATCAGGTGTTCTAATGACTCCATTGGACGAAGAAGAGAAAAAAATGATTTTTTTAGAAGCACGATGCCATAAACACATGGAAGAAGAAGCAATCCAACAGGTCTACTGCCATTAATATGGTACTGCACAACACAGGAATAAAATTTAGACCAGCATCTATTAGCTATTTCCAAATAGTCTTCATCCATCAGCTCATAATCCATTACTTCAGCTTGGATTTCAGCTTCTACAGCCATACAAACTCGTTCTTTAAGGATAGCAGGAGAAAGTGTGATGTCAGCGATTAAATTTGATCTTCTGTAAATACTTAAAGCTCTTGTAATGTCAGCAAGGGAGAATTGTCCAGGATGGAAGATGTAATTAATGTAAGCCTGTCTCGGATCTATTCCAGGATCACTTACAATATAATCTCGATCTGGAGGCTCTTCTAAAATCGCTGTCTCCCATTCAGAATTTACTTGAGCACCACTTAAAGGTAATTGAGCATGTGATACAGCAACTGTGTCCATATCTGTAGTCCTCCATACAGCCCAAAGACGAGTTGGAGTAAAAGCGAAGTCAACCAAGTGTTGATCTGGCGCAAAGAGGGTGCATATTCTGATAAATTTGAATAATCCTGCATCTTGAACAGGTTTTAAAATACTAAATTCACAACCTGTTGAAAATTTGAGATATGTTCCAAGATATAGCTCATTGTCTATTGATCCAAGAACTTTTCTTAACATATGACCGTGTACACCTTGTGCTGCTAGACGATTATCAATTGCAATATCTGCTACTGCAATACATTGTGCTTTATTACACGACCACATTCTCACATTTCCATCACGGCAAAGGGCAAATAAATACGTATCATTGCCCCATGTATGAATAACAAGAGACATCGCTACTAAACTCTCGGAATTTTTTCCTCTAAATGCTGTAGCTATTCCACTTAAGAATCTTGGCATGATTGAGTCTTGTTTCAATTCACTTGTATGAACTAAACCAGTCATAGTATCTAATCTCAGTAATAAAATGCTACCTGTATTGTAAGCTAGGGCAAAAAGAGCTTCTTCCTGTGGAAGAGTAAGCCATGATGCTGCTGCATGAGGTACGATAACGTTTGTTGTTCCAACATTTGAAATTAAATGGAAAGAATGAGGATCACGAGCTATTTGTGCTGATGCTTCACTTAATATTGATTGAATGGCAAGATCTGGATGCGCTCCAAGCAAATGTTCCTGAAAAAATTTGAATATTCAAAATAATTTTAAATATTCCATAAGTAATCAACATGTTTGTTTTCATAAAAATTTATTACCTGCTTGTGAATTTTGTCTGGATGAGGAAATGTCAATTTATGAATACTCGAGACTGTAGCTACAAGAATAATAACTGAATTAACAGTCTCATGAATAGATATCCCATCTAATATTGGAGTATCAGTAAATTTATATCTAACTCTGCAATTAACTAGGTTTATATCAAAGCTATGCTCAACTAACTCCAAAACATCATGAGAAATTCTCCAATAAATAAACCGATTCCTTGTGTAATATTTGTAATTATCTTTATATGAATATCCACTGGCTCTTTCCGGCACTTTGATATCTTGTAGAGTACTTTGACTTCCACCTAAAATGAATTATTTAATTAAAAATTGAACATGTGTGTAATACTTTATTCATCTAAAATTACGTATGAAAAAATGGTTTTTTACAATTACTATTTTTTAATCTAATAATAAGTAATGTACGTTTATCTAAAATGACTTTAATAATTTATTTTGAACTTTTATACATAAATAATAAAGTTTAATGACACATAGTAGAGGTTATGTCATGCTCCTTACCGGTATTTAATATGATTTCTTTCCATTTTTCAGGTTGCGTTTGATCAGGAACAACTTCCCGGTATCCCAAAGGAAACTCAAACATTATGATACAATAAAAAATACTTTATTTATTTATTTATTTACTTTTAATTTAAAAACAATTTTTTTACATTTTGAGCGGGCTGCTGTCGATGCGTTCTTCGAGTGGCTGTTTAATGTCATAAAAGGACACCAGGTGGCGATTCTGTATAAATCACCCGCTTAATTTAAATTTTCAATTGTGATTATGAAAATTATGATAATATTATTTTATTATATCATACATTTATTTTATTTTTATATAATTTATAAAAACCATCATTATACTGAATATTTGAATTAATGTGGAAATGAGTTAATATGGAAAGAATTAGCTTACTTTTAAACACAAAATAACTGATGTCATCCATAGATTATTTGAAATCGCACAGAGGGCGCTTCGTGTTACTGGAAGCAGTTAAAATTTTGTTGTTGTGTGCATGTGTTTTAGGAATGTGTTCATTCAAATAAACCGTTAAAGTTGCGTCCATTTTTCACGTATATATTAAAATATTAAATTAAGGAAAGCTATCAAGATTTAAATAAATATTTAATTATTTTAATCATTAATAATAATGGCTGATAAAAAAATAAATGTGAATATCAGGAAAAAAAATTGTTGTAAGTTACTTTATGAGTTGCTATCTTTTGAATATGTAAGCTCACTACACATTTTGTTTTCAATCTATGTAATTTATTGCATGAAATAATAGCTAGAAAAGTTCTTTTAATTTATCAAATTTATAATGACAATATTTTTTATGAAATGCTTAATTATATGATATATAATTCAGAGTCTAAACAGAGTCTAAATTATTCATCTAGTGATCTGTTTACACTAAATTTTCAAAGCATTTTTGACTCTAGTTTTTATTTACTTCTTTGAATGTTTTTCTATGTTTGTAGTGTTGACTTCTTAACTGGTACGAAGGCTTATTATTTCGTATATATTATAGTGATTTATTGGCTCTTTCCTAGCACTCAATGATGCACTTTCATGCTTCAATGGTTACTGTTTCACCATTAATTGACTTTGTTACATTATTTGCATTAGAAAGTAATTATTTTATAATTATTTTGAATTTATCGTTATCATAAAATATTTTTTCTTACAAATAGTTAATTCCAAAGTTAGTTTATGCAATTAAAAAAAACGATATTATTCTAGGTGCCAAAATAGAGCCGGACTCTACTACCAATGACTCAACCATCAACTCTGATTTAACGAATTTCTCCACAGACTCTGTGACATCAAATGGCCATTTCAAACACTGTTGCACTAACCATTCAGATCAATGCATTTGTGCAAACTTAATAAAATTCGCAAAAGCTAGAGAAAAACGGAAGAGACGGGAATTAGAAAGGATGAAGAGAAGAGTATTAAATTCTAGTAGTTCTGATGAAGATGATAGTAAGACCTACAACAAAACATCTAGAGTTAAAAATGTATCACTAAATTCATTAAGATCATTGGAGTCGAGTGATCCTTCATTTTATACTGCTGAAGTTGAACCATCTAAACCTCCGTCTCCAAGATCATTTAGCAGTATAAAAGAGCCTTTTAATTCGGATCTATCAACAGGAAAAGAAGAAATTTCCGATTTGAATCATAATGAAAACAATGACCAATTAATAATACAACAAATGAAAAGTGGATTATTTTCTCATTTACCGAACTCAAATTCAGTAGTCGAAGAAAAAATAAAACCTTTTTTCACGCGTTTAAGTATTGTAGCTCAGGAAAAATCCGATGATAATGAGTTTAAAGAATGCTTAACAGCAGCTTATCAAGCATCTCAACAAGATCCTAAAGACTTTGCATCAAGATTAACTACAATTCTTGAAGAATCTACTTTGTCGCAAGGAAATTATACAGTCCAGTATTTTCATAATATTTTTACAGCATTTAAAAATGTTGATATTCAAAATGAATCTCTACCCAAGTCATTTATCGATAAAACTATATCACCATGTTCACAATCCACACCTAAGAAGATATTATATCCATTCGGACGAGATACTCCAAAATCTACAAAGAATATAAATAAATCCCAAGCATCTCCATTATTTGTATCAACTTTATCTCGATTTGTTGAAGCAGCTAATCAGATATTAACACATCCAAATATATCTGCATTACAATCTCCTTCGTCATTATGTGATTCTATGTCTAGACATAATGATTCTTCATTCACATACTTAGAAAAAAAATATGTAGGAGAATGTACAAGTTCGCAAAGTAGTGTTCCAGAATTAACTGAAAAAGAAAAAGAAGTACTTGCACTGTGTCAAAAACAATTGAAAGCTTTAGAAGATTCTCCACGAATACAAAAAGAAGCTTCTCCACTATACAGGAAAAAAGACTGTGAACTCGGTTCGAAAATCGATTCTCCTTGTTTTGCATCAACAAAAAATTATGAGGATACGAACGATATTGATTGTAATAGCCAGAATGATAATGTTGATGATAGTATTTTGAATGAATATGTAACACAGCGTCGCAGATGTTTGGAAACTGAGAGAATGATTCGAGAAATCCAGGCAGCTTCTATTCAAGATTCGAATATTGATTGTAATTTTTTAAATATATTAACAGAATGCTCTGATTTCCCAAAATTGGTTAAATCGAGTAATAAACCAAATTCGACTAAAAAAGTGTCACCATCATTGAAAAATAAAGAAGTAAAAGTATCATCAAGAATAACGCCTAAATCAACTACTCCAAAAAATATTAATCGAAGTCCGAAAAAACTTGGTACTGGTACACAATCATCGAAGAAAAAACCAGTTGTTAAAACAGTTTTATCAAAAACTAAAATTCAATCGTCTGGACATACTGTTTCTACAAGATCTCCAGTGACACACGCTAAACACTTAAATTTCATATCTCCTCATTTGAAACCATTTAATAAAAATCGCAGATCTGGATCTCGATCTCCATCGCCTTCACCGTCTTCTTGTAATAAATCTAAAACACCGAAAACTCCAACATCTTTGCCTAAGATTATTATTACTTCTAGTACTCCTAAATTTAGGCCGTCTCCCAAACCTAAATTAATGAATCAAAAAATAGTGCCAGAGAGTCCGAAATCAATTTTTCTTCCTGGAGGCAAATATTTCACTATTCCAGGAAAAACTCCAGATCAGAGACAAAAAACAAAAAAAACTTATTTTAAAGAACCTACACCGCTTAAAGAAAAATTTTTTAATATTGATAATATAAGAAGTCCTGTAAAGGATTATATTGATGGAAAGGAGATGGTTGTCATAAAACATGAATGTAGGCTTGAAAATTCAGAGAAAATAAAGGTGAGAAAAAATTTTCGTTGTATAATGTAAGCTGTTTATTATTTTTTTTACGTTGATAATTCTTTTTTAATACTTAAATTCAATAAATATTATAAAAATAAGATTTGAAAAAAAATGATCTCTTTTTCAGAATAAACGAAAAAAATCGGATAGTAAAGAAAATTTATCTGTTAATGAATCAAATATTAATGAAGTTCATGTACCACTATCAAAAGTTTATAGTGTGTGTCGTATAGAATAATTATTTAATATATTTTTATAGCCTTGTATAATTAATTAATTCTATATATTTAATTACAGATTACTCCGACTACAAGAAAAAATTTAGAAGTTAAAACAAAGTTATCGAAAGATGAAAACATGCAGAATGTTGAGCACAAAGTTGGTGAGTCATAATCAAGTTTTATAAGCCTAGAGAAACTTCATATATTGGAAAGCTATAAAGGTACATATCGCCTTACAATAGGTCATGCGAATCCAAGAGTGGTTGAAGATGTTGTTGTGCATTATTCAATACATTTGACAACCGTTGCACAAAAAAAGGCATTTCATATTCAATCAGAAAACTAAGAATGATAATGATGATTAATATTAACAGAGTCATTGATTATTTTTTTTTAAATAATTGACATTTATATTTGATTCCATTTATTGCTTGCCATTTTTAATATTTTATCTAATCTACTATTTCAACTGAATAAATTATTTAAATTTAATAACATAGATGATAAGCAGGTGAAATTTTATCAAGAATTAATGAAAACCTATTCTAAATCTTTGATTCATTCAAAGAAATTATGACGCAACTAATGGAAAATTTTTGAACGGGGGTTTTTAATACATTAATCAAATAAAAGTGACTGTTTTTGAGATAGATTGAAGATAATTTTGGGATATCCCTATAAGATAACTAATTTTGTTATGATTAACCTAAAATGAGTCACTTGGTTGACCTTCTTTCAATAATCGAACTACGCCATTCTAATTTTTCCGTTCTATTTTTCTGGTTTTTCTTATCACGGTAACATACTTTTTTTTTATATAAGCATGAAAATATTATTTGAACATTGGTAAATAGAATATAATCATTGATGAAGAAATAGGTTGAGTTTATTCAAGAAAGAATGAAATGTTTGTATTCAATAAACAAATAATTTCAAGTATATCATAACTTCGAAATCTTCCATCAAATTTTTGATTTTTTAAGAATGGAAGTTTCTATTAATACAATAGGAATTTATCAATGATTCTATAGAAAAGTAAATGAACAATAAATATTATAAAGAAATAGATTTTTAAAAAAAAGATGCAATTAATGTTTTATATGATGAGAGTTTATGTAGATAAGAAAATGATTAGTAATGTTCATATGCTACTTAATGTATTTTTGTCAAATATTTCATTGTAAAGAAAGGTTATGGTGGTATATAAAATACATTTTAATATTTATAGTAATTTTAATGATTGAGAAGTAAGTTTAAAAATAATTGATATCAATTTTCAAGAAAAATAAAATTTATAAAGCAATTAATACTATTTATATTGAATTGAGCCAGTTTTGATAAATAATAATAAAAAAAAACAGTAAACATCATTGTGGTATTATTTTTTTGTTAGAAAAATCATTAGATATTAACATTAATCAATTAAAGCTTTTGATTAATTTTTTTATTTATGTTTTATCATAAAGTATTAATATAAATGATTAATTATATATAATATTTTTTTGATGAATAGCTATGAAATTAATGGTTTAATATTCAGCTAGGTGTGATTTAATGAGTCCTTCTAAAAATTTTTTAAATTAATGGCACAGATAATTATTCATTAACTCAGAAAACTATTTATAAAAATGCAGTCTAAAAATGATCAAGTGTCATGGTATTAGAGATCAATATCTAAGTTAATATAATTTAGATCGGAAAGTTCGAGAACCTTGAATAATTATGTATCTGTTTGTATATGAACAAATGAATTACTCATAATCACATTACCGGTGTTTCTCAAATTGTTGCACACGGTGCGCTAAATGATGTGAGAATCATATAATTTTCAAACACGGCGTATCATGAAACAACCAATCATAATTTACGACGTAGTCACGTTATCTGTTTATGTTGCGCATGGCACACAGCATCAATTGTTGCACACGACTTGAGAAGCCTTACTTACGTGGCGGGGCAAATCAATAAATACCTACCACATCGTGCTCATTGACATACAGTTCAAACAAAGTCGTTTAAACAACAACTCAGTGTTCAAGAAGTTTAAATAATTTTTAATCATTGTCAACATGCCTAACCCTTGTTGCGAGAAATGCAAAGGTAAGTCAATATTTCTAAAACTATTCTTTTCAATCGATATTCAATAAAATTATTAATTTCTAACTTGTATTGTTCGAAGAACTACTCAAGATTTCTTTAATTTATAACTGGAAGTTTTTCCAATTTTAAACTTTTTAATTATGAATATATTTGCTAGGCATTTAGCAATCATTCATTACGTTCAATTCGAAGTTAATGAATGTGCCTCAATAAACGTTAGAATTTTTATAGAACCATTTTTGATCTTTGGATTAATTAAATTCTTAGATTAGATATGTGTTCCAGACCTTAAGATTTAAAGAAAATGAATATAACTAGTAACTTTCAATTGAATAATTATATAATTTTTAATTAGTTAATTATCGGTACAAAATATCTGCAAAATTCAATTATCTGTTCAATATATCTCTATATTATCAACTCTTTTAATTATAAAGATGTGTTTATCAGACAGAGTATATTAATTAGTTTAGTTAACACATGGTTCATTATTTTATTGATAATTATAATTTATAAATGATTTGTTAATATTTTTATTTGTAATATTCTAGACCAATGCCAAGGCAATTGCCAATGTGGTGATGGATGCAAATGCTGCGACAAAAACTGCGGCTCAGGTAAATTTATATGTATTTAATAATATTTAATTATTAATAGTTAAATTTATATGACAATGGAATTTTATGAAAAGACTTTATACCAATGAAACGGTAACTAAATTATAATAAGCATAAAAAGCACCGTGAAAATTTTAAACTAGTTCTAAGTGCACTTGAAGAAATCATGACTAGATTTATTCCTATTTGTTTTTTGTTGTGAGTCAATGACCGAACTGGCATGAGCTCTGAGAGTAACTCTCTTTGACTGTTCATGCTTTATGTTCGAGAATATTCCATTAGATTAAACTAAATAATCTACATTGTCATAGCTAGAATTTTTATTAGATAAATGATTTGAAGTATTTTAATGAATCTTTATTGATATTTTTTCAGATAAATGCTGCTGCAAAATGGGAAGTGTCGAATGCAAATGCGATCCTTGCTGTTGCAAATGAAATAACCGTTAATTGAAACAACATTCCATCATGTAAATTCCAGACAATCGGGATCTTTATTACAGTTATTTCCATTAGGGATTCAATCAATAGATCAATTGAAATTAAAGATGTATTAATTAGAATATTAACTCTTTTTTTTCTGTTCTGTTAAAATTTAAACTTATATTATAATTATATTACAATGTAAACAAAATTTATAAATTAGATATTTATTCACAAAATAAAAATGTTATAAAAAAATAAAACATTGACTAATATTTAATTTGTGATGTAATTCTTTAAAATTCATCAACTTCAGTTTCACTTTAAGAAATATGGAAACTGAGTTAACAGTGAATTATTTTTTATAAAAACCACTAAAAATAAGTACAATATTTTTTGTTTATTTGAGATAATTTGTATTTATATTTTGAAAAATCAATGAGAATATTTAGTATAGAAACCAATAGAAATAGATATTTAGAGTTTATATTTTGTACTCTAACATACAAAGTTCAAATAATTATTAAAATTTAGAGAGTACTCTGAAATTTACTGTTAGTAAATAGACGATTTGATAAAGTTTTTCGCATTCTGTGTTTATGTCTTATATTTACTATCAGTAAAATCTCTCTAATAAAATTGGAAACCTGTCAGCAACATATTGAAGTAAAGCAATATACCTATAACTATCTCGAGAAAATAGTACATTTTGCATATTACTTTTTTATTGTGTTTGAGAAAGTTATTTTTTATTTAAAAATTGAAATTTTTATTATTATGCTTTTGAAAATTCTTGCTTTTAATACTTGAATCTTAAATTTATTCATATTCTTATTCTCTATTATTGTTAAGAAAATAGGCATAAAATTTTGCGTTTATTTGGTCATTTTATTTTTATCTTTCATATCAGTACTGTTAATATTTTAAATAATTTAATTATTATTTATTTGCAAATGTTTTTTTCCTTGATTTATGAATAATTAAATCATTTCTCATGCAAGTATAGGAGAATATTATTTATTTTAAAAATGTGTCATAACTTTATTTTTTTTAAAAAAAAGAGAATTCTTATAATATATTATATATATATAAAATATTAACACTTTTATCTGCAAACAAATAATCTCGTCGTGCGTTCTTAAAAATCGTTATCAATTAATCAATTTTTATCATTATCTAATCACCTGCATTTGTCGCATCATGGATAATAATTGAGCGGTCAATTTATTATTTCTCTACCCTCACGCATCATTCAGTACGTTGGAGAGCTATAAATTTACCTGACGTTTTTTTCAGAATATTCCAAAGAAATGTAAATAAAAAAAAAAATTTATGTAAATTATTATAAATAATTGAAAGATTACAGTTGATACCCTTATAAATTAACACCTTGAATGAAGTTAGTGTAAACAATACTGAATGATAAATAACAATAGTGTCTTTGTTTTATTTCCTATTTCTGCATCAGTATCGTGTAGTTATTTCTAATAGTGCAAGTTATAAAACAACGATGAAAATAAAAATAATTTTTTGTTTTATAACCAGTATTACACTTGGTATATTGTTTATTTTTATGATCAATAATCGTGATAATTATGAAAAAGGAACATTATTGACTCAATTAAAATTGCAAATGTCAAATGACTTGAAAAATAAAAACATTGCGTGCTATTTTGATCCGGCTATTCCAGATTTTTCTAAATTATTCAATGAAGAAGGTAATTGAATTATTATATCATAAAAAATCATTATTCAACGTACAAATATTTTATTCATAATTATAATTCAACTTAATCGTAATACAAATAGAAGATAAATTTCGCGCTGAGTCGACCAATTTTTGCCATATCTTGTTCTATCGCAAATAGTTTCATATGTGTATGATAAAAATTGATGACGGTAAGCATTCAAATCTCATAAAAGATTTAGATTAGTAAAGTAGAATAAAAAACTACGAAAGAAGTCGAGTTGTTTTTTACTACATTCTTTGGTGTTTGATTATTTTTTTATTAGTAGATTAATTATAAAGAGTTAATAAATTTTTTATCAATAAATAAACTTAAAAATGTTGTTATCCAAACAAAATTATTTTTCTCAAATTTAAATGAAATGATAAAGTAGAAAAATTTTATATCAACGTAATAACTAGTTTTTGAACTGCCCATCAATATTCGAAAACAAATATAAGGCCTATTAGTTATTATGATGGAATTAATCAATTCATATTTAGTAGTGTAAGAAATAAGATAACGACTTTATCTACCTAGATGACTAGTGTTGTGGTATTAAAACTATTGAGTGAATATTCTAAATCTATTATTTAGGTTCCAATGTATGACTTTAACTATAGTTATCAATTTAAATTTATCAAAGTATAAATGTTTGTGCATTCTTTGTATTTGTTGGTAATCTAAGAATATTTATTTTCATTCGATTTCATAAACTATAGATAATGCTTTTAGTACTAATAATACTCTAATTTTTATACACGTGGTTCATTCAGACAAAGTACGTCGAGCGATAATAGTAGGAAGAATGAAAGTAAAAGTTGAGTTCTATATTATGTGTGGTATTTGTTTGTGTTTATTATTGTTTTTAATCATCAGTAATATTCAAATTCAAAAACTTCAAAATAAACAAGATATTACATGTTATTTTGATCGACGTGTTTCAGATTCAGCAAAATTATTAATAGAAACAGGTAAATTTGTAGTAAATAAAATCAGTCTTCTTATTCAATAAGAAACTAATCATCACTTTTAATAATTAGAGTTGACAGAGCCATCGAAGATAGGAAATCACATTTTTTTCCTCGAAACGTCATGTCCTGAAGATGGAGAATTAGTATTAAATCCTCGACAAGCTTGTGCCATCGAATCAGCGGCTAAAATGAACCCGGAAATGGAGATTTATTTATTATTTCTCAGTCCAACAAATTTTTCTAATAAAACGAAGAATCTTATCGATCATTTAAAAACCTATAATAATATCAACATTCGTAGAGTGTTTATGAATGAATATGTAAAAAACACACCCCTTGAAGAGTGGTGGAAAAGTGGTATTTTTCAAACTAGTCAGTGGCCTAGAGAACATATGGCTGATGTCATGCGATTCCTAACACTTTGGAAGTTTCCTGGAATATATTTTGATCTTGATGTCGTAATAATGTCGTAAGTTTATTTGATATTCACATTGAAAATTTAAATCATAGACATTACTTCATTTTAAGCTATTGTTATTCTGCTTCAAAGTTCGTTGAAGAACTTGACAGATTTTGCAGGTGCAGAAGATTCAGAAGTTGTTGCTATTGGAGCTTTAGGGTTTGGTTCTAAACCAATAAGTCGGAGAATAGTGACAGAATATCTAGAAGATTTAGCTAAGAATTTTCGTGGTGACTTGTGGAGGCACAATGGTCCTGATATTCTCACCAAAGTGCTACAAACAATTTGTGGTACTCAAAATGTAAGAATACAAATTCCTTTTACTATTGAAAATAAATTCACTTGTTTTAGAAGGGTAATATTTATTAAATTTGAATGGGACTTTATTATTACAAATAAAATAAATACGTACACTCTGAAACCATTAATCTTTTTAATTAATATTAATGTTTAAAAAAAATTGTAATTGAATTTAAACAATGATAAAAAAATGAAGTTCTTCAATAGGTTTGTTATGTTTCAGGCGCTTGAAATGGTAAAAGAACGATGTGAAGGATTCACAGTTTATCCACCTCATGTTTTTTATCCAATTCATTATAATTCATGGAGGAGGTATTTTGAAAATATCGATAAACATACAACTATGAAACTAATTCAAAATTCAATAACAATTCATGTGTGGAATAAATTAAGTTACTTGAAAGAAATCCAAGTTGGTGATGATGTACCTTACGCTGTGACTGCTAATCAATATTGTCCTAAAATTTATCACAATTGTGGACCAATTTTTTAGCGTATTTTTTTTTTTATTATTAAATGATAATTATGTTTTTACGCTTTAACTATTTTGTTTCTTAGAAATTCAATTGGTGTGAATGACTTATTAATTTTTTTATTGAGTACTTGATCTTTTTTGTACGTAATCAGTCTCAGGAGATTATACATAAAGGGAGGAGGGATAAAGTTGAACATAGAAAAACCGTGAATCAATAAATTTTTCAATATGAGATATTGATAAATATTTAAAAAAAGATAAAAAAAAGGTTTATAAGTATTTTTAAGATTTTTTTTTAAATAAATTGATAATTTTTTTCAAGCGTTTCACTTCGCTCCTGTGTTCCACTTTAATCTTTCTTTCTCTAATTATTTTGTATTACATCGTTTTGATTGAATAATATTTATACACTTCTTCATTCTTAATTTTTCAATTGTACTATTACCATTTGCTGTTTTTAGTTAATCTAAAATATAGATATTTGAACATTCTTCCCGTGATTTGATAGATTAAAAACATCTGTTTGTACTATATTGTACTGATTATTAAATTTTATGAGCTATAATAGTGATATTAGAATTGATAATGAAACTGTAATTTTTTTTACAAATATTTCATTTGAACAGAGCACGTTGATAGAGAATCTGGAGAAAAATGAAAACAAAAATAAAATTTTTTATTGTGTACAGTATTTTATTGTGTATTGGGATTTTTTGTGTATATATGTTTTATATATATAAATATCACAGCAGTATTACTAATTGTTATAATAATACAATCGACAACTTTCGAAAAAAAAAAAATATTACTTGTTATTTTGATTTAACAGCGTCAAATTCTATTAAAAAATTGGAAGAAAAAGGTAAATTATTAAATATAATTAATTTTATATATTCAACAAGAAGTTAATCCTTTTTTTTCATAAACTAGAATTAACAGAAATATCACAAATAAATAATCACATTTTTTTTGTTGAGACGTCATGTTCTGAAGACGAAATATTTCTAAATCCTCGACAAGCATGTGCTGTTGAATCAGCGGCAAAAATGAACCCAGAAATGGAAATTTATTTATTAATCCTGAGTTCTGCCAATTTCTCCAATAAAACGAAGAATCTTGTTAATCATCTTCAAACTTATAATAATGTCAACATTCGCAAAGTGATTATAGGAGAATATGTAAAGAATACAATTTTGGAACAATGGTGGGCAAGTGGTATTTTTCAATCTAGTCAATGGCCAAAAGAACACATGTCTGACGTTTTAAGATATCTTACTCTCTTAAAATTTCCAGGAATTTATTTGGACCTTGATATGGTGACAATGTCGTTAGTTGATTAAATAGTTGAACATCATTAAGTAATAATAGTATTGTAAGATACCATAATTACCTTTGAAATTAAGATCGTAGACACGTAATTACGTCTTGTAGATTAGCAAGTCATAATTCAATTCTATGATTAATAATAACTATACAAAATATTGTTTCAGGTCTTTGAAGTATTTAGAAGATTTTGCTGTGGCACAAGATTCAAATTATGTTAATTCAGCAATTTTGAAGCTATCTGCATCAAATATTGGACGAAGAATAGCTTCTCTGTGTTTAGAATACCTTACGAAAAATTTCCAAGGTGATTCATGGTTCAACAATGGGCCGGGAGTCATAACTAATATTTTACGAAAGTTATGTGGAACTAAGAAAGTAAGTGTATGAATTATTAAAAATTTTTCTTGAAAACTAACTTAATAAAGAATATAAAATTTTTTAACTTTTATTTATTGTTTAATTTCCAGACTTATGAAATGTCAAAACAATCTTGTAGAGGATTCACAGTTTATCCACCTTCAACTTTTTATCCAATTGATTATAGTATTTGGATAGATTTTTTCGATAGTAAAGAGAAAAATAAAACGATGGAAAAAATTGGCAAAGCTTGGGGGATCCATTTGTGGAATAAACTCAGCACTTCTAGACCTATTTATGTTGGTGAAGATGTTCCTTATGCTTTAATTGCCAGTCAGTATTGTCCTAAAATTTATCACAATTGTGGAGATATATTTTAGTGAATATTATCAAAGCAGTGTTTCTATAACTTTATAAATAATCATTTTTATATTAACAATTTTCTCTTTATATTTACCAAATTTTTGACACTCATATGATGTTATTAAAATAAAAAATCTAGCCACGTAAAAAACTTTGAATAACAATATTTTATTAAAACATTTTCAAATTTAATATTCTATGATTTTTCACGATGATGTCGCATATTATGTTCGTCGTAATTTTTAAAATGCATGTAAATTATTTTTATCTGATACATACTTATTCATTAACACGTTAATCTACTAGTACTTTGAAATTTAGATTTATTTTATTCAAACTGTCGTTCACAGAAGGAAATGAATTCCATGTGACATCAAACTTATGTATTAAAGTGTAAAATAATAAATACATCAGTGTATGTTACTATTTATACATGCTCTTTTGATCCTCATATTTTCACATGGGTAGAATGTGATTCACATGTTCTGTTTCTCAAACCTCAAATTATACAGATATATATGTAAAAATCGATATTCATATCACGTGCGATTCGAGCTCAATCTTATTTCCGTCTTTTCAACGAGGAAAGGAAATAGTCCTGCCTCGGGGTATCATTTCGATGATAATGACTATTATATTTTTTGTTTCAAGTCACGGTAGTAAATAAAAGTTTAATGAAATATTGTTCAAAAATGAATCCTCATCATACTTAGAATATTTGATCTTGATGAAGAATTTTTAAAAGCTGTTCACCACTTGAAAATTTATTTCAATCTATAAATCCCATAACATCATTGTTTCAGGAAGTTTTTAGTGTAATTGCAAAATAGTAACTTTTTAGAAAAAAGATGTTTCTATCTCGTACAATTGTAATTCTCACAATGTTATTCAATTCAATGTCTCGTACAGCAATGCGATTAATTTCCTCAAAACATCTGGCGAAAACTAGTTTTCGGAACCAAGTTCTACGTGCTGTTGAAACGAACGTGTTCCTGACCCTTTAAACATATATTGTAACAGTAATATTAACTCTTTCTTTTTGAACTTTATTTCATCTCTTGCTTCGCTACTAAATCATATTAAAAGTGAAAGGTCTGAAAGCGTTGCTAGAAATAAATCAAATAGACAGTTGATTGATTCCAAATGTTTTCATTTTTTTTATCTTGTCTCAATTTAATAGAAATAAACAACTTTTATGTGATATTAAAGTTGAAAAGTTGACACGAATGATACTGATGATGTTAATTTTTACGCTTGAATGTGAAAACTAGATGTCCTTAATGTAAAACTTTTGGCTTTTATCCAATCGAGTAAAAAATAAGTAGATGTACTCACATTTCATCTCTATTTTATGATAACGTTATAATAAACTACAGTCTTTAGAAATTTAGAACATAAAATACGATCGAATAATGAATGTCGAACATGCAATGTGTCGCAATAGCTGTAATTACTGCAGTGAAGTTCTTTAATATGTATTCATGAATTTTTCTATGAAGCTATAAACAGCATAAAATAATACTTTTTTTTTATTGAAGATGCAATAAAAAAAATTCACATGCTTTTAAAGTACTCAATTCCAGTGTGCTCATAAAATTTAGTCATGTAGCTCACTAAAATATATCTAATATATATTCTTCTGGTATTTAATGCATTACAATTATTTTCTTTAAATTATTACACCGACATGACAAAATATTATACTAGGATTTTTCACATTCAAATAATTTATTGATCATTTATTATTTTGTATAATTAACTTTTTTTATCTATGAACGCAGCTTTAATGTTTATTACCGTGTTCAACAATTTTACCAACAACATATTTAATTGATGAATAATGTTTCAATGCTATCACCGGAAATATTTAAAAAATAAATCCTGTATGATCCAAAGATATTTTTAGATTTTGAGAGATTGAAGAAAATTCGTTAAAACTCATGATTATTTTTTCAAGTCTTTATGAAGATTTTAAAATGAGCAAAATATTATTTAAATCAGAGTTTGCTGTAAGAGGAGAACTTTCTGTTATTACAGTTAATCTTAGTATTTGCTATCGTTCATTATGTCAACTTCTCTGCTATCAACTTCCTTGTAAGAATTTCTTTGAAGTCGTTCCTTTGAAGATATTTATTATTTAAAAAAAAAAAAAATAGTGATAATATGAAAACTAATTCATAAGTACGTGCACAAAGATAGGAACATTTTCTTATCATTAAAATAGTTAAGAAACATGGTGGATAAAGGAGCAAACCTTCATCCACTATCATTCTACATACTTGACAATTATGTTTTGGAGATTGTACGTTTCACCCTACGTCTACCAGACAATAGACTACATAACATGTGTTTGGAGACTGTTATCCTCAGTAGATTAAACATCTCATCCTAGTAAGACTGACACCAAATAGAAAGTGATGACAGATAACGACTGGTAGGTTAATGACCTAAATTTAGGTATGGGTTAGCATCAATATTCCAACAGAATTGTATAAGTGTAAAAATGGTGTGAGTGTGATAGACTTAAATTGGAAAAAGCACAAAAAATAGATAAAATGTAATAATAATTTAGTTTATGACATTTATAAATGAGTATAATACACTCAAATCTGCTAGATTCTCACCGTCAATATTATCGACAGCTAGCTTATTTAATTTTTTGTTCTTTTTTTTTTACAAAAAGTAGCTTATTTATTGTGATTAACTAGCTTGAGACGTAGCAATTATATAAAATATAAGAAATATTTGTGAGGTTTAAAAATAATTATTTTTTTAAATATCATTCAATAAGAAGTATTATAAATAATGAAATCTCAATCATTTATAAAACTTTTTTAATAATGCTTTAATAAATATAAATATTAAAATGAACAACTCGGTTTAGTCTTTTTCTTAGAAGATAAATTGAAAGTTTCAAATTATTTTACAATAAATTCACTTCTTGAGAAAGTTTCCTTCTGATTAAAACCATTATGGTGGATACTTATTTATTTAGGCAGAGTGATTGAATTAATTAGTGTAAATTTTATTCAAGGAAAAGAAATTTTAATTTTAAGTACAAAAAATGAACATAAAATTGTTGAAAAAAATTAAAAGATGTATACGATATCTGCTTTTAAGCTATATGATAAAAAAATGTCTCTACTTCAAAATGTGAGATAATTTAAGAGCTTTATATTGTTGTTCAAGTATTTTCTGACAGTAACATACTATCTAAAAGTTATTATAAAGTTACATGTTTGAGGAATCAACTTTAAAAAAATTTGAAAGCAATATAAAGTGTGTGTTTAGCTGCTCCAAAACCACTTAAAAGTTTTAAATGAATAAAAATAGAAAATATTATAGAAATTAATATTGTAATTTTAATTATAATAATATAAAATGTTATTTAGAAAAAAAAAATTATAATAAGTGGAATAGTTTGTCATTAAAAGTACAGAAAAAAAAGAGTTATTGTTGTTCAATTAATAGAATAAAATATTTTTATTTATACAATCAATTTAATGAAGACTTTTTGTTTAAAGGCAGTGATTCGTAGGATACATGGACAAGAAGAATACAAATGAGTTAACCATCGATTAAGAGCATAGCTGACGTAGTGTTTAATCGTTTTAGGTTCTTTGTTGAGATGGATTTTAGTGCACGACTTCAGCATTATCATTAATTGTTCGTTCAAGCTTTCAAGGTTGTCTGAAATTTATGCACCCATTCATTCCTACTGCATCGATTGCATATCTTCACTCTCAAATTAACAGTTATTCATCTCATGTTCTTTTTCAATGGTTTTATTAATGAAATTCATCTGCTATAAGTAATACATAAATTTGGAAGGCGAGACCTTCGTATGCTGTTAACTCGTAGATTTCAGAGCCCACATAATTTAGGATGATGTTGATGAATTTAATAAAGTATTAAGAATGGTATTTTATTTTCATTTTTTATAATATTTATTTTAAACAAATTTATGTTCATACTTTTGGTTGAAAATTCTTGTTAAATTTAGAGTGCATCAAAAATGTTTAATTAATTGAACGATCTATTTTCATTACTATTTCACTTTTTTTACTAAAGCATTCATACCAAGATTTAATTGATAAAATTTTTTTTACATATTATCATGAAAAAGAATCACCATATTTATAAAAAAATGATCATAAATTCTTTCGCAGTCAGTTTTGTTTATTTGAATAGTAAAAAATTTATTCATAGAAATAAAAAAATATTTATATTTGTTGAATGAAATTTTCAACTCATAAACAGACAGAAAAAAGCTTGTGAAATTTTCTTAGATATTAAATAGAATATGAATAACCTTGGTGACAAAAAAATTAAAATTCAAACTCACTTTTTATTTTATTTTTTTTATATCACTGTTGATGATTTCTATTTGAAAAAACTTTCTTACCTCGATCCGAATACTCAAGGTTTTATGGTTCTTTTTTCTTCCTTATTATATCTATTGTATGAATTTTTTCCACTTTGTTATCCTTCATAATCGAAACTCTTTGTATTCTTCTCAACTATTTACATTAATAATCTCCAGAAAGTAACCTACTTTTGTTCCTCTATCGCAGTCTTTCTGCCCTAAATTTATTCCCTCAGAGTAGGTGTAACCCTAGTAGAGATATAGATCATCACTTTTGCACCTTTTAATGATGGAGCAAAAGACTACTGAGCGTGACTAACAAGTATCAAAATTTATTCCTGTCTTTAATAATATTATCAGTGATTTATACTACTTCATGTTCTAAATAAAGAGCTTTCAGATATCGAGTTGGATTCATTAACATCAGCTAATGAAAATGACAAACAGGCTCGGATTGTGGATTCTACTGTCAGTATCAAGCTTTTATGATGGCATATTCCCATAAATTGAGTTTTGTCAGATCTTCACTTGTATCAGGGATACTGACACGATTGTGCTTCGAATTTCTATCAATTTGACATTCAAAGCTTTATCATCATCGTCCTGGAATAGGGTTGTCTCTATTCATTATTGCTTTACTGTTTTGCCAAGAAATTTTTTTTAAATTTACGTATATAAATATTCGATTATCTTGGTAATTATTTTACAAGCGTTTTCAAACTAATTACTTTCTTTGAAACTAATTTAAACTTTAGAATCTTCCAACATAATAAACTTAATTTTTGTTCATTTCATTTTCACTTAACAATCTTTAGTTTTAATTACCAGACACCTTTCAAAATTACTGGGTAACAGAATTTTCGAGATCATTTATTGTGTGATCGAATCAAAGAGTTATAACCAAGTTTAATATTGAATAATTAATCTTGATCAGGAGTTAATATTCACATTCAAAATTAAGTTATAGAATCAAGTGCAAATCTTATTGTTAATTCAGATGTTCAAGTTTAGTAAAAACTTTGCAAACCTTTTTTTAAATGGAAACTCAAGATCAAATAGCATTAACATCACATTGAATGTATTTAGGTGATGTCTTCATTCGCAAAACAAGTCAATGATGCAGATAATTGAATAGGAGAATCAGTCACGGTTGTCAGACAATATTGATTTACACTATGCTGTATTGATGACTGATAAAATGCTGCCTCTTCATTTTTGTTGAAGACGAATTTTACGTTCAAGTGACTTTGTTGATGGATCTTGAAAGAATATATATTGCAACTTGAAATCTTTTATTCTTATAAAAAACAGTGATTCTATTCCAGTTGAAGATAAATGGAAAGTGTGAAAGTGAGATATGAAGGCATTATTATGTGCAGAACAGTGGATGGGATATTGTATAAACTTTTAAAGATAGGATCTATAAAAAAAAATTAAATAATAACTACGATTTCTATCGTAAATCCATTTAATAACATTATTATTGATGACTTTATACCATTTTTTTAAAATAAAATTTCAAAATATTCTCATTATCAACTATAATTCTTACATTTCTTTAACTTGCATTTATTTTTATTTTCTTAATGACTATATTTTTTCCATGTTCTGGAATATTTCTTTACTTCTTAAAAAATTTATGGGCACACAATGCATTTTTCGCTGGTGAACAACAATATTATCAGGCACAAGAACAGAGTTGGTGGTTTGGAAGATGTGATATATTATCGTTTACCTATCTATTTACTGACTGAATTTGATAATGAAATTGATACATTGTCAATAAATTACTAGAATAAATTGACTCACCGCAAACAATTGGACAGAAAAAAATATGTTCATTCCTTCATTACAAGGTAATTCATTTAAATAATTATCTGATATTATATTGTTTAGTAGTAAAGAAAGAAAAAGAAATTTTAAGATCTGTTGTTATAAATTCAAATAGTTACTTTTATTTCTACGACCTTCTTAATTATTCAAAAAAAAAGAAGCTCGAAAAAAGATAATGTGATCTGAGTAAATAAATAAAAAGTCTGTCAAGATTAGAAGTTTAAAGACAGAATTTATGTTTAAAGTTTTGAATATTTTAAAGAAATATTAATATTTTTTAATGTTTCATTCAGAAAGATATAATCTACTGATTTAGACACGAGTAAATTCAAACATAATACATATGAGAAGATGTGGTGTCCAAGAATTAACTTGGCAACTCTTTTGGTATGTATTAACTTTGATCAATAAACTTCATGTACATTTGAAGTTCAGAAAAATATTTAAAAATTTTGCTTTAAAAAGGATAGACTTTAATGAAGTAGATTTTACAGTAAACGATTTTTTTAAAATAATTTTCAAGCACATCTTGACCTTATATCAAAAGCTAAAAAAAATAAGGGATAAATTTCCGCAGTTTTTTTTTAGAAAGTTAGTCAACTGACTCTAGCAAAACATGTCAAGATGGTATAGAGACAAGAAAATGATTAGAAAATAATTTGACATGAATTGATAAATGTGAAATTTTTGACAATCTTGCAATTTGAATTGTAAAAATATTTAGCTACAGTCAATTTCATAGTTTAGGTACACTAAAAAAAGATTCTTGCGTGTTTATTATCAACGTTCTGAAATCTTGCATGACTGCTTTTGTTAGTTTTTATCAGAAGCAATCATTACCAACAGTTTATATATTTTGATGTAAAAATCAAAGAAAATGACAACTTCTTATTTAACATTCAGTGATTAATTTATTCTTAGAATAACAGACATTTTGTTTCACGATTTAAACGATTAAATATATATATATATATATTATTTACAATATTATTTACAATAAAATAAGTAATATTTTGGTCATGTCTTAAAAAAAATTAATTTATTAATTACAATATGTTGAAAGCTCTTATGTAAATCACAGTTGGAATGGTTGATAAATTTACAAAGTATTTTAAATACATTGTCCATTAAATATTTGTTTCATCAGTCAATGCTTTAGCTTCATTGATTTGATATCCCATTTGATTATTAGTCGAATATATTTTTAATGATAATTTTCTAGAATCTTGACTTCCTCTACCATTGTTCAGTGTGTTGTGATTGATAAATAATTCGTTACCACTCAGACGTTTGCTCTGGTCAGTTTTTAAAACTTCTGAATGAGATCTGTTCATAAATAAAAAAGTGTTTACATAAAAGTCAGTTGCTATTAATAAATAATTTTGTGTTTAAGAAAGTAATTTAAAGTTCATTAAAAATAAAGATATTCTTTTTAATTTTTATTGTCAATAAAACATCCAGGAAAGATTTTATTTACTTAAAATAAAATGATTCAAAAACTATTAACACTATTTCAAAGTGTTTCTTTTGATCATAGACCATCAATTTTTAAACTGATTTCTTTTATTCAACGAAAGAAAATCATTTCCTGTTGAGTATTGATTTTGAATGAACCCAGTAAATCATCCAATACCTCCTGGTCATTGAAAAAAAAATATTTCTAGGAATTCTTGTATACTTGGAAACATATAATTAATTTTCTCACCTTGTGCTTCGGTTACGATTGCGGTTAATTTGCGAGGATTTGAAAGACCCACATCTATAAATCATTGTGTCCCTTATGCTACTTTGATCTTCCCTGTTGAAATGATTAACGACCGGTGTACAGCATAGTGTTTCCATAAAAGCACATCTGTATCTAGTACTCATGACATTATATAATACAGGGTTGATCGCAGTACTTATATAATACAGACAACCACCGAGAAAATACAACCATTCACTGATTCCACTAAATTCTCTGGTAGAATCGTAGACATACAGGAGTCGTTGAGCATGGAATGGTGCCCAGCATATGAAGAACGTTATAACCACAGCAGCTGAAATATTGATCATTTATTTTATTCATGAATGATGTTTTATTAATTTTCTTACATATCATGCTATATATTTAACTTTAATTAATTTCAAGCTAATTAAGAGAACTTGGGAATCATAAATTTTTAAAAATACTTCATCAGTAAGACAAAATATTTAAACATTTCATTTAAAAGTTTTATTGTAGCTTTTCTATGAAATTTATTATAAACATTATTAAAATTCTTTCTGAAAAGTTTAATTAGCTAGATGATTAATAAGATAATTATCTAATGAAGGAGGGAATAAAAATACCTACAGTAACAAAAGTAATAAACATTAAAATTAGATTACTTATTTAAAATCAACTGCAATGTATGTTTAATAATTAACTATCTGATAATATCAGCAACTATGTTTCTAAATTTTTAATTAAAATATAGCATATACATATTAAAAGAGAGATAACATCATGTGTTAATTAGATTGAAAACAATTCAATAAATTTAATAATTTCTCGCGTGACAGTTGATAATTTCCTTGAATGCAGAATCCAAGGCGAAATTACATTTACAAGTGCAGGAGTAAAGTGTGTCATAGACAACATATAGATATCTGGATGGTAATCATATTTGTGTCAAAAGAGGGCAGGAAAATTGAAACTACATAATCTAGTAAGTTATGACGATTATAAATTGTAACTATACAAAATCACATGGTTCTCAATGTTCTCCTCATGTTGTAACACAAGTTAGTTATACCATTATTCTATCATCCCATGTTTATTGAATTTCATTAAAAAATAAATTGACTTTTTGAATAATTGGTTTACTCCAATTCACAACTTTCAAGTGAATTTTCACTTCATTCATATATGAATCCTTTCTAATGTTATTGGAGTTACATGGTAATATAGCTAAGAATTCAGTATTGTACTTAAGTGAAGTTTACTTACTAAGCATCCTTATGATTGCTTTTCGTGATTGTTCTTGTCGTCTATCTCCATGAATTGTACCTTGAATATTCATCTCAAGTGCGTTGGATTGTATTCTCAGACCCATACGTATGTATAACACCATGATCAAGATCAAAGGTATAACAAAGAAGATCAAGCAACTCAATTCATAGAGAGGAAAGTTGGGCATATTCGGTGCTAACATTGCACAAAAAGCTGATTCCTCTGAGTTCTGTCCACTTCCTGTGATATTACATCAATTTGGTGAGTTGAAAAATTAAAAACTTTTTCAATTCTTTTTTGTAACTTTATTTTAATTAAAAATTGTTCATTTTTCTCATAGCGCTGAAGAGGATTTTTATATTAAAATATGTTGCTTTGAATACAATATTCTTCAATAAATTAATTTTGACATTGTTTCAAAAGAAAGTTGATCAATTGATTCTATATTTTTCTTTGTTATCTAGTTGGAATTCTTTGTTATTTACCTTTTTCGATCTTTTATTCGATTAAATGATATTTTTATCAATAACGTAAAGACCAAAAGGCTACCTTGTATGACTTAAAAGCTTTAAAAAATGTTTTATCAACTTACTTCAATATAAAAAACTCCAAGTTTCGTTGCAACAGTGTGAGTTTGTTTTATCATCACATTTTGGATTATTTATTAAATGAAATTATGACTAGGTGGATCATCGAGTATGAAGTAAAAAAAATTATCAAAGCTTACCAGGTGGATATTCTACATAGTTGATGGTAGTGTAATTAGCAAAAGGTAATGCAGCAATCATAGATAACAACCATGATGCACAAATAAACCGTAAAGGTCGTTTTAATCCACTCAAAGTATAAAGTTGCAAAGGATGACAAATAGCTAGATATCTTTCCATAGAAAAAGCCACTATTGTCAATACTGATACATAAGATGACCTAAAAAAAAATTGAGAAACCATCAATAGAAGTTATTATTAGTTTTCTGAAATGAGAGAACTTCTTTTCTGATGATAATTAGGTGATATCATGATGTTAAAAGTATAAGTATGATTAGAACTTTATTATATCTTTGTAAGATATAAATATAAAAATAGAGTAAAATGAATAAATATGACTGAACTTTGGATTATAAACAAAGAAAAGCTTCCATCAGTATGTGTGAAGAGTTGAACTATTAGATCAAACATCCTCAAGGTTCTTACATTTCTGATACGTAAGCACGTATTTTACATAATCCCAATCCAAGAACCCATGGGTACTGCTGCCAGAAAACGCTCAGCTCAAAAGGAAGCCCTAGAATATAAATAAATTTCCAAATGTCTTAATAAATCATTATAGCATGCTCTAAGAATTATGAGCTACCTTATGAACATTAAATAGAGACACGAAATAGTAATAGAAATTCTTATTGAATTTGTTTTAGCTTTTATGATTTTGAAATCTAATAAAATTATTCCGAAAGATGATTAAAATAAAAAGATGAAAATTGTCTTATCAACACATTAATGTCTACAGAAAATTCAAATATAAAAAGTTTTTCAGCTTAAGAGTCTTTGAAGGACTTTTCTTAAGAAACTTGTTGAAGTTTTATTATTATCATTCACACCTTCAAAAATTTTTTAGATTTTCATCCACTATAAATAAATTTTATCAGCTATAAATAAAATATATTAATGATTAATGCATTATCTTTTTGTCCAGAGGAATTTTATTTCTTCTACTAATAAATTTGATCCATTGATAGCATCATTTTTCTAATTTAAAAAGGAATTTGATGAAAGCATTAAATTTACATAAACAATGGATTCCAACTACTTATATTAATTGAATCTTTTCTAAAATATAAAGAATTTTTTTAAATGGCAGCATACAGAAAGCAGGTGCACCATTCGAAGGATAATTAAAAAGACGAAACAAAAGAGTAATAGAAAAAAATATAAGACATTGGGATTGTCTTGTGGAAGCACAAGAAGACAACAGAAAATTTGGATTAATTAATTTTTCATAATTAATTATTTCAAGAATATATCATAATTAAATTCAATAGTTGTCTTACTATACCTATTAAATTATTGTAAAATTCACATTTATAATAGTGATAAATTTCATTATTATGTATCATTCCTTATTAATTATACAATAAATATTGATATTTATTTATTTATGGATGTATTTAGTCACAGTGTCACATAAAAGTAGGTTTCATAAACTAAACATAAGTAAATATTTTCATTCAATTAAATACATCTTTTGAATAGTGTATATAAGTACATATTAAAACCTGTTATCCTCTTCATCATATAAATCAATGAAACTATCTACTTATGCCTTCTTAAACATTTACTATAATTTATTTGCTGATGCTAAATGTCGTTTGGATTTACTGTGAATTGTAGGGAGCAAAATTATAGGGGTGAACCGACCCAGTAATCAAATCAGACTAAATTTATGTTTATTATTCGTGTTATTGACATATTTATTTCAATGCTTGAAATTTATTGGCTTTCCAAAAAATTCGGGAATCAACAAAAACATTCAATTATTTGTTCAATTGGCATTGAAAAAAATTCATTTTAGAATCTAATATAACACTTTAATCATTTGCATCGTAAAGTTTTAATGATTGTCCAGGTCTCAACACTCAGTTGGGTTTCCAATCCTAATATTGTTTTAAATTGAAAATAGAAACTGTCTTAATTCCAACAATTCAGTTAGCTTTGAAGGTGGGAAAATACTGGAATCTATAGGTGTGAAAATAGGGTCAGAATGATTACCTGAGCACATACACAAAAGGTAGCACCTGATACAGAAGTGAATTAAAGGCTGTGGATTATAAATTGCCGAGGAAAATGGAGCAGAGTAAATGAATGGTTATTTACATAAAAAAAATTAATATTGTTTATAAATTAATGGAATGAATAAATAAATTTATTATCTATTTAAACTAAGAATATGAATAATTGACGAAATTATCATTATTAGATGTCTTAAATTTCAAGAATATTAATTTCAATTTTTAATTTAAAAAAATATTTTTAGAAATTATATTATTCAAACAAATTGGAAATAAAAAAAATGTTTTTTTTTTTTTGTTTGACTATCAAATACATTTTCATATTTTGTTCCTGTGGCTGTTGTTACAACACAGATAATGAAGTACCTTACTGTTATTATTGATTGTTTACACAATTGATTCAAGCTTCAATTTCGAAATATTAATTAGAAATTAAAATAAATATTCATCATGATAATAATGAAGAAATCATTCATTAATTGTTTTGGTTACTTTTTTATCTTATTAGAGAAAAAGAAAAAATAATCTGTATTTTTTTACGAGTAATAATATTTGGTAGTATGTATTTTTTTGACCCATTATTTGAATCATATCAATAATCTTATACATAGATCAAGTTGTTAATAAATTATGTTATAATAATAGACAATGTATAAACACAACAGTGATATTTAAAATTTCATGTTACTAATTGTAGAAATATGAAACTTTTTCATTTACTTACCATAATACAAAAAACAAACTTTTTTTAAAAATAATATTCTTTTTGTAATAATAAAGTTGGTGTTACAAATTTAAAATGAATTGTTGTCGCATGCAAGTTTTAATATATGAGCACATTTCAAATGCTGTCCATACCAACAAGTATACTAGAGTGAAATGAAAAAGCTATTGTGCAAAATAAAACAATTTTTTAAATGAATAAAAATTTAAAATAATTGTACTACGTTAACTGAAATTTTTGCTTCAAATGGAAAAATAATATTTACAGTAAAAAAAATGATACTCGTTAATTATAAGTGGTCTTCTTGATAATGAAGGAATTTGATTGATAAGTTATAGAATTACATGTGGAATTAATATTCATCCTAGAAGTGCTCTTAAGGGAGTAATATTCTGACATTTTATAATCATCATCTTAATCAAGTACAAAATTGAAGACAACTCTATTACAAGCTGCTTCCTATTTGCTAATTAACGCCTGAAGATGCTAGACGTCGATGATATTAATTATGGTGATTTTTTTCTTAAAAATATCATCAAAAATAACTAAATTCCAATATAAATAATGAAGAAGAATAAATATCACTCTGCAATAAAATTAGGCAAACAAATTTTATTAATATTACTTTCTACTTCATTTGGTCTTTTTGGGCTACCAACATTTACAGACGAGAGTGGAAATTAATAGCAAGTTTAATTAAATATGCTTAAATAAATTATAATCATAACTTATCCAAACAATATCTATTCAAATTAATTCATTGCCAGTCACATATTTCCATGTATTTTTTTTTAGGCAACAAATTTCGAACTCAGCATATCATCTATACCCATATATATATCCATCAAAAAATTACTCATTACTTTTTTAATTAGATTGGAGAAATGTCCATCCAATTGTGATTTATTTGTAACTATGAGGACAATTTTTCAAACAAAAATTTGAAAAATTCACCTCAAATGAATATGCCTTCATTAACCTACTTATGGAAGTCTGGATGTCATCACCAAAACACAATTCAAACTCATGAATATTTTACAGATCATGTTCTAGAAATTTTATATTTTTCAGATAATTTGTAAATCAAGCATAAAAAATATCTAAAATATTGAAGTGCAATGAAAGAAAAAAAATAATCAAGGAAATGGATAAAGTGCTGTAGAGCATTAATCAGAGAGAATTAGAAAATAAAGACACAACCATTAAGACAACATGTTAAAATACAACAACCACCATAATGTATGTTATACTGATGACCAGATCACTAGAATACCCTGTCAGCTGTTAATTATCTTCAACAAATGCATCTTCAGAATGGCTGACCATAGTTAGGGCATTAGGTAAACATGCAATTTGTACTAATCATGTCAAGGAAGCATGTTTGAGTTATTTCGAATCTCACAAAATCGAGATAGTAAAATTATCATTTTTACACTGTCAAATTTACCTTAAGTTTTATCATCAACTTTGTCTAAATTACATATTCTTACATGAAGAATATTCTTTCATAGTATCAATAACAATATAAATAACAAATCGTTTATCAGATATGTTTTTTATTTATGAAAATTTTTTTTTAAAAAACTCAAAACAACTTTGCTGTATCAAACTTTTATTTATTTCTCCGGTATTATCGATAAGAAAAAAGTTATAATACTTAAACATAGACTCTCTTAATAAAAAGTTTTATTTTAAAACTTTAGAGTAAATTTCAATGATCAACAAAGCGGAAATTTTTATTGAAGTGAACTTTATAAATACATATTAAATGCAAACGTTTTGAGTAATTAAAAAATATTTGGATAATTAATATTGATGATGATTTAATTTATTTTATTTATCATTTTGGAGTAAAATGATAATTATTAATATCAAAAATATAGTTATTTGTTTGATATAATAAGAAAAAATCTTGTGTCAGTGATTTAAACCAAATGAATTCCGGATAAATACATAATCAAAAGAGTGACAAAGCTTTTTGATGAAATGATAAAAGGAAAAAAATATAACATTCTTTAATAAACCCCATGCCACAGATTTATTGATAAATTTGTTTTGACTTGTACACAATTACAGTAAAAAAATAAGTATATTTTATTTATACTCTGGTCAAAGTAGGTGTGATTTTTCTCAAAAGTTTAAATAAAATTTTCTGTTAAATCTCCAAGTGCATTCAAAGTAGTCGATGCTAGGAGTTTAAATCGTATATGGTCAGCCCAAAGGGAATAGAAAAATATTTTACATAGCAGCAAACTCAGCAGTATTATCTTAATGACTTGAGTAAAAAAGTTTCCAACTTGAACTGAAAGTAAATTTATTCTGATTTTTTTCCCCGGAAAAGAACTTTATAATAAAACATTTTATTATATCCTTGCAAATATTTATGTACTGTTTGAATTTATTGTCCATACAAATATTTTCTCTCATGCCATATATTTTATTTTAAAAATAAAAATTATTTATTTGAACAAAACTTTCATTACTAAATAAGGAAATTTTGATATTAAAACTTACCAAGTACAAGTAATAGTAAATCAGATAATGCCAAGTTAAAGAGATAGTAGTTGGTAGCAGTTTGCATCATTGGATTACGTAAAATAACCCAACAAGTAATAACATTACCAAATATTCCCATAATAAAAATAATCACGTAGACAATAGTTATTGGTATTACTGTTGTTAGCGATAAATATTTAGGACCGAAATAAAATTCCAAATATTCTCTTTCACTAATATTCCAATAAAGTGATAAATTATCCGTGTATAAAAATATATCAGAATTATTAGTTGTTTCATTTAATAAATTAAAATCCATTTCATTCATTTCACTGCACAATTATTTTAATCAACTATTCAATAAATCAGTAAACACCGCGCTTATCTTCTTTAATTAACAATCACAATGATTTATCTATAACACATCACTCATTCATTTACAATTCATTAACTATCTACATTTTTTATGTTCCCATCAATTTAACCATTATTTTTCTATTTAATTATAACTAAAATTTCTTAACTGTTTCATTATAATTTTAATTCTATGGTATATTTAAATAATTATTATTTAAGTCAGTTATTAAGTGAAAAATATTCAATTAAAGTATTTTATGATAGTTTTACTGTTTATCAATATTTATTGTAAGGACTAAAAAAGGCATGAGAGGAGATTATGTTTCGTTGAAAATGATCAGGGTAATTTTAAGAGCTTGCGGCTCACCAGACCGCGGACGAATGAAACTATTGGGAAGTGGTATAGCTCTCCAACCATGCGTTTCGTCTACTACGCAGGCTACCCTTAACATTTACCACCTCTGGCATCTTCGATATCATGTATATTTATCTATATCATGTCGAATTTTTCTTTCTCTTTATATATATACAGACTTATATGAAAATTTATATTCTACTGTATATTATTGTTTTAGACAGGTCTTAAAGACCTTCATAATTATTGATAGTTTCCTAGAATACCCTTTTCGTTGGTCATAAAAGATTATATGGTTTTGATTAAATGCAAATTATTCCGTCATTTATCATCAAAATAATAGATAAGTGAACTTGAAAATTAATCATTGTATTATTTTATAAAATGTTTATGGCGTTCTTAAGCTTGAATGAATTTTTTAATTATTAGTTCATTCATGTGAAAATTTATTCATTATATAATATTACACAAAAGCAATTTAGTTTCCTGTTTTTAGATTTATATTTTACATTTTTACTCATGGTGGTTTTTTATGTACAGCAATATGATTTTTATATATTGATACATTTGTATAATGAATCAATGTATCATGATGAAATATTTTCCAATGCATAAAAATTTAGCTATCAGTCAAGTTACATTTTTTTTAAAAAATAAAAAAGACCTGAAAAGAAGCTGAAATACATATTCTACGAATAAAAAAAAAAAAATTATTTTTCACTGCTCTTTTGAAAGCATTTTAATGTAAAAGATTCTTTGTGATTATTTTGTATGCAAGTGGATAGCAATGACAATGCTCTTTCTTTACAATATGTTCAAATCTTCAAAGACTATTCATTTGCATATTATTAGACCTCGATAAAACTTTCTCTTTGTTATGATACTTAAGAATTTTCACCATAGTTCTATTCACACTTTGTCGATTAATATACTAACTGAATGATTTTATTGACGTAAAGTTACTTTGAATACCTTTTGAAAATAGTAAATATTACATTGAATTAATCTTAGAAGATTAATGTAAAAATTTTACTTAAATAATATCAAATTGTATATTTTTATTTCAATTTGAAGATATTCAAGGAAGATGTTCAATTTATAACGTATCACTGTCACTTTGAAGAACGTTAAAAACTGCTATTAAATCTTCATCTTCAGTTTCTTCAGAAGAATTTCTAGATTTTCCATAATTTTCCGTATCATCGGATAAGGAGTCAGCATTTATCACTGCAATAACTTTCTCAACTTGTTCCACGCATTCTAGAGTATTTTCATTTGCTTCGAATTTTCGCTGATTGTCTAAAGTTTTATCGTGAGAAATCTCTGAAATTACATTACAAATTCCATTTCGCTCTAGTGCTTTCTCTTCAACTGCACTTCCACTTTCATTGATCATATTTATTTTTTCTACTCGAGAATGTTCAACATTTGACCTGCTTAATTCATCATCTGGGAAATTTTTTTTCTCTTTCAACTTAATTATCTTATCAGTAAAACATACATGTGATCCACCTTCAACTCTTTGATCAATGTATTCACATCCAGTTTCATATTTATTATCATTACCATTGTTGTTTGACTGCTCAGTTTTATTTTTAAGCTCTTCATTATGCTTTTCATTGTGACTATTTGTTTTATTTAACGATTCCAATTTTTCAGCTTTTAATTCTGATAAGCAATTATAATCGTACCTTTGTAGCTCTTTTTTTAGTTTCACATCGTTATTTACGCTTAATGTATCTGAAATATTTTCTTGTAAAAAACATTTTACGACTTGTTCATGATTCGTTTTCTCTTCATTTTCGTAAATGCAACATAGGAAGATGCTTTCCGGAGTGCAATTTTCCGTAACGCTTGCTCTAAATATTTTCAGGTAGTTATCATCGATGATTGGAGGACACATTTCTCGAAACAATTGAATCTCTAATGCTTTGTACAAGTGAATGACATGTAAACGATGTTCATGTGAATTGAATGAAGATTTAAAAGGTTGAAACAGCATCAATAGTAATCCAATGAAAAGTATTGCACATGACACCTTTGAAATAAAATAAAAATTTTTGATCAATTATCAGATAAATTTAATTGAATGTAGTTAGATGTAGTAACATTTGAACTTTTTACCTTGATAAATAATCCACATCCTGATAAGAACGAGATTGGAATTAAGAGTATGAGGATAGACAATTTCGAGAATAGCAGCAGGACATGCCAGATTAAATGAATAAGCCAGATGAGAAAATGCCCTACAGTTATATTGCCCATACCAAATTGTCTGATTTATTAGTGAGTACCATTTCGACTTGATACAATTGCATCGGTGCGCTAATTTAACTCAATTTTATGCATAATAATATCGGGACTTTGTTAAATTAATTGATATTTATTGATTTTTATTCTTTGACTTTTATTTGTTTTAAACTGTTAAGTGGTGATCAGTTATTGAGGAATTCTAAATAATAACTTCTAACTATGAATTAAGAAATTCAAAATAATATAAATTCTTGTAGTCCTTCTTTTGCTTCTTATGTAAAAGAACAAAATTTTTAATCGATACGAAGCGTTTCGTTAGTATCTCAATTCATAATGTCATTCAACTTAAATCAATTAGGGCATCTAACAAAGTTAAAAGCAATAAAAAGTTTTGAAAAAGATCAAATTTAATACAAAATAAAATTCTCTGGGTTTATTGTGTTAGCTTAGCTTCTTCGTAAATTTAGGAAATGAAATTATGTTTTTTATTATCCTTCATATCAATCTGGATATATCAAGATGAGTAATGGAGTATTTGTATACAACAAAAAGATCACTCTATTATATTTACTGTTCACTGAATGGCTGAATTGGTTTTTGTGCTATTTGGTTTGATGATACGGCTGATAGTAAATCAATAAACGAGACATTACGATGAACTCATACAAAACGTAAATTGAATTTATTTTATCGTTAAATATCGTTGGTAAAATACTGCGATGATTATTCCAAGTCTCTTTCACAAAAACAAGGGCTAATAAAGTGTTTTAATTTCTTATTTACGAGACAAGATGGAAAATTATTTTCAGAGTATTTATTATAATAAATTTATTTTATTACTTAATGTAATGAATTTACTCTATTTTAAACATCAAATTTAAATGTAATTTAAAATAAAAAAATATATTATATTAAATTTATTTCTATTTACATATTAATATAAAAAATATAATAAAATATATATATTAATCAGAAGTAATTATTAAAATATCAGCAGATTTTTTTTAAATTGTACAGTACAATTATGAACAATATTATTATGCAGAAAGTTTGATAGTTGGTTACCTGTTTACACACAAAAAGTCTCCTCAGCTTTATTTCCTGAAGTACTCTCTTGACTTTGTTGTTGTTGGACAGCTGGATGATTATTTATTAAAGTATACTTGTTAGTATTATCATCTCCTTTTACTTCTTTATTGTTATTGTTATTATTATTATTATATTCATCAGATACTTTCACGTCTCTACGTTTTTTTATTCTTAATATTTCTTTGGCATGATCTAGAGTATTTCTGTTTTAAATAATAAATTAATACTTCAATTAATATTAACAATTGGAATGGTATTTAGTTATCATTAATGATAAATTTAATTCAAGTAAGTTGTATGGATATCATTTTTTACGATATTAATAAAAACATCAAAGTTTACCTGAAAGAGCACTTTAAACTGGCACTGTGTGGTACTCCTTCAGCTCCACATTGACATAAAACAGTTTGCCTTGTAACATGAAGGTTTCCTCTTGACTTTTTACAGCACATGGTTTTTTTAAACGCATTTCGATATTTTACGCTCATAATATTGTAAAGAATTGGATTAACAGTTGTGCTGAAGTAGTATAATAAGCCACTAAAAATGTAAAGCCATTCGTTAAGATCAGGATAATAGTCTGCTTCTTGAGCATACACATAGAGCAACCGTTGAGCATGGAATGGAGCCCAGCATAAAAAAAACATCACCACTACAGCACCTGGAGAAAAAATTAAATTATTATTTTTTTCTTCTAATAGTCACTTTACTGATATTATAGTTTTCTATTCTACGAGAAAGAGTAAAAAATAATACTGATGTTTGCAATAATTATATCAAAATATATTTTTTATACATAAATAATCATGAATGAGTATTAAAAAACAATTTTAAGATAGAAAAAAAAAATTAACAGTATGTTTTAATTAAGATACTCACTTAACATTTTAATAATACTTTTTCTCGACTGCACTTGTCGAGACTCCCAATGTACAGATGATTGTGTCATTGGATTTTCATTAGTTCTTGCACTTTTCCTTATCATAAAACCCATACGTACATAAACGACAAGAATAATAATCATGGGGATTAAAAAAAAAATTACACAGCTTAATTCATACAAAGGAAAATTCGGCATATCTGGTAGAAGCATAGCACAAATTGCTGAATCCTCAGAGACTTCTCCAGAATCTACAATAAAAATTACGATTTTAGATCTTATCTTATTTTTTCTTTATCATTCTGTAATTTTTTCATAAGTAATATGTAATAAATTAAAATAAATGAGTCCATCTCTCTAAGAAAGACATTACTATGTACGATTTAATAATTTTCTGTAGATTTAAATATTACAAACTTGGAGGATATTCGACGTAATTGACATTAGTGTAAATGGCAAAAGGTAGAGCAGAGACTAGAGCAATTGCCCATGCTATGGACATTATTATAATTGGCCTGTGTGGCTTGTCCCTTGTGTAGCTTTGAATCGGATGGCAGATGGCTAGATAACGCTCCATTGAGAATGCCACAATAGTCAGAACTGATACATAAGATGACCTGTTGAATAATTTTTTATATTCCAAACATTGTTTTGATTAAAACAGAATGATTTATAAACTGTTGAAACTATGTGCTAGACCATGATTACTTATTAATACATTTATCTCAAACCATTGAATATTAAATAAGTGTAATGTATATCCATTAAACATGAATTTTAATTCATATTATAAACTTAATATATTATCTAATACATATTCAATAAGTAGTAGCCTTTCCACATATTATAATGAAGAAACTTTCATCAAATGTTCTTTCATACCTTACTTCTCATTACAGAGCTATAAATAATTTTGAAACACATATTTTATCTACTCACACTTCTGATACGTATGCTCTCACTTTGCATAATGTTACTCCGAGAACCCATGGATATTGTTGCCAGATATTACTCAGTTCATTTGGTAGACCTAAAATATTACACAGTCAATAATAACATATTTCAAAGATTTGTAGATTAATTAAATACAAAGCGAGTACAAAAATAATAGCAGAATGGGTGATTTTAATTGAAGATATTTATCAAAGAACGTCCTTAATATAAAGATTATGTCTATTATTTTTACACGAATTTAACAGCAAGAGTAATGATCCTATTAAATTGACTAAGCGTTTGAAAAAAATAAAGTGATGGAAATTGATTCGTCATCAAGTGTTTACTTTGAAGAATTATCAACAAATAATGGAGAGTCAATGTCTTTAGTAAAAAAATCGTTTTTTTATTTAAGTAAACATTTCAATAGTTTTTCTCCTAACATAGAAACTTAATTAGTAAATCAGAATCGTTTTTTTTATCATTATTATGGAAATATTGTAATGTAAGAAAACCTTAAGGTATTCTTTTCTACCCCAACCTTTTTTTTCTTGGTTTTGCTTTTATAAAGAAAATTTAAAGTTATTCAATTCATTCATTCTACTATTTTTTATTCCGTTAGAATAGTGTACAATATACGATTATAATGGAAATCCATATCAGTGATTCTTTAGTTATTGTTGAGACTTTAAAATCCATGAATGAATTCAATAACCTCGAATAATAACTCTTTCATGTTTGCATAAAATTATGATGTTAAAGTTATAAAGTTTTGGTTTAAAGTAATCTTTTGTTAATTAAGTGCCATAAAGAATTAATTTTGACTAGTTTTTCTGTTAAAAGTGATCTGAAAAGTGACGTAAATTGTCTAGATATCTTTGAGAGCGAGTAATCATTTGTGATAGGTGTATCTTAATCTTTTGATACATATCATTTCAGTAGGCAATCTTATCTTTCTCCTATAATATCTAAGCTATCATAAGTAAATGAAATAAATAATATATATTTATTTTTCTTTCAATTTTAATTACTTTTTAAGCTTATCAAAAAATCAGTTATTGATAATCCACAATAATTGCCTATAATTAATAAAAAAATATAAAATTTCACATGTCAATACTGGAGAGAAGCCAATCAATTATTTAGCTGCTGCTAAATAAGCAGCCTCAACGATAATAATTTTTTCAAAATTTTCCAAAATATATCTATAAATCAAAGCTGTTTATTGTCACCTCTACATAACTTTTTAATGTAATGAATAAATAATAGAAACTTCCTTACTTAAATAACTATTAAATTATTCCAATTGCTTAAGACGAATATTTGAATAATGTTTATCTTCCCGACCTTCCAAACAAATAACATTCAAGGTTAATATTTTTATAAATCGATCGTTTAAATAAAACAATCTCATTAAAAATGAAATGACATTAAATGTGATCAAGTGGATGAAGATGACGATTACTAAGTGGATTTTCATAAGCCTGCTACAAAGAAATAAATTGAGAGATGAGTTACTGACCAAGGGTGAGTAAAATGAGGTCAGATATAGCCAGACCGAACAAATAGTAGTTGGTAGTTGTATGCATTGTAGAATTTTTTACTATAACAATACAAGCCAGAACATTCCCAACTACCCCACTTATAAATATTGTTACGTAGGCCAGAGTTAGAGGGATCACTAATTTTGATGGTAGATATTTTGGTCCAAGTATCCTGTTGAGATACTCAGCTTCCGTAAGATTTTCTTGATTAAGTGCTTGCCAGAACTCTTCAAAATCTTGATCATCTTCTGTGGTATCCATGATTTTGTTGCTTATTCAGCAGAAAATTTTTTTACTTTGGAATTATATCTCAATTAACTTTTTTGTGACTTCTGTTTATCCTGTGTATTAAAATTAATTCTTTAACATTTGTCAAGTAATCATTTCCATTATATCACTCGAAATCTTTTTTCGATCAATTAAAGTAGAATACATTGATTTAAGTCAATTTTTGAATCAGTTTACTTCATAAATAAAATTCTTCTTATTAACGTCGTTAAATTAGTAAATCTTGTTAATTTCTCATATTTATGGTAACTGTATAGTGTTTAAATAATTCTTTTAAAGTATTTTATTCAATTTTTACTCAGTAAATATTTCATAAGATATTCTTTTATCAGAACTGAAAAATCAATCACATTTTGGAGAGCAATCTTTTTGATCCTATTATGTGTTTAAATGAAAGTCAATTTACTAAAAGCAACGAGAAATTGAAATATTTTATTCGTGAATATTTATTTGCTTTTCATTGACTTTAATTCTCTATAAAAGTGCTGCAGCTTTTTCAATTTTTCACAAATGTAGACACTGTTGATAAAATTAGGAAAAAAACATCAGAGATTTGGTAGCACAAAAATCACCTTTTTAAGGTTAATAATTGTTATTTATTATAAATGATTTGTTGTAATATATTTGCATATGATCACTTAAATTCAGAATAAAATCACTTTTGTTAAAACACTCATGTGAAATAAAAAGTTTACTTTATTATAACGAAACTTGAAATTCAATGTTTCTATTTATGGCAGAGTTTTATGAAAAATAATATTTTCTTGGTGATTGAAGTAAGATTTTTCACCGAGACATGACAGAAAATCACGAAGAAATTGTATAGTCTTGAACTTTTGTGTCGATATTGTATTTGAAAACTGTCTCAGGAATTATTTGTTGACGTTGCTCTATGCGTACTCCGACAACACTGGTAGAATGTAAGAGAGAATAAGTTTAATGAGTTATATATTATCATCTACAAGTATGATGGAGGATGATGAAATCAACGTTTACATTCTAAATTAAATCTTTAGAGTCTCAAAGGAAACCAAAACTTGGACATTGTTTATTATTTGTCTATTTAAAGTGACAATAACAACGTAAAATAGGCATTGTTACCAACAAAAAATAAAAATTATTTCGAAAGTACGAGGTTATTGAATCCTTCAGAAGTACCAAGCTTTTCAACCACTCTTAAGAACGTCATTAGATTATTTGTAGAATTTTTTAATAGAATTTTTGGATATATCGTAAAATGAAATCTATGCAAGTAATTTTTTGCCAAGACTTTTTGGAAAATATGGGAAATATTTGATAACGATTTAGAGAGATATTTTTCTACCCGGTATTTCTAACGAGACATGCTTTCAACTGATTATTACGTTTCTATAGAAGTACAAAATTTTCCAAGACATTTTTAAATATAATTCATCTCTAAAAAAAAAAATATTTTCCTAGACTAATAAATTTATTTATACGCAGCTGTCTGAAATATTTAAAGATTATAATCACCTGTGATAAATGCAATTATGAATTAATATTTGATAACAAGACAAAGGTAAAAATCCAATTCACTCGATATATTTTTAATCAAAGACTGTATAATAAAAAGAAAAATATAAATTTTATTTGTTTTCATGTGGAAAGAAATTATTAAAAATCATAATATTTTTTTATAACAAAGAAAAAAGATAAGATTTTGATGTCTATCTATGTGTATACTTTTGATGAAATATTTACCTGGCATCAAAGTGATTATATATCACGTTATTTTTATCGAAGCGAGAGGATGTAATATACTATACTTCAAAGCTAAGTTTAAGAATTTTTTTAATTAACAAAAAAATGATTTATTTACTGAATTAGAAATATAACCTTAGATTTAGAAACTCAATTGATGATGATATTTTGTGTTGAAAAAAAAAAAGATAAAAACGAAAGGAAAAAAATGAAAAATAAACACTTATTTTAGTTAGAAAACTAATCATTTATATTTCAATTGCATCTATCAATGCAAAGCTATAAATTTTATTTTTAAAAAATGAGTACATGTGTATTTGATAAATATAGTAAATATAAAATATTACACACACAAAAAATATATTTATTCATTCAAAGTTAGGTAGTGGATGCAAATTTTTTAATGTATTTATTTATGCATATAGATGAAGAGAGCTTTAATTTGAAGGAGAAATAAATTTTTTTCAAACAAATAGAATTATAACTTACCTTTAATAATGTAATTTAACTCAGTATCGTTTATTCTTCAATTATTTCCTTCATTATTACTTTTCTAGGAATTTTTACAAAAAATCGGTACATTTATTACATTTAAGCTTTTGCTAATTTGATATTACTATGCACAAAAAAGTATTAGAAACTTTATGAGTATAACTTTGTAAAGCTGGTATTTCATGCTTCATTATAATTTTCCAAGTCATTTAGCATTAGAATCCATAATAATGAAAAAAATTATCGTAATTTTGATCATACCTCAATAATCATTATCGTGAGGCGAAAAAAACGTAAATGTAAATTAAAATTTTCATAATATTTATAAAATAACTTACTGGATAATTTATAATTGAATTCAATTTATTGGAATGAATGAAATTAATAATTATAGGAAATATTGATAAAATGTGAGAAATTTACCTCATAATGCATACTGCACAGCGATTGATTATTCATAGAGGGACAATAAATTACCTAAATATTTAAATGAAAAAATGGAGTTATTAGGCCACTGGGAAAAAATATTTTTCAGGATGCTGTAGGTAGTGATTGAAGTCATACACATACAGGAAATTATTATTTACAAGTTTTATATTTGAATTACTCATATAATTTAATCTTATTAACTACATATCGATTGTCTTTTTAGTATATGTATTATATTTTTCAAATTTCAATATTTTATAGAATAAAATATTGGATTATTTGATGAGTTCAAAACATCAAAATTGATTTAAAGAAAAATTATTTCTTCTTTACAAATAAAATTAATCTGAATCAGAACTCGAATCTTCAGGTTCATTCCTCCCAGTACTAAATGGTCCGAAATTTCGATTTGTATTTACGAATAAATCTTCATCATCATCAGTATCACTATCATCAGATGAATGTTTTTTTTTATTTACTTCTACTTTTATACCTTGAAGTATTTGATTGTTTTTATTAACTTTGTCTTCAAATGTCTTTGGCCAAACCTTTTGAGATCGATAAAATTTAATATGTTCCTATAAATAATTATTCAAAGATTAAAATTTACTATTATTTTATAAAATTGATTAAAAATTTACAACTAAATTAATTTACAAACCTTAGTAAGAATCTTAGCGATTTCAGCCTTAACTTTATCCCCTTCAGGGATTGGTTCAACAAGAACAAAGTCACCTCTTTTCACCCAAATATTTCGTCTAAACTTAACAGGCATAGAGACAAGAAATTTCTCCCCAGAACTGTCAATCACTTCGTGAAGATTATTGCCTCGTGAGTCGACAAGTTGAACTATGAATTGTTGTTCTGTTGGAATACTAAAATCCTCTTGTAACTCCTTCGCAACGTGTTTCCTCTTCGTGGCCTTTGACATTTCGATCTGGAAACCCATTATTCATGAATCATTCAGTGATTTACTTTATACTTAATTTGGCACAACGCTGTTAATGTTGAAAGTATTTCCAAAAATATCAATCTGTATAAATGGAAATATTTTCCTTCGATAGAAAATAATCAATATCATTAAAGGTTCCAATCAAGTTTGTTATATGATTTTTAAAAAAATATATAATTATTTTGTTTTACTTTTTTTTTTTATTTAAAAAGGTATTAATCTTTATATTACATATAAATTGGTTTTTTATCTGGAAAATAACTGAAAATTATTAACTTCAATAAAAACAAGGCAATAAAATTTATATAATAATCACAGTATTATTTTCTTTAGGTTTAGTTTCACTCAATTCATTCTGCTCGATTTCTTATTATCTTGACAAGAAACAATGTTTATTACTTTAATTAATTATTTGTGGTATCATTCTCAATCATATCAGTTTTTTCTATTTTTTTCTTTCTCATTAAGGCACTATGCCATGATCCTAGAAGACCTCCAGATTTTTCTATCGCTTTCCAAATATCTAGACTCTCCCCAGGAGATATTCCATATCCATTCTCTAATCCATAGGGATTTGAAGGAGTTTTACAATCGGCAGTAGCTTCTTTTCGTAACACAGTATCTACTTCAACAGAGGCGAAAAATGCAACAGACATAGGAAGGTCAGCAATTCCAAGTCTTAAAGCACAGAAAGATCTTGTAAGAAGATTGGTAACGTGCATAGCAAGAGCAGCATTATATTTGTAACGAGAAGGTACAATATATCTAATTTCATCATGAAATGATAAACAAAATCTTGCATTATCTTTCATTAACCATCTCATTGTTACTAACATTAGATGTAAAAAATCAACTGCACCACTTTGAACCACCCAATTTATTTTTGTAGGTAAATATTTATCTTTATGCTCTTCATCAACTTCTAAAGCACGACTGAGACGTGAATTCAAAAAGGGAGTCACTGGATAAGTACTTTCTGCTATTTCTTCAAGTCTATTGAACATTGCAGATTCTGATCCTCCAATCCAATGTCCAGAGCCAAACATTTCTGCAACTGACTTTCCAAAGACTTTAGCAATTCTATGGGCTTCAAGCCCACTGTAATTAAGGTCAAGAAGATCATCACTAATGAATTCTGATTTCAGGCGAAATACTTTTTTGCCTTTTGTAATATTGAACATTTTTCTAGATTTGGTTAGAGCTTCGAATGGAGTCATAGAAGGATTAAATTGTTTCAAAAGTCTTTCGGCAAATTTTTGGCCAGCTCCATAAATTCGAGCGTAATTAATCACTTTAGCATGATCTCGTGAAATACCTACAGCTTTAGCAGTGACACTGTGCATATCAGTTCCATTGGATTTATTTCCTATGAGTGTCATCCAACCAAAAGGAGTTGCACCATGAATTCCAGCACAATAAGCATCACCAATAAGTGAAGCAATCCAAAGTTCTTGGCTATCAACATCAGCACCAACAATACTAAATCCTGGTGGTGCTTGTACCATTGCTCTCAATTCAGATCCAACTCGTTCTATATGGGCGTTTGATGCAGTCATCCATGTAGCTTCTGTAGCTCGCCTGGTTAAAGTACCACTCACAACAACTTGCGGAATAATGGCTCCATAACTTCTCTGATTTCCGCGACGACGACTAACAGATGGTAAACTGTTATCATTCAACCAAATCACCAACTGTGATAGAATTCTATCTCTATTGTTTCTCCAATATGATGTCATTTTGGCTATTTTTAATACTTTTGTGGCACTTGAATCAAGACCGGCTAAAACATTTTCAGAAAATTTATTCAGAAAGTCTTTAGCTAAAGGATTTCCTACATTCATTTTAGGTCCATCTTTATGAGGTAATTTAAAAAACCAACAGCAATTATCAATGTTGACATCACACCATATTCCACTTCCTTTGTAAAAATCAGGCTTTCTTTCATCTTTTTTCCTTTTTTTATTTCTCCAGAACTCGGTTTTAGTTAATTCTATTTGTACATCACTTTGTAAATTATCCATATCATAATTTGTATCCGAATCAATTTTAGATTCTAAGGGCAAAGGACATTGCATCAGAAGCTGTCGCAGAGGTAATGAAGTTTTTATATTAGGATCATCATTGTAAGGAACTAAAAACCCCCATCCATGTTCTCTAATATAATGCAAAGGATAATTTTCCCAAGTTAGATTTAACAATTTAGGGGTTACTTTTAAAGAAGTGCTGATATTTTGAGGTCCAGGAATCCAGTTTTCTTCATTTTCTTTCATACATAATGATCTATACCACTTTGGATAGCCCGGCATATGAGGCATTTTTACAGGAAGTCGATTTCTTGTATTGAAAAGATAAGAAAACTCTTGTTCTAAAGGATCTGGTTCATCTTCTCCATCTGTTAAATATTTTTCAAAATCTGACAGTTGTTTTTCTTGAGATTCTGATTCCACTAGAATTTTTTTCGAAACTTTATTCTTAACTTTGATCTTTTGTGTACTCCAATCTTGATCCCACATCCACAAATCTTCTTTGTATTTATCATTATGCATTAGTTTACACACTTCATCAGCTCTCTTTGATAAACTTATTTTTGCCTCATAGTTTAAATCTTCAAAAGTTGATTCTGATTCTTCAATATATCTTTGCCAACTAGAATTTACGGGCAAATAAGCTGTACTTAGTTCTAGCATTCCGGCAAATGTTACAGGATGTGGAAACCTTTCTTGAAAAAGTGATAAAAGATGCAGGAAGACTTCGTGAGTTACTTTAGCATCAGTAGCGCAATAATTTATTAAGTCATCAAAGTTTTGTTTGATTTCTATCAATGTTCCCTCAACAAAAATATCTCTCATAGATTTTTTATGCTCTTTATTACAATAGAGTTTATAAACATCTGCTAAATTATTTAAAGATGTAGACTTCAGCCAATCTTGTTCTTCTAAATCATTGTTTTCTTTATTAGTTAATAGCAGTGATCTTTGATAACTGTTCATCCCACTAATGGAAACGTGAAGAGACATTGTGTCTACAAATCGAGTACCTGTAGAATTAAGCCAATATTGTTCTTTAATTCTAGCTCGATCATAAGAGACATTATGACCTACAACAATCTTTGGCTTCTTTTGATAATCATTTAACTTTTTCCCGGATTCGTTTGATGTACTTTCTAGTGGTATCAACATATCTAGTGTAAAAGAACGACTTTCTATTGGAATACTACTACAATCAACGAGAGATTTAGAGACCCAGCCATACCAAGCAGAACTAGAAACTGCAGTTGCAAGTGTTGGCAATGGACCTTCTTTTACGCACACTTCTACATCAAAAATTAAAGCTTCTTCCAATGGGTAATCAACTTTTTCGATTGTATCGTTTGTATATCTGTAGAAATAAAATTCTAATCAATTTTGCATTTTGCAGGTGATAACAATGCAATTTGAAAATTGAGTGATTTGTAACAAATATACTTACCTAGTCCAACCTTCTTGCAAAATCCATTTTTCTGGTATCTTAGGTATACTCTTTAAATTGTTTTCAATAGCTTTCATATACGGTTTTATCTGACTTTTAGCAACATTAAAAAAATGTTCTTCTAAATCTTTTCCTTCTAAAGGTGGTAAATCTATATCAACATCAGGTATTTTTACAGTCTCGTTGATCTTCATTCCAAAATCTTCAAGATCTTTTTTTAAAGAATCTATTTGATTTTTAGTAACATTGGGTTTCTTATGAGAATTAATAAAAACTTGCTCATGAAGTTTTTTCGACAACATTTGCATGTTCAACTCATTGAATCGAGCTTCCTTGTTATCAATTACATCATTTGTTACATTATTTACATTATTATTTCCGCATTCTAAGATATCTTTTTTTTGTACATTAGAAGGCTTTGGTGTATCGAAATGATCGTAAGCTGTTGTATCTACGCGAAATCCTTTTTTATGTATATCTTCATTTCTAATACAATGTTTACCATTTTTTATGATTCTTTTAAAATGTGCATTATTTACAGGTATTAAGAATTGTTGACATATTTTCTCAGCATCCCAAGAATTTATGTTGTTGACATTTTTAAATACATTCTCTTGACCAGAAAGTTGTATTGATTCCTTGTTTGTTTGTGCATTGAGAGTTTTGTTTACATGTTCCACAGATACAGATTGAGAGGTTAGTTTGTTCAATTTATTATCAGTTCTAACCTGTTTCTTAAGACGCACTATTTTTTTTGTACTATTAGATCCTTGTGAAGAAACTTTTTCAGTATTTAATACTTTTGTGCACTTATGTCGAATACATATGTTAATTAATTTGATTTTTCTACGCATTCTCGTGATGTCAATCTAAGATCGACGAGGTAAAAGAACACGTGATATAAGCGCAAAATTATTATGAACATTAAATTTAATATTAAAAAATAACTTAAACTTACCGGAAGTATTTATTATATTAAAACTCAATAACTCGATGTGAAAATATCCACAAGAAGGCAAAAAAATATCATAAATTAAATAGAATTATGAAAAAAACAATACACATGTGAATGACGTTACGCTGAGACTCCATATTCGTTTCATGATCCATTGTCACGTCCTGTTGTTCGTTTCGCCACCAGGTGGCGCTGAAGCATCGCCTCAAGATGCGGGAAATGTTCAAAGGATAAAAATGAAAAGGTGGTGATAAAAATAATTCTAACAAGAGGTTTGAGTTTTAGTTATAAGATCTATTTGACGGATGAAGTCGATCTGCTTGTACAAATAACACCTCCTTTGTTACAGCACTCTTGCATCCCCACTCGATACAATTCAATTCACACGCTTAGCTCTCTTTCTGGTTCAGAACTTGTCACTATTTTTTATTTAAGGCGTTGATTGAGGAAAACAGCTTACGTTTGAGCTGAACAAATCTCTTCCAGTTGATAAGTATTGAAAATTATAACTATTTAAAATAAACATAAATCTCCCAGTTCATAAGTATTGAAAATTATTACTATTTATAATAAGCATGAATATAATAAATATTGAACAGCTCAAGTATTTTTATTTAAGCATCGAGTACTTGCTGAATAATATATTTTGTTATTGCAAATGCAGAAATTAGAATTTTTACTCTTTCGGTAAAGCAATTAATTATTGGATTAGTTGAAAAGAGGGCAGTAGTGTGATTCAGTACGACATTACACCGTACGGTTCATGGTAATTTGAGAGTGTACCACAGAAGAGAAACGAGTATAGACCGCGAGATGGCACGCCAACCATCATCTAACAACAGCTATAATCATGCCGAGCCCATTTCTTTTTCAATAAACAGCTATAATCACTTCTCTTGCCATTAGTTATTGGGAGAAAAACGAAGCTATGTTGCAATAAAACATAAAAAAACGTTTAAACGCTCATAACTCGAAAACTAAGCGAGATACGGCATTTTTGACGGGGATATCCTATAGGGGGGATCAAATTTTCTACTCAGGTCTAGATCTTTCATATGAGCCCTCGATTAACCCCATAGCATCATTGGCATAGAAGTTATGCACATTTTTATGTTTTGTAGATTTTCAGGAATATCTCCTGATTTTACCAACTAAATATAATCAACAGCCAGTGTTTGGAAATTGTCTCGTCCCGCTCTTGCCAATGACATCGTTAATTTTATGATCCAAGCATAAATACGATTTTTTGCTATTTTTGAGGTTAGAAAGACAAATTCTCCGATTTTGATGCTTGGGGGTTACTCTGTACGTTTAGATGCTCTGGAATTCGACCTTTAATATCAATCTATTCTAAAACTCGTAAAAACAATACTGAAGGTGATACCGGAAATGACTGTAATTTTAGCATGAATTATGCTCGGATCATAATTTTGACTAGTGCATTAAAAAGCTCTCACTCTCAGGAATTTATTGATATGCTTGTGGTCCATGTACCACTCATAGATCGTGAGTTATAAGCGAAAAATGAAGCTATGTTGCAATAAAACATAAAAAAACGTTTAAACGCTCATAACTCGAAAACTAAGCGAGATACGGCATTTTTGACGGGGATATCCTATAGGGGGGATCAAATTTTCTACTCAGGTCTAGATCTTTCATATGAGCCCTCGATTAACCCCATAGCATCATTGGCATAGAAGTTATGCACATTTTTATGTTTTGTAGATTTTCAGGAATATCTCCTGATTTTACCAACTAAATATAATCAACAGCCAGTGTTTGGAAATTGTCTCGTCCCGCTCTTGCCAATGACATCCTTAATTTTATGATCCAAGCATAAATACGATTTTTTGCTATTTTTGAGGTTAGAAAGACAAATTCTCCGATTTTGATGCTTGGGGGTTACTCTGTACGTTTAGATGCTTTACAATTCGACCTTTAATATCAATCTATTCTAAAACTCGTAAAAACAATACTGAAGGTGATACCGGAAATGACTGTAATTTTAGCATGAATTATGCTCGGATCATAATTTTGACTAGTGCATTAAAAAGCTCTCACTCTCAGGAATTTATTGATATGCTTGTGGTCCATGTACCACTCATAGATCGTGAGTTATAAGCGAAAAATGAAGCTATGTTGCAATAAAACATAAAAAAACGTTTAAACGCTCATAACTCGAAAACTAAGCGAGATACGGCATTTTTGACGGGGATATCCTATAGGGGGGATCAAATTTTCTACTCAGGTCTAGATCTTTCATATGAGCCCTCGATTAACCCCATAGCATCATTGGCATAGAAGTTATGCACATTTTTATGTTTTGTAGATTTTCAGGAATATCTCCTGATTTTACCAACTAAATATAATCAACAGCCAGTGTTTGGAAATTGTCTCGTCCCGCTCTCTCTAATGACATCCTTAATTTTATGATCCAAGCATAAATACGATTTTTTTGCTATTTTTGAGGTTAGAAAGACAAATTCTCCGATTTTGATGCTTGGGGGTTACTCTGTACGTTTAGATGCTTTACAATTCGACCCTTAATATAAATCTATTCTAAAACTCGTAAAAACAATACTGAAGGTGATACCGGAAATGACTGTAATTTTAGCATGAATTATGCTCGGATCATAATTTTGACTAGTGCATTAAAAAGCTCTCACTCTCAGGAATTTATTGATATGCTTGTGGTCCATGTACCACTCATAGATCGTGAGTTATAAGCGAAAAATGAAGCTATGTTGCAATAAAACATAAAAAAACGTTTAAACGCTCATAACTCGAAAACTAAGCGAGATACGGCATTTTTGACGGGGATATCCTATAGGGGGGATCAAATTTTCTACTCAGGTCTAGATCTTTCATATGAGCCCTCGATTAACCCCATAGCATCATTGGCATAGAAGTTATGCACATTTTTATGTTTTGTAGATTTTCAGGAATATCTCCCTGATTTTACCATCTAAATATGATCAACAGCCAGTGTTTGGAAACCGTCTCGTCCCGCTCTCTCTAATGACATCCTTAATTTTATGATCCAAGCATAAATACGATTTTTTGCTATTTTTGAGGTTAGAAAGACAAATTCTCCGATTTTGATGCTTGGGGGTTACTCTGTACGTTTAGATGCTTTACAATTCGACCCTTAATATCAAATCTATTCTAAAACTCGTAAAAACAATACTGAAGGTGATACCGGAAATGACTGTAATTTTAGCATGAATTATGCTCGGATCATAATTTTGACTAGTGCATTAAAAAGCTCTCACTCTCAGGAATTTATTGATATGCTTGTGGTCCATGTACCACTCATAGATCGTGAGTTATAAGCGAAAAATGAAGCTATGTTGCAATAAAACATAAAAAAACGTTTAAACGCTCATAACTCGAAAACTAAGCGAGATACGGCATTTTTGACGGGGATATCCTATAGGGGGGATCAAATTTTCTACTCAGGTCTAGATCTTTCATATGAGCCCTCGATTAACCCCATAGCATCATTGGCATAGAAGTTATGCACATTTTTATGTTTTGTAGATTTTCAGGAATATCTCCTGATTTTACCAACTAAATATAATCAACAGCCAGTGTTTGGAAATTGTCTCGTCCCGCTCTCTCTAATGACATCCTTAATTTTATGATCCAAGCATAAATACGATTTTTTGCTATTTTTGAGGTTAGAAAGACAAATTCTCCGATTTTGATGCTTGGGGGTTACTCTGTACGTTTAGATGCTTTACAATTCGACCCTTAATATAAATCTATTCTAAAACTCGTAAAAACAATACTGAAGGTGATACCGGAAATGACTGTAATTTTAGCATGAATTATGCTCGGATCATAATTTTGACTAGTGCATTAAAAAGCTCTCACTCTCAGGAATTTATTGATATGCTTGTGGTCCATGTACCACTCATAGATCGTGAGTTATAAGCGAAAAATGAAGCTATGTTGCAATAAAACATAAAAAAACGTTTAAACGCTCATAACTCGAAAACTAAGCGAGATACGGCATTTTTGACGGGGATATCCTATAGGGGGGATCAAATTTTCTACTCAGGTCTAGATCTTTCATATGAGCCCTCGATTAACCCCATAGCATCATTGGCATAGAAGTTATGCACATTTTTATGTTTTGTAGATTTTCAGGAATATCTCCCGATTTTACCATCTAAATATGATCAACAGCCAGTGTTTGGAAACCGTCTCGTCCCGCTCTCTCTAATGACATCCTTAATTTTATGATCCAAGCATAAATACGATTTTTTGCTATTTTTGAGGTTAGAAAGACAAATTCTCCGATTTTGATGCTTGGGGGTTACTCTGTACGTTTAGATGCTTTACAATTCGACCCTTAATATAAATCTATTCTAAAACTCGTAAAAACAATAATGAAGGTGATACCGGAAATGACTGTAATTTTAGCATGAATTATGCTCGGATCATAATTTTGACTAGTGCATTAAAAAGCTCTCACTCTCAGGAATTTATTGATATGCTTGTGGTCCATGTACCACTCATAGATCGTGAGTTATAAGCGAAAAATGAAGCTATGTTGCAATAAAACATAAAAAAACGTTTAAACGCTCATAACTCGAAAACTAAGCGAGATACGGCATTTTTGACGGGGATATCCTATAGGGGGGATCAAATTTTCTACTCAGGTCTAGATCTTTCATATGAGCCCTCGATTAACCCCATAGCATCATTGGCATAGAAGTTATGCACATTTTTATGTTTTGTAGATTTTCAGGAATATCTCCTGATTTTACCAACTAAATATAATCAACAGCCAGTGTTTGGAAACCGTCTCGTCCCGCTCTCTCTAATGACATCCTTAATTTTATGATCCAAGCATAAATACGATTTTTTGCTATTTTTGAGGTTAGAAAGACAAATTCTCCGATTTTGATGCTTGGGGGTTACTCTGTACGTTTAGATGCTCTGGAATTCGACCTTTAATATCAATCTATTCTAAAACTCGTAAAAACAATACTGAAGGTGATACCGGAAATGACTGTAATTTTAGCATGAATTATGCTCGGATCATAATTTTGACTAGTGCATTGAAAAGCTCTTACTCTCAGGAATTTATTGATATGCTTGTGGTCCATGTACCACTCATAGATCGTGAGTTATAAGCGAAAAATGAAGCTATGTTGCAATAAAACATAAAAAAACGTTTAAACGCTCATAACTCGAAAACTAAGCGAGATACGGCATTTTTGACGGGGATATCCTATAGGGGGGATCAAATTTTCTACTCAGGTCTAGATCTTTCATATGAGCCCTCGATTAACCCCATAGCATCATTGGCATAGAAGTTATGCACATTTTTATGTTTTGTAGATTTTCAGGAATATCTCCTGATTTTACTAACTAAATATAATCAACAGCCAGTGTTTGGAAACCGTCTCGTCCCGCTCTTGCCAATGACATCCTTAATTTTATGATCCAAGCATAAATACGATTTTTTGCTATTTTTGAGGTTAGAAAGACAAATTCTCCGATTTTGATGCTTGGGGGTTACTCTGTACGTTTAGATGCTCTGGAATTCGACCTTTAATATCAATCTATTCTAAAACTCGTAAAAACAATACTGAAGGTGATACCGGAAATGACTGTAATTTTAGCATGAATTATGCTCGGATCATAATTTTGACTAGTGCATTAAAAAGCTCTTACTTTCAGGAATCTATTGATATGCTGGTGGTCCATGTACCACTCATAGATCGTGAGTTATAAGCGAAAAATGAAGCTATGCTGCAATAAAACATAAAAATGTACAAGAGAACACAAATCTTTTTTTTTTCCTAGCTTAAGGGGGCGTGGCTAGAATAAACCGTTGCAGCGCCATCGCTTGATGGGTTTACAGAAACTTTTATGTTGTGACCTCAGATTTCTGACATCTTCACCTAAAGTACCGACATATTGACCGAAACTTTGTCCGGATTTTCAACACAGCATTGGACTTCTATACTGTTTTCTCGTCTTTGGAAAACCATTCTTAATCAAATTAATATTAGAAATGAATAAAAATAGTTTAGCTTACTTTAAATGTCGCGCTATGAGTAACTAGTGGCATCTATAACTTGTGAACATTCAACTTGTGACACCTATAAAAATTTTTAAATTTAAACTAAAATTATGTCAAACGATTTTTTTGTCGAATGGCGTTTCTTTATTGTTAAACAAAGTTACTTTTTTTAAAATATAATTAAAAGTCGAACTATATTTTTCATAAAATATTATTTGTTAAAAATTAATTTTCAATTAATTATTAGAAACTGTGGAAGATTCCTCTTTTAAATTGTCAGCAATTATATTTTTTTTTAATAATGATTTTGCAGTTTTATCGGTAATATTGATGTAAACTCCACGATTTTTTGCATCATTTATAAGACTTTTCCACATTTTATTACCCTACGGAGAAATTTCATATGTAAATATAACGATCAGAATATGAATACATTTTGTTAAAAATGAATTTTTAACAAAATACATGTACTTACTAAAAATGTATTAAAATTTCCAACTATAATAAGAGTATGCTTTGCTCTTGTTAAACTAACACATAGTCTATTTGGACAATGTGTGAAACCTAATCCAAAACTCCGAACACATGACATAATGATAATGTCTTTTTCAGATCCTTGAAAACTATCAACTGTATTTACCTCAATGTTTTCTTTCATTTTACTAAAAAATTCCCAATAAATAATTCATTATTTGTATTGATTTTTAAAATATTTAACAGATAAACGAAAAACTTACGTAGATTCCAATTTCTTAGAAATTAGTTCACATTGTTTTCGGTATGGTGTGATAATTGCAATGCTTATGTTATCGTTGATCTGTTGCGAATTTGTTTTCATCAATTTTGTCATTTCTATAACCAATTCTGCTTCCTCAACGTTGGTATAACCATCAGGACCTTGAGGGAATTGGTGATTAAATAATTTATATTGACAAATTCCCAATGGATGTATTGTTGCTGAATTTTTCAAAACTCCTTTATAAAAGTATTCGTTGGGCCATTGAGATATAGATTCTGTCATCCGATACTGTGTATTTAACGTTATTATAGGATTTATTCCTTCAGTGGCAAAGATTTTTTCTGCTCGAGAAAATAATGATGCACCGTATCCATGATTTTTAGCTGCCTAGAATTAATTCATTGTTTTTGTAATCAACTAAATTCTAAATTAAATTATAATAGTGGTGAGAATGAAATCATGTTAATGTCGAACATAAGTACCTCTGATAAAACTAATGGCGGTAATTGCTGAGGATCACCAACTAGAATTAATTGTTGTACTCCTAACATAAGTGGGACCAAAGTAAGTAACTCTGTAGCTTGAGCAGCCTCATCAATAATACAAAGTGGAATAGACAATCTCGAAAACGGACATAAACTATCAATCATAAAAACCAAGTTATATATAAGTATTTTTGTTAAATTCATAATAATAAAAAAATGTTTACCCAAAAACACTTGTTACAGAGCGATTAGTATAACAAGAGGTTAACGTGCCAACAATTACATCAGCTTGCTTCAGAATTTCTTGTTTTATACAAAATAAACTTATTCTACGATTCTATTATAAAAAAAAAAAACAAATTAGTTATCAATAATTTCAGAAATATTTTTTATAAAATACAACAAAAACCTCTTTTTGTCTTAATGCTTGATTCACTAAAGAGTATTCTTTAACTGAATCATCAATTTTGTCTTCATTACCAATACGAACTATATGAATCGTTAGTCCATTTTCTGTAAAAAAGAATTCAATTAACTAAAAAACGAAATCACTAGGAAAAGTAATAACTTAAATTAACATTAAATACCATCAAAAGTAGACTTTGCTTCTAATAGTTGTAATAACAATGAATCCACTGCTTTGTTTGATGGCGCACATAACAATATTTTTCTTCTGCCCAAAGATTTTAAAATTGTTCCAACAAGATTAACAATAGTTTTTGATTTTCCAGTGCCTGGTGGACCTTGAACGAAACATATCTTTGGTTGTGTTATTTCAATATTTCCCAAAACACCCATTACAACCTTCTTTTGCATGAGATTAAGATTATCCTGATAACAAATCAACATAAATTAATTAATAACTCATTAAATTATTTACTCAATCATTGTTTAAATGTAATTAAAATCTTAATATCAATTAAAATGTCAAATTCGATGTGATCCAGTTGGAATCATCTCACGTAAATTATTATATACCTTTGTTATAATAAAAGATGGGTCAAGATGTTCGATACGTGTTGACAATGAGTAAGAGTAAGCTGTTGGGCGTAGAATAGATGGAAGTAAGACGAATTGAGGAAGAAAGTTTAATGTATCAGCTAAGCTTAAATGTTGTAATAAAAATGAGACTGTTGTTAATGAAAATTCCGAAATCATATTATTTCTAAAAGATATATTCGTTAGTAATTCGTATGTGAGTAATTTTTTCTCATCTTTATTTTCAGTTTCATCTGAATGAATAAAAAAAATAAGTTAAATTAAGCATTTCAAATATAATTAAAAAATGTATTAATAACACCGACCATTTGTTTTTAGAATGTGTTCTTTGAGCAAATTCACATAAGCAAATACGGTGATGGATTGTGTCGTATCAGAGCCTTTGAGAATCGTTAAATCTCCATAACGTGGAAAATGTTTAGAGCTGGTTTCTGCTATGACAATAAAAGAATAAATTTGATCATTTTTGGTACCTGTTACCATTACTCCTGATGAAGGTTCTGAAGATTTTATTTCAGTCATTCGCAAATTTCTGCAAAGAACGTAATTTGGTGAAGTAAAGAATTCAATATCATGCTACAATGATATTTTTATTCAATTTAAGCATAAATGTACCTTTTCTGCTTCATAAGTTCTGCGAAATCCTGTTTCAGGACGTGCCAAAATTCATGAATCAACATGGGAAACATTACATTTTGATATTCTTCAACATTTTTATACTGCTGTTGAGTTGGAATTATCGTGATATCATTAATGACATCAGGAAAGTTTTCATCATATTTTTCATCAGAAAGCCATTCTGGATTCCAACTAAGAACATGGTTTAGAAATTCGTGATATGTATTCTTAGTGTTTTCACCAATAATATCACTATTATTATTTAAATGAAGCAAGTTCATATATTGTGTTATAAGTTTATGACAAATAGCAATCGAATCCATTATTAAAAATATTAAAATCCAATTTATAAAAAAATTTACCACCACAATAAATTAAAATATACTAATTCTAATGAAACATTCAATTACTTTGAATAAATAACTTCTTTCAACTGAAATTTATAAAACCTCCTATCTCTAAATTTCAAAACCTGATTAAAAGTTATTTTGCATAGGGAATTTTACTTCATACATATCAATTAGACACTTTAAATAGAAAATATTTATATTTGGATGTCTACAGAATATTTGAGGTATTGCAAAAAATTTCTTAATATACTGAATGAATCTATTAAATCGTAAATATTGTAATTTCTATCTCAGTTTATTTCTCTGCAAATAAATCAAATACATTACATGTGTATTCAGTTTACAAATGAATATTATTTGTTATGATTTTAAATTTTATCTTTAATACTACTGAATATTCTATATATCAGTATCCAAATTATCCATTTAAGAAGATTCCTTCACTTAGAAATATGCTCCAATTTATTGGAATATCTTATGACTGTTTTTTTTTCAAATTAAAATTCTTCTTATTTTATGAAAATATATAATAATACTATCAGTATAACATTAATTAATTTTTTTTTGTTTCTATTTGTTATATGTTTTTGAAAAGGAACCACGGACTTTTTTTTTAAAACATACTTTTCGAATATAGATTCTGCGTTATCATCATTTATATGTACCAAAACATTTCGTTGTTCAGCATTTCGAATAAGGTTTGACCACATACTATTTCTCTATAATTAAAAATTGATATTAAACAATAACGAGCAATGAATAATTATAAATTTTTCTGCCATAAAAAAATTAATAATATAACCAACTTACTTCGAATGCTTGAAAATTTCCCAACATAATCAACGTATGTTTGGCTCTAGTTATACTAACATTTAATCTATTCGGATTTCCCGTGAATCCTAATTCATGGCTTCGAACACATGACATAATAATAATATCCCTTTCAGATCCTTGAAAGCTGTCAACCGTATTTACTTCGATATCTTTATTTTTTTCAACTTTAAACCCAAAATCTCGTTTCAAATTATCAAATAATTCTTGTGAGATTTTAATTATTTTAGAAATCACTGTATCATTATCATCATCATCATTATACTCATTATTTTTAAAATCTAATTGTAAATTTTTCACTAACTCTTCTGAGATTGGAGCTGTTTCAATCACATTTTCATCAACATTATTATCCGGTTCTGACGGTGGTTTTACATCTAATTTTAAATTTTCGAATAATTTTGTTGGAATTTCAATTTTTTCATTCCTTTCAGTTTTATTATTTAATTTTGGAGCTTTTTTATCTAGTTTTTGGAATTGTTCTGGTAACTTATTATCTCTAGAATAAAATTGAAATTATAAAAAATCAAAATCATTGAAAACATTTAATAGCAACAAAAAAGTAGTTAGAGTAAACAATTGATATACTAATACTTACTTCAAGTTCAAAAGATTTTGTATAAGTGCACGTTGTTCATGGTAAGGAGTAATTACTCCAATCGTAATATTACTGCTCTCTTTTAAATTCAACTTTTTTCTTAGAAATAGTATTAACTTAATTACGAGTTCAGCTTCCTTTTTATTAGAATAACCATTCGAATTTTGTGGAAAATTATGATCAAATAACATATAATTACAAATACCTAATGAATTTGTTAAAGCAGCATCTTTTAAACGGCTCTGGTAGAAATACTTGTTTGGCCAGCATGAAATAGATTTCTCCATTCGATATTGAGTATCCAACACAGCAATTGGATTTTTTTTTTCCTCTCTAAAAATTTTTTGTGCACGAGCAAATAATGATGAATTATAACCATAACGTTTAGCCGTCTAGAAATATATTTAATTATATGAATTATTGCAAATAATCGTAAATGAAGAGAGGATTTTTTCAAATACTTGAGATAAAACTACTGGTTCCAACTGTTGATGATCTCCAACTAGGAAAAGAAATTTCACTCCCAATAAAAGAGGAATCAGAGTAAGTAGTTCATTGGCCTGTGCAGCTTCATCAATAATGCAGACTAATTTTTCAGATAATGAATTTTCACTATTTGTACAATATAAGATATCAATATTTTGTAATTTTATTGAAATATATAAACTTATTTATACTAATTGTACATAACTTATTACCTGAAAAATTTGCGCATGCAACTTTTTGTATAACAGGACGCTAATGTGCTGGTAATAACTTGGGAATTCATCAGTATAGTTTCTTTGTTTTTTTCATTTGTTTCTTCGAAGGACATATTTTTTCTGCGTATTTGATCCGCTAGTGTTTCTAATAAAATGCCCTTTACGCCTTCATCAATTTTTTCTCTATTACCAACACGGACTACTAGAAAAGGAATATTTTGACCTAAAAAGAAATTTTTTTAGAAAATTTGAAATTTATATGTTATATTTGTAACATAGAAAATACCTTCCAGAGTAGGCTTTATTTTTATCAACTGTAAAGCCAATGAATCTACGGCTTTATTAGATGCCGCACAAACCAAAAATCGAATATTTTCGTTTCTTTTTATCATTGATGCAATAAGATTTACAATTGTATTTGATTTTCCTGTTCCTGGAGGTCCCTGAACTAAACATATTTTAGGTGTTCCTTGTTCTATAGCTTCAATAATCCCTGATATTACTTTTAACTGTGATGGATTAGGATTTGCCTGTATAAATGAAGTTTTAATAGCAAGACAATTAATAAAACAATAAAAACAATGATTATCAAACATAAATAAATGAAAATATTCGTACTTTTGTAGCAATATCAGACAATTGAAGTTTTAATTGTGATGGCATACGATACTGTTCAGCATTCGGAGATAAAATTGATTTACATAATGGGAAAGTTCCCAAACAGTTTAGTCCGTCAATCATGCCTAAACTTGGTTCTAAAAATGTAATTGAAACAATGGTAGCAGATTGAAATCTACCTTGGTATAAATTCTTTGTGATAGAAACGTCTAATAATAATTGAAAATTTAACTCAACTCTCCAATTATTTCTAGAAACTTTAGAAAATTCATTAAATTAAAAACATAAATTAAATAAATTAAAAGATTAAAAAAGTTTTCATTACCAATTTTGCTTGTAACGTATGCGAAATATTTATTTCGATTTATAAAAAGTTCCACTAAATCTCCTGTTCGAGGATGAGTACATTCTTGTTTATTATCACTAAAACAACAAGTTGACCTCGTAAAATGATTGACAACGAGCAGATTTTGGAGCGAAGGTTTATCATGTATTTCAACTAGAATTTCTTCGCATCTAAAAATAAAAAAAAAGGTTTTTAACAGTAATTGTATATTATGAGTATTGCATAATAATTGGACATCAATTACATACCTTTTGTCTTTGAAATGTGCTTCATAATCTTTTTGTAACGTACACCAATATTCATGTATCAGTTGAGGAAACATCACTTGTTGATATTCATCAACATTTTTGTAATGTAATTTTGTTGGAGTTAATTTAATGTTATTCACAACATCAGGAAGTTGTTTTTGATACTTTTTGTTCCGAAACCAATCAGGATTCCATTTTAAGACATGGTTAAAAAACTCATCTCTTAAATTTTTTTCCTTATTTTCTTTGTTTGAATCATTCGTTGTTATCCTCAAAAACATTTTTCTGTTATTGACAATTAATATATAAAAGATAGTAGTAATAATTAACTATTATTACTTAATTATTTGGATGTAAAGAATCACTTAAAAACAATAACTGTTTCAATAAGAATCTAAATTACGACTAATTCTTTTGTTATAGATAGACATATACGATTTACTTTTGTTTAAGAAAGGAAATCCCAAGAATTCGCTAGAAAGGCATGCGCACTGAACATAATTGTTTTGTAACGTTATGAAACTATGAATACTAGCAACGATTTACATTATCCGTCATGACGAATATAAAAATATTCATAAATTGACTTATTTAAATATCGAAATAAGTAATGCAACTATAAATAATTAAAAAGATGTATTTCAAACGTTTTAAACAATCCACTAGAGCTAGATTAAACCAGTAACTATTTTATTTATAATTTCATACGAGTAGAAAAATACAACAAATGCAGGTATTTAATTTACACTTTTCTTTTATTAAATAAATGTTCATTTTTTTCTATTCTTTCTAATATTTCCTGACCATTTTTTCGGTGCATCGATGAAAAATGAGATACATTCACTATTCAAAAAGTCAGCAAGAATCTTAGGTTTTACTATAAATCCAGACTCTTTTAATTTTTCAGAAAAAATATCTAAAGAAATTGGTTCATACATTAGAATTTTTCTGTGTAATATACAGTCTTTTTCCAAAAGTTTTTCAAAACTTTGTTGAAGCTTTTTTATTAAGTGATTTTCATCATTGTTACCATCATCATCATCGGAAAATTCAAATTCTTCTGGAAAACCAGTTCTATGCAAACGATTTACTTCTTCATCTTTAGAATCATCTTCACTCGAGTCTTTTTCATTAGTTTTTCGTAAATTACTATACCGATTTTTTCCCAAATTTTTATTTTTATCGTTATCTACATCAGAATGATTATTCCTTGCATCGTGCGGTATCAAATTTTCAGGAACTAATGGATGCATTTGATCCCAAATGAAATTAAGTAATTTAACAGCACGATGTCGTTCCTGATTTTTGAGTCCAAAAGATGTTAACCTCTTTTGAAGCTCCGGACTAGACAGTTGATCATAAGATTCTTTAGGCGAAACATCAAATGAAATATCAACTTTAGAAGGAGAAAGGCCTAAGAATTGGCAAATTTCTTCATTTTTCTGATTATTTCGTTTTCTTCTGGAATATTTAGTTTTCTCATCACTTCGTACAGCTTGTAAGCTTCTTCTAGAATTCGAAAAATTACCTTCAGACTGAGATTTAACTTGTAATAATCTTTGACTTTTATTTTTTAATGGAGAAATACTAGAGCATCGCCTGGATTTTGAATTTTTAGCTTCTTCTACTAACTTTTCGTCTTCATCAGAACTGATATCGTGCTTTGATCGGTTTGATGCTTGTGATAATCTAGAATTAACTGAAGGTTTTTCTAAATATTGCGTAGATGATATTATTGGTAAATGAGTAGATAATCTAAGGTCAGAGAGTTCAGCAAAATCAGTATTAGCACCACCTTCATATTCGAATTGAGTAAAATTCATTTCTTCATCATTTTGACTACAGTTACCACTTACATTATTTTTAATCTCACCATCAAAATTGAGAAATAAATTATCAGGGAAATTATCAATATCATTTTCACCATCAGATGATAAGACAATTGGACTTAGAATATCGGCTATGCTTATTCTGGGTTTATCTTTATTTTGATATGAAGAACTTAAAACTCCGCATTCTTGTAAAAGTTTTGTTATATTTTCAGTTACTGTCGGAGTTCCGGTAAGCTGTGTGAAAGAGTCATTACTACTTTTTTCATTTTTCCAATCAACTCTTGGTGGATGTGGTTCCCAATTTGATTTAACGATCAATGAAATATCCTTATCGTCAGGTTGTTTTCTACTTCGATGGTTAGAATCATTTTGGTTTGATGAACAATTTACTTCACCGGCTTCATTCCAATCCATTGAATCAAAGTCTTCTTCATACATTTCGCCAACTTCTATTGAATTAATTTTATTATTTGATTTTTTTGAATTTGATACATCTTCATTCATTTTATCATATGTTTCTATACTTTTTTCTTCGTCTGAAGTAACTGTTAAGTCTATTGAGCGATTTATAACTTCTTGAGAATTTTGTGTAGAATTTTCATCATCTTCTGTACGACCTTCTTCTGGAACATCTTCAATTTCATAAAAATCAAAACTCGATAGTTCAGTTAAATTTTTTTGATTTATCAAAGAGATTCTTTTATTTTTATATAGTTCGTTAGTTTTTTCTTTATAATAAGTGTTATCTTTTATTGGACTCTCTGCTACCTTAAAAGATTTTTTAGGAGAAGATTGTGGTGATTCATCAGTATTTTCTACATTTTCAGAACTATCTTCATTGCTTTCACTATTATTTTCTTCTTCTGTTGAAATTGATCTAGTTTTTTTTGATTTATCATTAAAATAATTTTTTAAAGCAGCTCGGTATTTGTCAATACTATTTCTTCTATGTGTTTTTTTATATTTTGTATACATAGATTCATTTGCTCCATCACTATTAGCATCTTCACTTTGAACAATCGATTCATTTGCTAAAATGTTATCGAATTTTTGTGTGTATTTTTGATCTACTTTTGATTTGTTTTCTTCTATTCTTTCTTGTAGATCATCGTTTAGATCAGTCACACTGTTTTTAATGTCAATCCAATGTTCATCAACAAATTCAACGTCGCTATTACACTCTGAAAAGTTCTCTTGCAAGTCACCGTCTTGCGTATTTTTCAACAAATTTATTTCCTTTTCAGCCTTTTCCTTAATCTCTTTAGCAACTCTCTTTCTAATGTCATCTTCAAAAATGCTTAATGCTGACTTTTTTTCAACTTTAACATCACATTCTAAATTGTCTTCTTCCGGATGCATCAAATCTTTTTGGCGAAATTTATTCAACAGTCCTGAATCATTTTCACTGAGTCTACAAATTTTAAATTTATTTTTTTTTTTACGAGGGTTCATAACCATCGAATCATCTTCATCGGTATCTGATTCTAAAAAACGTGCATTTTTTCTTTGAATTTTTTCAATAAATAAACTTAAATTATTTCGAGTTGTTGAAATATCTTTAGATACTTTTTCACATTGATAGTTTTTTTCAGTTACCTGATTAGTAGTTTCTGAAACTTCTTCATTTGTTAAGCAGTTTTTTTCCATACTTAATTCTTCTTTTCCTGAGTGTTCTTCTACTGTCTGTGTAAACCCATCTAAACAGATTTCTTCATCAATTTGGAAACTTTTTTTCTTTGTTATGTCTTCTTCATTTTCTTTAATCTCATCTTCATTTTCATTACATAATGCTGTACAAGTAGGTATCTCCTGATCATTTTCTAGACAATGCTCTACAGTATAATTGTCGCTATTTCTAGTATTTTGATACTTTCTCCCAAAAGAATTTCCAAGATTCATGGTTTCCATTCCATCAAAAATATCAGGAGATGCACTCATAAAGCTTGCTCTTAGTAGTTCATGTTTGTATGTCTTCGTTTCTATTTTTGGCGTTTGAGATAGTTCTAATTCATCTTCAGAGATAGTAATAACCGTCGCTTCTAGATTTTTCGTATTTGGTCCATTTACATTAATTTTATTTACACTGTTATCATCTTTCTCTTGAATATTAATATCATTATCATCTATTACCTGAGCAGAGAATTCCAGTGATTTACATTGAAAATCAGTAGTTACATTTTTATTAGTTCTCGATTCTTCATTTTCATTCTTCTCCATGCTGAAATTTTGATCTTCATGCCACTTTGAATTTGAATATTCTTCATCTTTACTTTCATTTGGTTCTATATACAATGGTTCTTCAATTTTTTTATCATCATTTTCTATTAATTGACATTCAGTATTAAGATTATCAACTGGAACATCTAATTTCTCTAGAAAATAATTTAATTCTTTCATCTTATACTTTTCTGCTAAATTTTTTACATTATTTAGAATTAATCTGTCTTTTAAAGCCTCTAAGTTTATGATGGATTCACAATAAATAAACTCCAAGAATATAATTCCTGCTTGATATTCTATATCTTCCCACATGATTTTCCATTGTTGCTTTCTTTCTAAAGATTCTGCATTATATTTACTTTCATTATTATCGGCATTGTTGGCAATAAAATCTTTTTCAATTTCACGACAACGTGTCCATAAAACGAGAAAATGGCTGAAAATGAATTTTTCATTTTTTACGTAAATAATTACATCACTATGAAGTTTTGAATTTATCATTTTACTCCAACTTAGAGCTAGAGGATTTAAACCTTTCAATCGATCTTCTTCAAAACGTTTCTCATTTTCATCTTCATCTTTTTTTTCTCTATCATTATTTTTCAGAACATTTTCTTTTGTATCTTCATTTTTAATCAAATCTTCCTTACCGTTCGATAAATTAAAAATTGAATCTCGATTACTCGAGATATCAGTCACTTTATTTACATTTTCATTTATAGGACTCATACAATCATTTTGATTAATATTTCTTATTTCATTCACTTTATCATCACTTTTATTAATATATAATTTATCTTTACTTTTTCGTTTGTTAAAATTTTCGACAGGTCTAATAAATTGACAAAGATTTTTGATATAATAAAATTCTATACTCTCTTCTCCTGCAGATCCATTCCACAATTTACAATCTGATCTGTATATTTCTTTCAACACCATACTTTTAAAATTGATTTGTTTATATTTATTATTCATACTATCTGGAGTAATTGGTTCTTGAGTTGATATGACATTATCTACAATGGCTTCAGCTATTCTTTCTGCTAGTAGTCGGCTCCTAGCTTCTTCAGTACGTGTTTGTAAAATAGTTGGACCTATCTTCTTTTTTTTTGGTTTTTCATTAGAATCTAACACTATTGGTTTATTAGTAATAAATCCGAAATTCACTAGAGTACTCTTACGCTGTGATGATGACATTTCTAGTATTTTCTCATCTGATTCTGCTGCCAAAACAACTGCCTCTTCTAAATCTTCTATTTCCTGAGCTTCGCTTAAAGATTTGGATAAAGCTATTGCTAACTCAACATCAGGATCATTACTAGTACTCATTCTTTTAAACTTTGGAGTTTTCTTGGCTAGTTGTTGTTGTTGTATTGGAGCTGCAGGTAAGCCAATAGCTTTTCTCTCTTCTGCTTGACGTTCATGTAATTCTGTCGCAGCGATCAATTGTCTTGTGGAAATTCTATTCTTTACTGCACAGTTTTTTGAATGAGCTATTTGTTGGCTTGATTCATTAAATGATTTTAAACATAAAGGGCATACAAATGCAGTCGGAGGCTTAAAAAATGAAGATTCGATAGACATTTGATTTGAATCAGGTTTTTTCTTCGTATTTCGTGATGAATTACTTTTAGTTCTGGTTGACTTTTTTGGATTATCAAGTAACTTAACTCCATTTCGTGCCAAGTTCGATCGAGAATTCAATTTTGGTAATTTAAAATCAGCTAAACTATCCTCTTCTAATGGAGAACCAGGTCTTTTATTGCTCTTTGTAGAACTATCTGCTAATTCAGATATAGATGAATTTCCTTTTTTGAGTGATGGGGGTTCAGAAGAATCAGATGATTGCTCTGAATCACTAGTTTCTCTAAAATATGTTTTGATGATAATTTCAAACAGAAAGTAATATAAAAAAAATTAACAGGTTCACGTTCGAATATTTTGAGAACTATTTATAAATTCAATGAGTAGCAGTAGAATACTTTCTAAAATTCTAAAATTGTTTATCAATTCATTTATCTACAATAGAAATGAAGGATAAGGGAATTACATAATATTTTATTGGTTAATTTCGAGATAAATGCTATTTGATGGAGAAAAATTCTCTAATTTTAAATCAAAATCTGAAAGAAAGATAAAGATTGACAAGTTTTTTCACAATCAAACATTATATTTCTATTAAAGCATCAATCTTGAAGTTACTTTAATAAAAATTGAAAAAAATCATGAATTTATTATTTCCTATGTTTATTGATTATTAATCATCATTTGACTACAACCATAAATATAGAATATTATTTCTAAATCGATCATGAACCTGTTAAATAAAATATTGTATTTTTTAGTCATTTTTAGCTACATAGTGTGTATAAGTAGAACATTTACTTTTTATTTGTTCTTCTTAATTTCATTTTATCCATTGTGTAATCCGATCAAACCGTAGCGCTATCACTTTGGGTCGTAGGATCCAATGCGCCCATTTGTTTTTGTTCCAAATTAAGTAAAGCTGATCTTAAACATGGATCATTCAAGTAAATATGTTTCCGGTGTTCTCCTTCATCAGGCAAATGTAACATCATCCATCGTTCTCGGCTAGCTCTTGTAAATTCAAACTCTCTATAAATTAGAAAAAAAAATCTAAATCAGTTGACTTCAAATTTAGATTAGTTGGTTAATATGACGTAACCATTTAAATATAATAATTCCTATTTATTAACGTACTTGTAAATAACTGCAAAATAAGTAAGTAATGATGCACCAATGAGAGCTCCCCAAAAAGTAAATCTAGCCGCTGGTGTTCCTGCTAATCTTCTAGGTTTTCGTTTTGCAAGATTGATAGTGTCATGAAACTCTTCATGAAGTCCCACCATACCTAAAACTAATTATATATAATATTTTAATCAAACTGTCAATTAAATTTTGTTGTCCAATAATATTTTGAAAATAAAAATGACAAAGCTGATGTTAACCTTACAAATTTTTTGTTCTGTCGATGGCTGCCCCCTCTTTCTCTGGTACACTGCCATCTACAACAAAATATTTAATGCGGCGCGAAAAATTTGAATAAAAAAATTAAAAAAAGAATATGATTCAATCGTCTTCAAGGACAATTGTCTATCCCTTCCTCGATTTAAGATCCTTGAATGCGTCATCATTGGAGCCAATTTCCTATATATTTAATAAGCATCATATACATTTTATGAGTCAGAAACTCATATGTGATCTAACTGAAGACAACCGTCACGATTTTTGTCTGGTGTTTAAATAATTTAAGAACACGTCATCATCATCATCATACTGTTAATAGTGTAGCCGGCTCAACGTCGACAGTTGTCTCTAGTATTCCTCACCGATCAGTGAACTTAAACGCTTTCGAAAAGACTAAACTAGACCACACCCAAGTAAGTGATATTATTTTATTTATTTCTAAATTATTACTTTTTTACTGATATTAAAAAAAGTTTCAAGATCTTTTGATATTATTTATTTAATTAAAATTTATTAAAAATCTGTAACACACAAGTGATTTATTGGCTTCATATCGATCGACTTTGATGAACATAATAACAACTTTTTTTTTCATCCGTAATGATGGTTTGTTTTTTATTTTTAGATTTGAATCCAGAATGGCTGCCAGCAAATATTATCATGTTCAGGTAAACATCATCATTCATTGCTCATAACATGTCAAAAATTTTATGTTTACATTATATAAACACCTACTTTTATTGATGTTTCGTTCCAAGAAAAATCTTGCTCAGTTCGATTAATTAACAATTTCGCTCTTTTTTTATTACATTTATTGAAATTACCAAGAATTATTTAGATATTGATTAGAATGTCAGGATGTGACAATGATTGAGAAAACAATTTACTGATTACTTAATTTTTTATTACTTGTTTTAACATCATTTATTTGACCATTTAGTGTACACCAACTGTATACCCAGCTGATCCTTTCGATCCAGAAGCTGACGCCACTCTTCTTCGAACTGCCATGAAAGGTTTTGGCACAGATGAACAAACTATTATTGATGTTCTTGCGCATCGTGGAATTGTCCAACGATTAGAAATTGCTGATAAATTTAAAAGCATGTTTGGCAAAGACTTATTATCAGAACTTAAATCTGAACTTGGAGGAAACTTTGAAAATGCCATTGTTGCATTAATGACACCACTTCCTGAATATTATGCAAAACAATTACATGATGCTATCTCAGGAATGGGAACAGATGAAGGTGCCATCATCGAAGTCTTGGCATCTCTGAGTAATTATGGAATCAAGACAATATCAGCCGTCTATAAAGATCGTAAGTGTGAATACGTAATTGAATTCTATTCGTATGATTCATCTGACTGTTATTTGATTGAACATTCATTATTACTTTTTATTTATGAATGCCACGTTTCTTAGTATTGTTCAATCACAGAGACGAGATCGTGTATGACACACTTTTTGTACGTTATTCTTACCAAGTTGAATAGAAAGTTTTACTCAGAATTAATACTACGTAGTGAAGACTATACGTGACGACATTCAATGGATTTAGCTTATTAAAACATTAATGCGTATCATTGAATAACACATATGAGGACAAACATATATGTACACAAGTTAAATTTTATCATATTTTATGGGCACGCCTATACATACGTGCTGTCGTTAAATTTAACGCGACTTACCTTGTAATTAAAAGCTACAATGATAAACATTTATGTTTTAAGTGAAATACATTAAAATAATTAATTGAAAAAATTAGATATAAATATATATATATAATGGCTACATTAAGATTTTAATTATCTTAATGCCACTATGATTAGAAATAATTATATATTTTTATTTGTCTTTAATGATTAAATTTAATTAACTGTAAAAAAAAGTAACTATATTAAATTAAAGTTTATTTTAAAAAAATACCTAAATTGATGTTCGAGGAAATAATAGAAAATATGTACGTAAAAACTTAACATGATATTTAAAAATTACTCAACCAGTAATCCCATATGGTCTAGTGGCTAGGATATCTGGCTTTCACCCAGAAGGCCCGGGTTCGATTCCCGGTATGGGAAATAATTTTCAATGTTACTTATTATTTATAATAATTATTAACAAAATTTTTATGAATAATTAAATATTTATATTAATAATTTATTTTTTCTGACAGTTTATGACAGTGAGTTGGAAGATGATCTCAAAGGTGACACATCTGGTCATTTCAAACGACTTCTTGTATCATTATCTTGCGTATGTATATTATGATAAAATTATAATCTTATAAAATTAAAATAGATGAATATCAGTGCTCTTTAGTGATGTAAGTGTGACCCGGAAGGGCACGACTAGCTTTCCAGTAGAAAGAATGAAAAGATTTGTTTGTTTAAATAAATTATTATCATAATCATCGGGATATTATGATAATATTAATTATTCTTATTATTATAATTATTCGGGATTCGCAAAATTGCACCCATCACTATAACTTCCCACTGGGAAGCTAAAAATAATAATTACTTTAATAACTATTATATTTTTGTAGGCTGCTAGAAATGAAGATACCGATATTGATGAAGCGGCTATCGTTGAAGATGCAGAACGTCTCTATCAAGCTGGAGAAGGACAGTGGGGAACTGACGAAAGCACATTCAATGCTATTTTAATTACTAAGAGCTATCCTCAATTGAGAAGAATTTTCCATGAGTATGAAAGAATTGCAGGACATAGTATTGAAGATGCCATTAAAAGAGAATTTTCCGGGTCATTGGAAGATGGATACCTTGCAGTTGGTGAATATCATAAAAATGATTAATTAATGGCTCGTTAATAAAAAGAAGAAATTGATTGATTGTTGTTTGTATGATTTCAGTCAAGTGTGCACGAGATAAAACCGCATATTTTGCAGAAAGACTCCATAAAGCTATTTCAGGAATGGGAACTGATGATACAACATTAATTAGAATTATTGTTACTCGATCTGAAATAGATTTGGGAGACATTAAAGACGCTTATCAACAAATTTATGGAAAATCTCTAGCTGGAGATATTGACGTGAGTATAAATATATCAAAGTTGAAAATAGTTTTATATCCATTGATAATTTTAATGACTGATATTAACCACAATTGTCGTTAACCATTAATCCACATTTTCTATCGAGAAAAAAATAATCTAAATTCTCATTAGTCACCATATATATCAGTAAACCATTATAATTTTCAGGATGATACTTCTGGCGATTACAAGAGACTTTTGCTTGCTTTGGTTGGCGCCTAAAAATATTTTAATCTTATATTGAACAATGCATAATATTTATATATTATTGTGTTATTAATTATCATTGGATTAATTGTCATGAATAATAATTATTTATCATTTTTGTAGAGAAATATCTATTTATTATCTGTTTTAATTGTTGAAATATTTGTTTTAATGAAAAATATATACTGGCATGTCATCAATTAAAAACTTATATGAATTACTTTTTTTTGTTATTCTCGTACTTCTTTGCTTTTATGATTAATTAATTTATTAATATTAATTAATATTATGATAGCACATCATAATCACCATAATTTTGAATGACATTAATTTCGTTTTTTTTTATTTTTTTTTTTTTTACATTTCAGAGCGACTGCAGCGCCGAATTTAAAAGCCTTCTCTTAGCTCTCATCAATTAATTAACTTTTAATTTCTATTAATGATGATTAATCAACTATTTAAATAATTTCTATATTAAATTCATGACACAATACATGATTACCAATCACTTAACGTTGTTGTTTATATTAAAAACGATTGCCACTGACAAATTTATGATTACAGGATGATTGTGCTGCTGCATCTAAAAAATTACTCATTGCTCTTCTTAATTAAAGTTGATTATTGATAATAATAATAATAATATTTAAATATGATATTTTAAAACCAACTTAAACGAAAAAAAAGAAGCATTCCAATACATAAAATAAAATAATTTGTTGAAATTATAAATATTATAGGTAAAAAACGATATTAATGTTTATATATTTTATGTTATGTTTATGTACATATAACAAAGAAAATGTTTGGCTGAATGATATTTAATTTTAATTTGACAAATATTTTTTGTACTCTCAATTAAATGAGCAATAAAAAACGATAGAAAAATATTCTATGGTATTACTATGACCTCAGGTGAGTTCGTTTTGTTTTGAAGAAATTTTAAATATTCAATAAACATTGAAGAATTTGATGGTATATTAAAGCATCCATAATCAAACCGTTTGTGCATTACATGGAAAATAAATACTTTAAGGCTCACACAACCATGAAAGTGGCTATCAGCAAATGTTAGATCATATAATATAAGACAAACTTTTGCTGAAATTTTCTCTAATTCAGGAATTCCTACACAAATTGGTGGTGGATTTCGAGCTACAAATGATTAAAAATTAAATTGAAGTAGTTATCTTGTCAGGTTGATCAAATTTCGACAAAAATTGAATAAACAAAAATAAAATCTTTTTAATAGTTACCTGAAATGGTTTCATTGAATAATGTGTAATTATTGTAAGTTATTGTAAATGAAATGCCATAATCGTTTGGTAAGTAGGCAAAACTAAAGCAAACTAGAAAATATAAAAAGAATAATTTAATGAGTCAAGCGAAGTATAAACATTTATCATTTATGTAGGGTTGATAAAGAAATTAAAAAATAAAGCATGAAAAGGATTAGATATTAAACTAAAATTACCTGTTCCTTTTATTTTTCCAATAGTTTCACAGCATCTATATGAATAATTAGAGTGAAAACATCCACTTGTTGAAATATCAGAGGAAAAATTATCTACCAAGATGTGTCATGTAACAAAAAAGTTTCTGGTATTTTATTCATACTTATATTTAACATGTTATTAAGTTTTTGTGATATGATAAAGTTAGCAGCAGGAAAAATGAATCAATTGAACTGAAATGCTGATTACCATGATTTATAATAGTGTTACCCGATACCATTAATGATAAACTAATAAAAATTCCAAGACACCAAATAAAAGAAACCATTTTTTATAATTATTTTTTTATTTGGTATTCTAATAGTAAAAAACTACCTTTCCAATCACACAATAACTAATGGCTTCAAAAATATAAACAAAATGAATTTTGTGTTGTGATTAAATTTGATAATGTGGGGGTGCTTATCATAAAAGTGTCTCCCTCTGGATGGCAGTCCAATCTGGTGGTAAAAGAACTAACTAAAAAAATTTCAAATATCCATTATGTTTTGTTGTTTTTCAATATATTAATACACAAGAAGATTGTTTGAATACTTCTATCTAAATATAAAAATTAAAAAATTTTAACATATCTCTCATCTTGTTTGTTATTCTCCTCCATCGACAATTATTATGTTAAAGTGAAAAAAAATTTTATTAACTCGTTGATAACGGATTTATCAATGCAGCCACAATTATAATAGTAATAGTATTTATATAAGATTCAAGGCAGATGCATTCAAGAAATCTCAAACAGACAGAAATATTCTTTGTTCTTATCCAAGCTCTTTAGCTGATTATTTTATAATAAATTAAGTAATTGTCATATAAGTATACAGATTCAGCTTTGCATCAAGCATTATTAAATTTGCCGCTTGACTTGCGCACAAATAAAATCGATGCACCGGCTTGAGTGGATCAGTGCGGCGCCGTCAAAGAAGGACGTGCCCGTGGTTGCGGCTCCTTTTCGGAAACTCTTTAATTTAGTAAATAAATTGAATTTGTTTCAACAAAAAAGACATGTGAATTCAACAACCGAAATGCCGGCAAGGGAGTATTCAGATTTGTGCACAGACAAGGTGCTTTCAAAGGGAAGAATTCTTCAAGAATTGACAAAAGCTGTCAAACTGGTGAGTATCAAGTGATTTTCTATGTGTGTGTGTGCTGTCAAGGCCGTTCTCACATTTATATGTAAGTGTATTTGACTTTAGAATACGTCACAAAAGTGAGAGGATTAACCGTTCATAGCAAATACTTATTTGAGTTGTAATTAAAAATAATCGTCCTCCAATTGTTCTTTTTTTTGACTGTGTTAATCGTTATTTAATCGTAATATTCCATATACTTATTACTAAAAGTGAGTTAAGGATTGTTTTGTTAAACGTAATAATACTTTTTACTGATTCTTTCAAGACAATGAACTACTTCTCACGTTTATATTCTGATGATTCACACTAATTTTAATAGGTTATTCTCATGTAACATATTTTTTTAATGTTAATTTAAAATAATTATTTATTAATAGAGTCAATAAAATAATGAAGTGTTCTTGTGGTATCAACAATTATTTCTTAAAAATCCATGCTTTTTTGCTGTGAACTAGTTAACAATAATCCTAATTGCTTTGATTTTTCTTTTGTTTGCTCCAAAACTGTAGTGTCACTTGTAAATAACAATTAGTTAACCTCTGTCAGAGCTCAGGTATACATTAACTGCACTGACATTTAGAATTTTTAGAAAAGTTCTTTAATTTTAAGAAAAGTTTACATTATTTTTAGAATATTGATTGGTATTTATATTGTTTAAGGAGTGAAGTATTTTCTTGGCTTTATTAACAATCACTCAGTTACATTTTCTTTTTTTTCACAAATAACCTAACCATATTTTTCCTATAATCAAAAAACAATTTATCATTTAAAGTATTTACTTAATTGCTTTCATAGTGGTAATTATCATTAGCGTAAATAAAATTAATGAGTTCTTTTTTTGCCTATGTCAAAAAATACTTTCACTATAAAAATAACTTATTTTTCAGGTCTATGCTCAAAGTTTACACGGAACTGTAGTCCTAGATGGAGATTCTTGGTTAGTATATTGGTTAGATCGTGCTCTGCGACATGGATTACGTGTTGAAAGATATGGATATTGGGGAATGGTTCGTGAACTCAGTCATCAAGACACAATTGTCGTCATACACGCTTTACAAAGCGTCTTAACATCGATTGGAAAAGGTACCATTATTCTACAGCATGATTTATTTTATTTAAAGTTCAATTGATTAAATCGTATCTTTCAGTTCATTCCATTTAATGTATTACACTTTAGAAGTTACATTTGAATATTTGTTACAGGCCGAGCTTGGTTATATCATACCCTCAGCGAGAATATTTTTGAAAGTTATCTAGCATGCTTTCTACGTGACACAGTGACTCTGAAGAAACAATATTTTCCACATGCACTTGTTCGTGATGCTGACAAAACTCATCAGCTGATAAATCTTTTAGCTGGCCTAGAAAATGTATCATTTACTCTTCAATTAGTAAGTTATTTTACGTGATTGGTTTTTATGTCTATTCATTTATTCAAATAACTAATTATGTTGTTATTTATCAGTTATTATGAATTTTTTAATCATCCCTTTTCTATTATTACTAGAAATGTAATAAATTTAATTTAGTTGTAAATTCAATGATAATTGCAATTTATCATCTAAATTTTTATCAATTGATCTCTGTCACTCAATAATTACCCTGATTTTATATCGCCAATAGACGTTTCTTTAAGCGACCCCAGTATTCGTGGGTAAAAGATGTAAACACGTTTAATGATAGCTGCTATCATAAAATTCATTATTAGTTAGTGAAATTTTCTTTCATATATTTGTCTTCGTTTGATCAAACTAAAAAAATTAAAAATAAGAGACATAATATCATAGTTCAATAAAGAAAAAAAATCTAGATTTTTTTGAGTTAAAAAGAAAGTAGCAGTGACAAAAAATAGTTATAGTATCATGATATTATAGTTTATTATTGCCTCAATTAATCTCCCCTATGTGTGAATTCAAATATCACCCCCCTGGATACAATTATCAGTCTAATAAATAACAACCGTCACGTATAATAAAGTTATACATTGAAACTTATGTATTTACGATTAACAGTGCAAAGGGTTATCATTTTATAATTCATACTTTTTATATTTTTTTCGTCATGCTGTTTTTAGTTACTGTTTTTTTCAGATTTTAATTCCTTTATTGCTATGCAATATGAATGTTAAATAATTCAAGCCATCATTTAATAATATAGATAAATAGATATCACTTTCTTTTTTTTTTTTGTTCAATTATCTTTTAGTTAATATAAATATTGTCTAACTGTTGTATTTTTTTTTTAGGATGTCACATATTTAGACATTTGTAACTATATGCCACAACATCCTATGCATGGATCACCTTCGGGAACAGCATTATCATTACATTTGAGATCTTCGAGTGTCACTTCAAGTCTTGCTTCACCCGGAGACAGTGGCGTTGCTTTAGATAGTGACATGGATATGGCTAATGAAACAGATGCAAGCAGTTATAAAGAAGTAAGGAATAGAAAACTAAAAACAAATATTTAAAATAATTTTAAAAAAGTAAAGTACTAGTAAAGTTAACGGAAGTACTTTGTTTATTAGAATTAAATAAAAGATTAAAGTGTGTAATTAAGTTTAAAAAATAATTTATTCTTATTTGTTTAGGAGGATTCATCAATGGATGAAATTCCGAAATATCGCAACAAGTACAAATCGATAATAACAAACTGTATTCAAGACAATAAGAACATAAATCGTTCATTTTCATCAAGTGATTCGAGTGAGGATGGAAAAACACCAGTTCATTCACCAGCAATGCACACTAAGTTCAAGCACACAGTAACAAAAAGTGACATAGCTAACCAGAATATAATACCAACAAAAATGGATGATAATGAATTTAATTGCTCTAGCTTGGATACATTAAAAGATTATAACATATATAGCAAAAGTCTTGATGAATCACGACTTGACAAAGTGAACAATGATAATGATAATTCTACCAAAGATTACATTAAGCGTAGCAGTTACCATGCAGATGGTAGTTACAGCTTTAAAAAGAGCATAGATCCACGTAATTCATATGTAATTAATAACGATACTAATTTATTAGAGTTAAGTATGACAATTTCTGATTGTGATTGCTGTGCTGATGCTCCTTACAGCATTTTGAATACTGTCAACATGACAGATACAAGTATTTTATCATCATCAAGCTCAGAAGCAATTGTTCAGCGACGACAGCGTAAAAAGAAGCGAGGAGAAAGTAAAAAACGTGTAAGTTTTCATGAAGATATCTTTAAAACAATGAAATTAGACGATGATGAAAATTTTGCCGACTTTTCTATGAGTTTTATGCCACCAAATTCAGTGCAAAAGAAAGATGTTCAAAAAGGTAGATACAGTTGGTGTGCAAACGGAGATTCTCCATATATACAGAGAAGTGTTAATACAAGAAATGCAATATCAGATTATTATTCTTCATCATCATCTACGAGTACTTTTGATAGTGATGGTGGTTGTAAATCGTGCAAGAATGCTAGATGTACGTGTGGACCATCGATCTCTGAGCGAGGCGTGCCAGAAGGTCAAGAAGATCCTGCTCTGAATTTTAAACCAAAGATGGAGATTGAACTTGAAGATAATGAAGCACAGGAGGCTTATATTGTTGAAAAACAATATGGATATATTGTAGAAGACCCTCCAGCTAAATTAGAAATGCCTCGGCCTGTTAATACCAAAAAATATAACAATTCTAGCGATTGGAGTGATGTTGATAGTATGACGACATCTGCTGATTTTGATGATCGAAAAAATTCAAGACATTTAGCATCTCCTGTTAAGAAACGTAATATTACGTCGATTTTACCATGTGACAGTGGAAAATTTTTGACGTCTTCATCACTTCGTCAGGCTCCTTCAAGTACTTCGTTGCTTAGTAGATTTTTAAAATCAATAACAGAAAGAAAATTTGATGTGAAGAAGAATAAAAAATTTTCAAAACCGAATTCTTTATATATTAAAGGTGTAAAAGTTGATGGAAATTCATTTAAAGACTTTAATGAGAATTTAGAGAAAGAGATTCAGGAAAATATTGTAGCAGAAAAGCGGGAATTTAGTGGAGAAAAAATAAGCCTCAAGCTCAGGGAAATTTTTAAACGTCATATTTACAGAGATAAAAGTGAAGAACTATATAAAGTATACAAAGTCCGTAGTTCATATATGAATAATGGCGAAAGTCGGCCAATGCTCGCTTTATTGACCGACAAAACATTATATTTAACTGGTACTAAATCAGATCATACTTACAGCAATCAATTTGTCATTCCTTATAACGAGTTAGATGTCATCATGATTGGACCAAATGCACAAACAATTCTAATATCTAATGCAGACTATGAAATGCAATATTTATTTTCTACCGGTAGCTCTCAGACTACTTCTGAGTTAATTACACATTTGGAGATGGCCATGAGACGGTCTCCATCAAAACCTAAATTGCCTGCAGTTAAAGAACTTAAGTATGAGGATATGTATAATCTAAAAAGTTTAATAATGGCAGAGACTGCAGTGAATGTTGAAGAAAATATTGAACACTACAGTCTTATTTATATGGAAGATGATCATATTACACCACCCGGTACACCTTGCGGTCCAACCAAAGAAGGAGATCTTATGTTTCGACCGCATTCTTATCAATCTCTCCACCCAAATGCGCCAACGAATGCCTGGGAAGCTGGATACTTTGTCCTCAAAGGAGGCGTTGTTTACATGTTCACAGATTCTCATCAACGGCTTCCTAAACGTGCAATTCCACTGAAAGGTGGACTTTGTCAAGGCTGTAGGAGAATTCCCAACTCTCATCGGCCTCATACTTTCGAAATACTTTTAAAACCTAATAAATCCTTCCAATTTGCTGCGCCAGATGAATATGTTGCCTCCGAGTGGCTTCAGAGTTTTGTACAGAGTGCCTCAGGGTTGTTTGATAACACAGAGAAGAGAAGCCCTTTACCTTGTAGCCTTGTTGCCACTACGAAACATTTGATTGCTATGAAAGAAGCTTTCCCTGGGACTCAGAGAGAACAAACTCTCTCTTGTGCCTCAGTTGAAGATCTTACGGCCTTTCGTGTACCTTTGGCTCAACAATCTTGGTGCATTTTGGTACAGAATACTATTACATATAATCAATTTTTAATCAATAAAAATATATTCATTAATAATCTTTTTTTTAATTATGATTAAATAAATTATAATGATCATTATATTACAGGAATTTGCCTGCCGGGAAGTTCATGAAAGCAGTGGAGATTGGGTAATTTATTTCACAAATTATACAGAATTGTGCGCCTTCCGAGAAGTTTTAGAAACACTGTGGGCTGATGCTAAAATGGTAACAATTATTAATTTATAATTAAATTACGATCAATCAATTAAAAAGTATATACTATTAACAAATTTTACGATTTTTAATAAATATATTGAGTTAATAAACTTTATGCTTGAATAGGGTGCATTTCCTATGGTGACTTTGCCACCAGAAAATAAGCTCCATCGTCGTTGCTCAGATGTAAGCAAGGATCTCGAACATGCTTGGCAATATTTATTACCAGTGTCGTCTGAATAATCAGTTAAGTCTTTAATAATTAATATAATAATAAAACAAATAATAATTATAATCACTGATATTTATTGAAGCAAATGCGTAAAAATTGTATCTTATCATATGTTTATGACCATAGAGACAGTTGGAGTATTTTTAAGCCGGAAAAGTAGCAAATAACTAATAATCGGCATATAAAAATTCTTATATATATATAAAAAAAAAAATGAGTGGCTTAACCTTGCTTAGTAAAATTGAAACTCAAAACGTAAACAATGATAATAGTAAATAATGATGAACCCAGCTCCTTTAACATTTTTTTAATTTAACTTATAAAAAGAACTATATCAAGATATTATAATGAATTTAATTGAAAGTGTAAGTGCATAATACATCAATTTGCACAAAATAATGAGATTAAAAAACAGTGCAATATATTCTTTACTTATTCAGCCTCATGAAGGATAAAGTTATTAGTTGATTAATTGATTTACATAATATTAATAATTAATAACAGAAAGACTGTTAAGTAATGAAAATAAAATTTGACGATGATATTAATAATCGTATGGTTGTCTATAATATTTAGGTGTATTTGAGAGGATGTTTAAGATGGTGCACAGCTTTGCTAAATTTGGTACTTTGATCAATTAATTAATAATTAACATGTTAGTATGTACCATTATAATTGTATATTTTGATCTAAAAGTATGATTGAATAATTATTTTTATCATTATTGGTAGCATCTATTATTGTTCAGTAGTGATTATTTTTTACATATTTTTTTACGTATTCTTTATTGACAGAGGTTTTTTTTTGTATAAATGCAATTAAGATTGTTTTAATCGTGAATGAATTGTATTATATAAGACAAGGTGCTTCAAGTGATCTTATTTAACTTGTTGGTTATGAATTAATCAATTATTGATTTTTAAATTATTACGAGTTTTCCATTCAATTTATTTAAAGAAATATTTTGGTTTATGAATTACCCAGAAGCATTAAAAAAATAGTAGATATTTTCATTGAGGTGATAGAAAAATGTTTTTTTGTAAGAAAAAATATAGTTTGTTAAATGGAATAACTACTAAAAATATTTTTACAAATACTTAACATTATTATTTTATAAATGAGGTTTACTAAAATATTCTTTCGAATAAATGAACAAGGAAAACTCGGAACAAAACCATTATATTTTTTTATTATATTTTTATATGATATTAAATTGAGGAACGTATGATTTCTTCGATTCTTGGTTTGTAGTATAATAAAATTGTCATTGATAGTAATTTTATTCATTTATGAATATGAGTTGTATAATGCTATTGAATTTGCAGTAAATTGATTATTTATTATGGGAATATGATTCCGTTGCATAATAAGATAGGATCTGTTAAAAGTAGAAAATGCCTGAAAAGATATAAATTAATAATAATAACCAAAATTATCAATCACCTACGCCACTCATTTATCAAAAAACTATTATCAGTGACACATGAATTTAATCATGTACGTAAAAAAGATAACATGATGCAGTTGTTATGAAAATGTGATAGAAGTAGTGAAAAATAAAGAAAAATTATATGCATATACCAACCCACATCAATTTGGTTCATTTCTGATATTTAATTAAAAAAATATCAGTCATTGTGATTTTTATGAATTATTTTCATTAATATTAATATTTATAATCTCAAATATGGTATATATTAAACTTAATTATATATTTAAGTTATATTTATAATATGAAATAATTATAAATTAGAAAGTTAATGATTATTTTTGAAAATTACGTGCAATTAAATTAAATAACATTGATAAGTGCGAAATCACGTAATTTTTTCAAATAAATCAATTTCCCTTGATATTATTAATTGTCGCTAAATTGCATCACAATAGAATTACCAATGGATTGTACAAGCTAGTCAGGTGATCAATAAAATGTAATTTTATCTTCAATGTCTGATTTATTCGTATTTACTAGTATTAAATGAACCAGTAAATTTTTTTTTTATCTTAAAAAATATTATCCAGTGATTATTCATTTTAATTATTGTTAAAGTATTATCAGAAACATCTCTACAAAAAAAGTATTTGGATATTTGGTAATTATGTATATTGTAATTGAATTTGTTTTATTCTAATGTATACGTTATTAAATAGTATTTTCCCAATGTCCCCTTGATCGTCGAATACGTTTCATTTTTTCTATATCAACATCTGGATATTTTGCTTTCAAAGCTTCTTCATCCACATTAGGGAATCTCCGTAAAATGGTTCGAACTTCGCTACATCGGAAACTGTAAAAATTTTGTCAGTTTTTATATTAGAATTTTTGGCTGATAGACGTATATGATTACGTCTAATGAAAGGGTACATATATATTTGAAATATATGTATATATACCTATGCTCTTTTCTCTTTTTAAGGAACATTTTTTCACGGAATAAACCTATAAATTCTGCCACATCAGGTCCACCTTGGTATTTAAGCTTATTTCGCTCCTCTGAGTTTACCTCTTTTGGAATATGATGTTGTTTCAACGAATATTCCTCCATTAATCCTTAAAAATGGAATTAATTCGTAAATTGAGTATATGATGTGATTTTAAATCATGATATTTGAAATTAATTTAAAACTCTGCTTACCTAATACGTTTCTGGCAAACACTGTTTCTCGTTCACCATGTTCTCCAGTTTCAAGTTCATAATATGCTCGATTTCTTTCTCTAACAACCTCCTCCAAATTTTCCATACTTATTTCTACCTTATCTTTCCGTTCTGGATTTGGAAAAAATTCAAATTCTTTTTTATGAGCATGCTCCATGGTTAACAACATGTTTCTTTCTTTTAAAAGTATGTACCTATTTTTATTAAAATAATTACCACTCGATTATGATATGTTGGTTAATAGATTTTATAAAGGTTAAGTCTATTTTGATTGAAACATATGGACATGTTTATTACAAACCATAATTTATGAAGATCTTCATTACTTTTAAGTCGTAATTCATCCTTATTCCATGCACGTCCTACTCGTATACGCTTTTTCATCCAATTTTTTGGATCATCAAAAAATTCCATTAACCCGGTTGGGGGTTTGATTTCTTCCTTTGCATCTTCTGTTTTTTTTTCTTGAACCGCAGGTTTCGTAGAAGTAAATCTTAATAATGAATAATAAATCTCAATTAAATTAATAAAAAACTTTACGGAGGAAATCTATTATTGATATTAATGTTTTTGATATTTAAAATAAATCATTTCATTGAATGCTTGTTAGGTTAAGTAACTTCAAAGTAGCAGAATTGATAAGAGGAAAAATAAAATAGCTTGATATAAAAATTATTATTACCGTTTTGTAATGTCATAAGTTGTTATTTTTGAACTATGAGGAGATAATAATGACAAATTATTTAATGTTTTTGTAATATTTTGAATGGCACTTGTTGTTCGTACAATGTACTTGAGTGCCGCCATTTTTGAATAAACCAGATAAGAAAAAGTGCAGGCTGTTAGCTGAGCTACATGTACATTCTTTTCAACTTGTAGTTGAAAACCTTTCAAAAATTTGTTTTAAACATCTTTTAAAAAACTAAAAAATAATTGAGATTTAATAAAAATGTAACGTCAAACGCCCAAGTATTTTATCTCTGATTTATTTTTAACTTCAACTTAGATTATTGATGATCTATGGAATGGGTTACTCCAAAAAAGAATGTAGTGAACAAATAAATAAAATTCCAATTAAATATATTGAATATATTTGCAAAGATTGCACAGTACGATGATACAGAATCATTTATTCTCTAATCCTTAATTTCAATCAATTTATAAGTTAATTTACAACTTTATTGGTATTACTTTATTGCTATGTGCAAATGTATATTATTATGTTTTTCATCATTTTAATTAATTATTTAAAAAAATGTTTATAAAGGCACCCATTATATAGTAGATCAACTTATAATTAAGTAAAAATTATATTGCATTATATATATTATGTACACACTGAAGATAAAATATATAATATAATAATTATTAAAAATTAATAATAATTATTATTAAAATTAGAACAATAATATTTTCATTCGTTTTCGTCGAAAAAAATTATTGCAGATTTAATCTTTTTTTTTTGTTCATATACATTTTTTTAAAATTAAAGAAAATTCTCTTATTTAATAAACTCACTTATAATAAATATAAATATTTGTAATAATTATTTATATATATTTATATAATTCTACTAATTTTCTCTGATTTTATTATTTTAAAGTAAAATATTTTTTTTTAATTTTTCCTAAATTTCTGCTCGAATTATCGATTGCTGCAATTCGCTTTCACAGTTGTGCAATTTCTTGAAAGAAATTACACAATTTCAACAATTACATGAATATATTTTATAGAACGATTCTAAAAAGTGAACTTAAATAATAACAAAGCATACCACATCCTGCTAAAAACACATAAACATTCATCCATCATTCAATTTTTATAATAGTTAAAATTCCTGTTTTGTTAGTTGTATTCATTTTTAATTGACGAACAAGGCACAAATTTTATTTTTTATTATCTTTTGGTTCTTTTAAATGTTCAAAAAAATGATTATTAATTATAATCATTTGAAAATTTTTATCAGCTATGATTTTTTGTTTATAAAAAGATATGTCAATATTCATTGGAAAATTTACTCGTGAAAAATTGTTTTAGAATATTCTTTAATTGATACTAAATATAAAATTATATATTTTATAAATTTTGTGTAAATATAAATCACAATTGTACCCGTTATTATTCATAATTCAGACACATAATCAAATAGAAACGTTGAGATATACCATTTTTAATTATTATTTTACGATAGTCGTAAATAAATTGATCAGTATAAATTTACTCGAAAAGAAGATATATATGAGTATATGTAGCAGAAAAATATCGATTTCGAGTAAAAAATAGCAGGATATTTTTAGTTAGCATTCATAATTTACTATCAACATTTATGAACGCTACTACGGACATTCTTAATTCTTATATCAAATTAGCTGATTTAATAATATTATTGGTGCTGGATCACTGACTGATTAGTTTTCTCTGATCACATATGGATTGTTGCTGCTGTATAACGCGCTTCTCCTCTTCGCCAACTCCACTGGCTAGGACGATACTATATAGTAATAAATAATAAGAATAATATTTAGTAAAGAGTACATTGAGATAAATAGTATATCTTTAAAAAATTAAATTAAACATTATTGATGAAAGAAAAAATATTAAATTACCCGGATCAACATTTGTCCTGATGCACTATGAGGATTACGGTATGCATAAGCAGCCCAACCAACCAGACCTCCAACCAGGGAGATAACAAGAAGAATACCAATGATTCCAGAAACACTCATATGACTCATATTTACGTGACTGTGCGCTAGAATATTATTTAATAAATTAGATCTCAAGATTTATGAAACTCATATGATTCGTCGCTTAAGATTAAGTATGTAACAAGCATTATTTGCTATCGTTGCATTAATAACATTAATATAATCCATCATTCTGCTAAGTTGGTGTTCATTTGTAATATTAAAGCAAATATTTTTAATGATACGGAAGATAAAATAAAATAAAATTTAGTGGCATTAATAAATCAATACCTGACTCTGAAATATTTAATTCATTAATCAAATGTTTTCGTTGGACACCAGCTGATAGATCTTCAGAATTAATATGAGTATCACTAATATTATCACCATGTTCTGATAATTTCGGATTAGCTGGACAACTGCTTTCTTCACGAATGTTTCTTTGTTCACATCCTTTCTCTAACCAGTCTTGTCGGAACCGGAATGTTCCATTGCTACATTGGTTCATTTCAGGACACCATTTACAAGAAAATTCTGGGACTTTAGTTAAACAATCGGTACAATTTTCCATTTGCAGGCATGTTGGTAAAGCTCGTAAATAAATCACAGTTGAATTAATAATATTCTGACGATTGAAGTGTACTCGATGATATTCATAGATAGTCTTTTTGCGAACAACTAGAAACAAAAGTTAAAATTAGAGTCAGCTATTTAATTTTAAAATAATAAAATCAAGTTTATTAAAGCTTCTATAAATACTTTGGCGTTTTAAACATGTATGAGATCGACTGATTTGGCAAACTTCCAAGCCATAGGCTATGGTTTTAAATAAAGAGACGCCAGGTGCGAGAGTTGAAATGTAATTTAAAGTCTAAGCTATGTCTAGGTTGTTTTTAAGATCAATGGTTTTCCATTTCATCTTAGAAATGAGCATTTCTTATTCCTTTTCATCTGTTTCGAGTATTTTAATACTTACAGAAACGAGTACGATCCATGATGTAGGCGTCACTGAGGCCAACTTTAACTGGATGATCTTTTTCTTCAATAGCTTCTATAGGAAGTGGCATGTCCACGTACACGAAAACGATGTTACCATTGTCATAAAGAGTTGCTTGGAATGTAAATGCACCAGCCTTTGGTTTGTCTTGAAGGAGAACTTTTGTCCACTCAACCGTAAAAGCCGTACCTATAAGATAATAAAAAATATAAATACAAATAATATTATTATTTATAACTAAAAATAGTTATAGCTGATTAATAATTCAATAAATGAGCTGTTCTAATCTAAAGTCAATATAAAAAATACTGACGTCAGTTAATATCATGAATAACTGTTGATTTTTACCTGAACATCTTAATGCTAACAGCTTAAGTAAATTAGACAGGAAAACTATTTTTATGTTATCGATGTGAAAACAAAATAGATGATAAAAAATATAGGTTCTCACCATTATCAGCGTATTTAACAAAGCTATCTGGAGACAAACGAGGGTCAAAGTTTGCCATTAGCGGAGCAATGTACTGCGTGGCAGCAAGCCAGCTATGTACATATTCTCCTGTATACAAAAAGCCACCAGTAGCTATCGTTATATTCCTTACTTTATGCCCATAAAATGGAAAATCGAACTTGAGCTTCACAGTCTACAACAAAACAAATATTATTACGCTGTAAAAATGATAGTTATTTTAATAAAATAAACAACCGCAGCATTACAGAAACCAAATAATCATCACTAGAATAAATATTTATTTTTGAGGTGATATTTTTTTGTTAAAAAAAACAGCTGAATCGAGATAAAATATATTTTTAAGGTCTCAACAGAGAAATGTTTCCACAGAAAAATTTTTTAGTTTTGAAAATAAGGTTCAGTCAAGTTCTGTCTTATTTGGAATTACCCTTTTTTGCTTGAATAACGAAAAAGTTGTAATCATAGTTAGCAGAAATACTTACAGCAGCTCTTCGATAACTTTTGCTCAATAAGTCATTAATTTTAGCATACGGGTTTTTATTCATATCAACCCAAAAACTCTTGGCAACATTTTGATCAACAATGAATGTACTATTATAATACTGATGAGTGTCTTCTTCTGTTTTTGAAATATTATTTTGCCTTAAAGTACTATTTGAAAAGTTGGAAAATTTGGCAAAAATAGATTCATCAAAATCAGTTGTGTTGGACGGAATCTCTGTTGAGTTATTCATTTCAAGCCTGGGCTTAGTATCTGGTGTTTTTTGAGTTGAGTTGGTTGTATGAGTTGCATTTTCCCATCGTGTTTGATTAGGCCATACGTGAACCTATGATTATAAAACAGAAAATAATTAGTTATCTTTCATTTTAATTATTAAAATAAGAAATAAATATTCAGAAATATTTTTTAAATAGCTAAAAGAATAAAAATTTATCATTTTTACAAAAAATATCCTCATTAAAAAACAGTGAAGCCCCAGAATGTAATACATAATTAATACTTGATATTCGAGTCACTTTCCAGGGTTTCCTTTTTTTTTTGTTTGAGGTTCAGGGACGTAGTCCAAGTATTCATGAATAACCAAATCAACTTTTTTAACAATTATTAAAATAATAAAAACATTAGAAATAATTACTTTCAGTTAAATTATTGTTATTACGGCAATATCTTTAAAAGCTTATTTTTTTAAGTGGCTTTATGAAAGGATTTCTTAGTAAACTTTGAAGTTTTATTTTAAAAAAAAGTATAAAATGATAAAAAAAAAAAAGATGTACCGGTTCTCCAGTGACGGGAGAAAGAGGCGGAGAAACAATAATTAGAGTTTTCCCATTTTTTGTAACATTTGGTTTAAGAGTTGTGCTTATAAGCGTTGATTCAGACGTCGAATTAGTGGCATTTACTGTTGAATACATGACATTAGCTGTAGCTCCAGTTTCCGTTTTTATCAAAGGAGACTCTGGTGTAGAATCTTGTGGCTGGTGTGTTGATGGTTGTGGTGGAGATGTTGTAGGAGCTGGTTCCAATGATCTTCGTACTCGGTTTGAGAATTCAGCTCCATCCAACTCATCCGTATAAAATATGTGGAGATCATCATTCTCTGTACCGCTCAATACTTCATAGCTGTGATAAAATCCATCTGCAAATATAAATAATAATAATAAAATTATTTATAATGCTAAACAATTTTTTTTTCTACTAACACATACTACGTAATTTCAAATCTCAATTTAACGATTTCATTTAGATCATTGGGATAATTTTATTTGCGACAATTGTAGTTTTGGCATTTATTTATTAAGCAAATTATTCAAGTTTGACCTCTTGAATATAAACCGGATGTTGCCACTGCAATCAACTTGATTCAGTCAATCATTTTTCTTTGAGCTATTTATTATTAATCATAAATTTAAAAGAATTGCTTGGATAAAAAGCTGATTCTTTGATAAGCAATTAAGAATTAATAAAACAGTTTTATTCCAACAAAGTATTGTATTGTGAGCGTGAATAAAAGTAGGAATTAATTTAATTAATAATCAAAAATAAGATAAAATATAAAATGATGAAGAAATTAAAAAAGCAATAAGTATGATAAGAAACTTATTCATTGAAAAAAGGTTGTAATAAAGCTGTAAAAATATATTTCTGATAAAAAATAATATCATAAAATAAAAATAAAATTGTTGTCTCAGAGGATTTACTGTAATGGGTATCATAAATGCAATTTAACGCAAATCACTTGCAACAAAGTCCCCTTGGTCTTTGGTTCCACTTTGTGTTTCTATGTATTTCACGTTGCTATCATGCTAAAATCAGTTCGTGATATTCGAGTATCGTGTTGGCGACAAAAAAAAAACTAAAACTACAGACGAAATTTTTTTTTACTGATAAACATGAAATATTGGTTACATTTCAATTATTGCTTTTGATTATAGTTAAAACTCAATTTTTAGTAAAATAAGTAACAAAGATATTTTTTGATTCTTTTTTTTGATATGCAAATCTATTTGCATTGAAGCTAAGTATGTTAACATTTAGTGCCACTTGTGTATACTCAACTCCTGAGTGTTTTTTTACGACTAATTGAATATACGAAAATGAAGAATATATTCAAATAAAATATTTTATTATTGTTTAAGAAACTTGCGTATATTAAATTGAACAATGCCTTTGATATTTGAATTATTTATTTACTGATATATTATTTTTTTCGATAATAATACATAAATATCAGCACATGAGTCTAAGGATCAATTTATAAATTATATTTTTTTTTAAATGAGTCTGCAATTAAAACTCTGATAAAAAAGTCAAGGTAATAAAGCTAGTAGATAATGTACATTTTTTACTCTTGATACTTGGAATAATTTATGATTTTTATTTTTTTATCATCAATATTTTTTGTTCATCTCGTGGCTACTTTTTTTTTCATCTGTGAATGAATACTTTTGATTCGAATAAAATTGTGGTAGGGCTAACGTAAAATGGATTTGAGTTGTAAATGTGATAAGATTCTGAACGAACGAAGAAAAGTGAAAGCTTTAAAATGTTTTAATGTAGAATTTGAATACTTATCGTTTCCTTTTCATTCATAACAACACATTTGTTAGTAATGTTATCATCTTACTTTCATTATTATTATTATTTTTGTGATATAAAAAAAATTGATTAAAATAAACAAACAAATAAAACTACACACTATATTTTTAAATATTAATATTTTTTCAATTCTTCAATACTCTTCAATATATTTAAAATAAAAAAAATTAAACTATAAGTTTGTAATAATTAATAAATATTATATTTTGATAATTTTTCATGTTTTCAACTTAAAAGTGAGACTTTTAATTGTTTCAAATTAAATAATTCGTTATAATTATAATTTCAATTATAATAATTGATCTTAATTTCAGTATAACAAATTAAAATTGCAATTTTAATGAACATGTAACCAACATGAATTGCCAAAAGTCTTTTAAATAAATTTATTTTTCTTCAATTAATTAACCTATCTGGCCTTGGATTAAAGTTCGATGCTTGATTCTTTCAGACCATACCAGGCAACATGAGTGAGAACGACAAAAAATTAATTTATGTGCACAACACATGTAGACATGGCGTGTAGATATGTTGTATATTCTAGATGAAAAAAACAATTTGCTTAACAGTTGAATCAGTAAAGTTATTAAACTCAACTGTTGCACGATCTACGTGCTATGATGATAAACCAGAAGGTAATAGTCAAATCTATATGTATGCTTATGTCATAGAGTGTGCGTACACTGAATAAAACAACAGTATGTTTTTTTCTTTTTTTTTTAAATTAACAAAATGTCGTATTATAAAATACAACTTATGCTAAAATTCTTGATTAACTTGTTGAATATTAAAAACAAAATTAATCATCATTAATTGGTTGATTAAAATAAAAATTATAATAGACTCTAAAAATTTTCTAACGGAAATCCTACTTGCAGTTGATCTATCCAAGGCCATTAACGAGAATTATACAATATAAGCTTTGTGCATCTCAGTTTATGGTTTGTAAAAATAATGTAAAATTAATTTTACTTTAATTGATAAATTTATAACTGTAAGATTTATTTTTTTCTTGAATAAGGATTGAATGGTTTGCAAAAGTTCGCCAGACCTCACTCTTAACATAAAAATTCAAAAGATTTATGCTTGACATTTATGACTGAGTATAATGATCAACTTATAGCTGTTTAACAGTCATTAATGATGTCAAGACACTTTTAGCTATTTCCAGTGAAAAATTAGAAATAAATTTACTCTAGAGAATGCATTTAAAATTATTTAAACATCTCTCAACACTTCGTTGATTTAAAAAAAAATCTATTGTTCAAAAATGTTATTACTTGATTATTTAAACAAACATGAATTAAGAGCAATTTTGAGTTCTTCGTAATAAAATAGAGAACCAAACTTTCTTTGGTACTTCAACTTTAATTGTGAGATTAATTGCCATTGTATAAAATCACACAATTAATACTCAACTTTGGAAAGTATCATTAAAGAATATTCATTGATACAATTTATTTCAATTGTTTGCAATAAAAAGTGAAAAAAAAAATGAAACTGACGAAGTTGAAGCATACATAACACTAGTAGTCATAACGGAAATGAAAGTTTATGGTAAATGGAAACTCTAGAATTAGTATTTTATCGATAAGAGATAGTGAAACCTAAAGAATGCAATAATAATTACAACAACAGACACATAGTAATTTTGAAAAAAAATTGTCTTGAGATTTACAGAGAGAATTCTATTGTCGTGACGAGCGAGAGGAAAAAGAAACGTGAAATCTACAACACGACCTACTCATGGATGGATTGCGATCGTGGAAAAAACCATCTCAACACCACCTTACATTTTATGATTTGAGTCTTTACCTCTTATTCATTTGAAAGTGACTTTTAAATTATTGTCATAAAAAATTAACATAAAACAATTATATTTAATTGAAACAACCATTTCTCTTAAAGAGTATTTTATAAGATAAATAATTGGCTTTTTATTCACTTAGTACAAACATTGAAGTAATTTTTTTTTTGTTTTCAAAAAAGAATAATTTTTCCATACAATAAATAATTTTAATTATTTAAAATAATTAAGCCACTGAAATTAATTATTATATTGAATATTTATTATTTAGGAAGTAAAATAAATTAATAAATTGTATTAACTATTAATTAGTCTTATTTGAAATAAATAAATTTTATTAATTGCAAAAAAAATATTTAACCTTTGTTATTATGTTATGAAATGTTATTACATTTATTTGAATTAACTATCGATAGTTGTTATGACAATCACGATGGTATTATTAGAAGATATGTTAGTTAAATAACATTAATGTTAAATAATGAAAAAAAAAAACAATATAATTACAAATAGTTATTTCAAGCATATAATTAAATTAACACGCGCGGATGCTTAAAAAGTTTTGTATCTCATAAAGGGACGTTCACATGAGAACAGGACAGGAAGTTACTGTCAATGGCCGAGCACACAGACGATGAGACCCTTCATTTTATGTGCTAGAGTAGACTGTATTTTTATTTTATTTACTTTGCTGACCTCCAACGAAATGTAACTGGACTTAATTCTATATTTTCTCAACTCCACAACTTAACATTTCTACGTAATTGTTTCAACTCAACATCAATTTACATTTCTGTAAGTATTTTATTGATTTTAAAATTTTTTATGGAAGATTTTCTAAAGAGATGAGAAGACGAGTTGTTCATGGAGAACATGGAACTATTGGATAAATTATAGATAATTGGATAGAATAAAATGGAGCAGTGGAAATAGAAAATTTAAGGTTGAATGTCAATTAAATTTAATTCAATTATTAAAAACTATTTCTTTGCTTTTTTCAATTACTCTAGAGATTATTTAATATATTGACGTTTTAAAATGATATTTAATTGTAATCATGATATAATAAAAATAATATTTTTTTTTCCTTTTTATAAAATACAAAACTGCTATTATTTTAATGAGAAATATTTTTCTGAAAGGTCGTTAGATAATTTATTATTCATATTAGTTTGCATTATTATCTTTGTTCTATTTTTTTTTTAAGTTAATTATCATAATTTAAATTTGTCATACTAGATTAAATTGTTCAAAGAAAAATTCCAACATATTTTTTTCGTTGTAAAAGAATAATTTAATAAATAAATATTCCTCATAATATTTCCTAAAAATTGTAAATATTAAGTTTATTTTGCTATTACCTAGTGACTTGTAGGTCTGATAAAGCTTTTGCGCAACTTTAGAAAGACTTTTTACTGATAAGAGTCGATAGTAAAATTTTTCATCTAATGTATATGATAAATATGGTGCATTTTTTATATTATATTAAATAAAAAAATATTTATACAATTAATTTATTTAACTTTATACTGACTATCATATTTTTATCATTGATGGTCAGATCCTGATAGCAACTATTGTCTCTGGTTTTATCAATTTTTTTTTTGTAAGTAGGTCACAATCAGATAATATTATTGGAAATAAACTAAGTGAGATTAATTAGTTAAATAAAATATGTACATTATAGAATAATGTTATTAAATAAATCAATCAGATGAAAAAAAGGAAAGTAT